TCTTAAAGCCAATTAACTACAATTAAAACGCTGGGAAGCACTGGTGGCACTATACAAAAACAAATTGGTTTATAATCTCACAACCTTCACCTTTCTGACATTCTGAGACCCAAACAAATTCAGCGCCTTCAGTGCTTTGATTTTTATTTTCTTTGAAGTTGTATTATCTGTCTATGTTGAATAAAACAAAAAAAATGATTTTGTTTGTTATAATTAAGTGTTAAGTTGTCGGTGTTAATATTTACAAACATCATTTATAAGCGGCATTGTGTCTGACGATATTTGAGAGACCGGTGTGTTATAAGCTGCTCTAACTGTTTTAGCGGTGTTCAGCCTCAATTCGTTCGAATTGATTTTAGTACGAATAGCCTTGTAAACAAAACTGACAACACGTGTGTAATATTTTAACATTTAACATTTTTTGTGGAACATGTCTTTGTAAAGTAAAACGCAATTTAAAGGCATGGTATTAAACGTTTGTAATATAAAACTCCTCTCATTACATAAAAGTTTGAAGCTTTAAAACAGCAAATGTCAATTTATCAGTTGTTTATTCATTTACTGTGGTATGTTTCGGATAAGAAATATTTTTTGGATATAACCATCAAATTCCTTGTCGGACGCGTGAATGACATGGGATACGGGAATATAGGATTATAATTAAATGCATTTTATGTCTGAGCATGTAAATGAAGCTAATAACGCTGTGTCAGTTTTGCTTTATGGTTGATAATTCGCCATACAGACGATTCGCCCCATAACAATTCGCCATTTTTTCTTGTGTTTAATCGATTGTTTCCGCATTATGTAAATGCATTATTCAACAAGTTCTGTAACAGTTGTAAACTGGATAAAATAAAATTTACCAAAAAGCTGTAAATGAGAATTTTCACTGAAATTTGAAAATTTGATTGAAAGGATGGCTTTGTGAAATGTCATTTAATTGTTTTTGATGTCAGCTCTTTCCATTTTGTGTCGCCTCTACAGAGTATTGGCGACATATAGGGATCACTTCTCTGTCGTATTCTGTCTGTACAAACAAACATATAGATACTTAGGGGGCTATGGATGAATTAGGTAATTAATTCAGTAAGCTCTGATGTGGCTACTTTTTTGTTTACCTGGCTTAAAGAATAAAAGGGAGAACAAAAGAGTAATCACATCACGGATTTATATTACAAGGATCGGACACTTTCGTTTAGCTTAAAGTCCCGTCGCGCGCATGCGCGGAATCGGATTAAGGTGGACAGAATGAGATGGCGGAACGTTCGGAGTGTGAAATATGACATATTTTCACAAGAGTATGTGGTGTTATTGCAGCTTTGTGAAAAATTATACACATACGAATGTATTGATACAGTATTATTTTGTGCAGCTAAAGTATTAATATATGAAAATATGCCGATAGAACGCTGCGACGCTTAGTTAAAAAGCACCTAATTTAAAAAATATTCGCCTATTGTTTAGGCATACTCTCTACACTTTGACGCCCTTTTACGTCAAACATAAATTATTACCGCGATTCAGATTAAGATAATTATTTTTTACATGGTTTAATGGTGGCATTGCAAAAAAATGTTTCTTGATTGCTAAAATACTTTTAAAGAAATTCATGTTGGAAATGTGTCTTTATTTCTGTGAATTATTTCCAAATGATTTGTACATTTTTTATTTGATATACCTGTATATCAGTATAAATATAGTATATATTCTACTAATTAGTGTATTAAATATATTTTCAGATCATTCTAGACATTCGTTCATTTATAGATGAATTCATTACATTGGCAAGGAAGAAACTTTTATTGGCATACTGAACAGCTGTTTTATAATATTATTTTTTTAAACAGATTTTTTTTCATAGTTATCCTTCACAATTCACGTCAAATGATTTATTTGTCATATGTTTATTTTCATTATTTTTCAAAGAAAGGACTATACAAATTAAGTTGTTTATTTTCAATTTCATTTATAAATGTTAATAAAGAAAATAGATTTCCATTGTATTTATATATATCCGCTTCAGAATCATTTTCTTACCACACATGCCATGGACTGTAGTTAAAGACCGCGCACATACAACAATTACATTCAAATTCTATTTTCTTCTTTTTATATGCCCGAAAGAATTTCGGACATATTATGTTATACCCCCTGGCGTCCGTCCGTCCGTCTGTCCGTCCGTCCGTCCGTCCGTCCGTCCGTCCGTCCGTCCGTCCGTTAGCAATTTGGTTTCCGGAGCATAACTGAAGTTCCATTTGGCCCACAATATTCAAACTTCATAGGATGATTGTCCATATTGGGTAGAAGACCCCTATTGATTTTGGGGTCATAAGGTCAAAGGTCAAGGTCACTATGACCTTAAAACTGAAAACGTTAGCAATTTGGTTTCCGGAGCATAACTTAAGTTCCATTTGGCCCACAATATTCAAACTTCATAGGATGATTGTCCATATTGGGTAGAAGACCACTATTGATTTTGGGGTCATAAGGTCAAAGGTCAAGGTCACTATGACCTTAAAACTGAAAACAGTTTTTGGAGCATAACTTAAGTTCCATTTGGCCCACAGTGTTCAAACTTCATAGGATGATTGTCCATATTTGGTAGAAGACCCCTATTGATTTTGGGGTCACAAGGTCAAAGGTCAAGGTCACTTTGACCTTAAAACTGAAAACAGTTTCCGGAGCATAACTTAAGTTCCATTTGTCCTACAGTGTTCAAACTTCATAGGATGATTGTCCATATTTGTTGAAGACCCCTTTAGATTTTTGGGTCACAGGTCAAAGGTCAAGGTCACTATGACCTTAAAACTGAAAACAGTTTCTGGAGCATAACTTAAGTTCCATTTGGCCCACAGTGTTCAAACTTCATAGGATGATTGACGATATTGGGTAGAAGACCCCTATTGATTTTGGGGTCACAAGGTCAAAGGTCAAGGTCACTATTACTTAGAAATTGAAAACAGTTTCTTGAGCATAACTTTAGTTCCATTTAGCCCACAATATTCAAAAACTTCATAGTATGATTGTCCATATTGGATAAAAGACCCCTAATGATTTTGGGGTCACAAGGTCAAAGGTCAAGGTCACTTTTACCTTAGAATTGAAAACAGTTTCTGGGACATAACTTAAAGTTCCATTTGGACCACAATTTTGAAACTTCAAAGGAGGATTGTTATTTGAAGGAGGTAATACTTTATTTTAGTCCCATGTCTTACAAATGCTTCATCTTTTCTAAAAAAAAAAAAAAAACACTTTCGGGCATATAATGCTCCGCCTAGCGGTGCTCTTGTTTTATTAATTTTGAAATTGAATTTATTATGTTACCTTAATAATAAATTTCAAATACCTGCTTTTTATATAAAAAATGTAAATTTACCGCGGATTTCGTCAAGTTAATTTCTTAATCGTCGTTGCGGACAGATAGTCTGTATCTTTAAAAAATAAATTTGATATTTGAATTAAACAAGCATTTTCCTTGAAAATAAACTTTAAATTTCAAAAATTGGATAATAAATGGAAAAGCTATATGGTATTTTGTAAAGAAGGTATCCGTTGCGAACGGGCATTTTCGCTTAGCGCCGATAAATTATCGATCAATGTACCTTTATCGGGTACACGACAAGATATTTAAGCATTTATATAGGGTTAACTGGGAGTGTCCGATCCCTGTAATATAAATCCGTGATCACATTAATACCAAACTTTGAGCTCGTCCCTCCTTCTGTTCGTAACACCTTTATTTTGTGTCCGCCCCATAACTTCTAAACTGCTGAAAAATTTTTGAAATAACTTGGCACAAGTAATAGCATTATGAGAAGATGTGCAGAGCGCAATAATTGGATTGCTATCCCCAAGGTCAAGGTCACAATTAAAGGTCAAGTGTTAAAAAGTGTACATTTAATGTCTACTCCATAACTTTAAACCACTAAATAACTTGGCACAAGTGATCACCATTATATGATGATGTGAAGATCGAGGGCAATGATTGGGTTGCTACCCCCTAGGTCAAGGTCACACTTAAAGGTCAAGTGTTAAAAAGTCTACATTTTGTGTCTGCTCCTAATTTTTAATTGCTGAAATTTTTTTGAAATAACTTGGCACAAGTGATGACCATTATAAGACGATGTGCAGAGTGCAATAATTGGGTTGCTTCCCAGAAGGTGAAGGTCACACTTTAAGGTCAATGGCTAAAATGTCTACATTTCGTGTCCACTCCACAACTTTTAAATGCTGTAAAAAATTGAAATAACTTGGCACAAGTCAGGGGTTTTTTTTACTAACAAATTGACACCGATAGTCGGCGTCTTCCCCTCGGTAAATAGCCAAGTTTTTTCCCCCAAAAAATTCTATTTTTCCTTTAAACTGGATCAGATTTAATATTTACATGGTTTAAAATATTATTTTTCTTCATTTTATGCAGGATAAACCACCAATTGTAGTTCAAAATAACCAAAAACATTGCAGGAAACTTCAAGTACTGTCTCAACATGGAGGCAGCCATTTTTTTTTCTTGGCTATATCCCGTACTGAACGGTACTATTTCTGGAAATCAGTTGCTATCAAAATATTGTCATTTTCTTGGTTATTTTTAGTAAAGTAATATATTTTGTACTTCTTATTATGAAAATGACTAGTATGGAGCTAAAGTGTGTCACAGATACACTATTATACCTATACTGTATTAAATTTCATATAAAAATAGAAGTATAAAAACCATTCACCACCATACATATTAAGAAAATATGTTATACTGCAAAGAATATTTTGCATAATGATAAAGTTTTTAAGGGGAAAAAGATATAGTTGTAACTCTCTACTATGTAGTTAAGTATATAGTATAAATAACGTCATAATAAAGTTTCCCCAAATTCACTTTTTTCGTATATTTTTTCCCCTCCCTACCAGCGTCCAGCGTCTTCCCCTTTTCCTAAAAAAAACCCCTGCAAGTGATCATCAAAATGGGACAATGTGCAGAGAGTAATAACTGGGTTGCTACCCCATAGGTCAAGGTCACACTTAAAATTCAATTGTTAAAAAATCTACATTTCATATCTGCTTCATAACTTTTAAACCACTGAATATGTTTTTTAAATAACTTGGCACATGTGATCACCATCATGAGACAATGAGTAGAGGGCAATAATTGGGTTGCTACCCCCAAGGTCAAGTTTACACTAAAAGGGCCATTGCTAAAAAGTTTACATTTCATGTTCACTTTATAACTTTTAAACTGTTGATAAAATTTTGAAATTACTTGGCACAAGTGATCATCATTATGAACAATGTGCAATAATTTGGTTGCTACTCCATAGGTCAAGGTCACACTTAAAGGTCAATTGTTAAAAATTCTACATTTCATGTCCGCTTCATAACTTTTAAGCTGCTAAAGAAATTTGAAATAACTTGGCAGAAATGATCACCATAATGACATGATGTGCACAACCCAACATCCAGGTTGGCACAAGTAACTACTATGATGAGACTATATGCTTATGATATACATAGCACAAGATCAAGGTCATGGTCTGTTAAATGTGAAGAAGTACACATTCATGTCACTGTGGAAGGGGATTTAGCTGTCCTTCAGACTGCCTTGTTCATATAATAACATTAACTTGTGTATATTGCGTATAAAGGAAATAATTGAACACAATAAGCATTTCTTGAATAGATTGTTTTATTTTGCATTGCAAGTATATTTGATAAATATATTTTATAGACAGAGATGACTTCTCTTGCAAAACAACTTCAGCGTCTAGCTGTTCCTCACACACAGACTATACTTGGTGAAGATAAAAAGAAAGCCTCATTACTGTTTGATCCAAAAGAGGCAGCATCTATTGACAGAGAGACATTTTATGCATTAGGTAAGACTGTTAAGGACATTTGTCTATGAGTTAAATAAGGCATCCTTAAAACAACTTATTACAGCTCATTGTAGCTAGTTTGTGATGAAAACTTGAAGTTTTTTTTACCACTCAGGTCTGTTTTTTTTAACTAACTAGTATATAGACGCCTTAATATAGAAAAATGTCATTGTGGACTAAGTGGATGTTTAGTTCCTTTTACAATTATTTATTTTTGTACAGGTTTAAATGGTTTGGAGGAGTTGGAAACTATTGATGAGGACTTCAGTGAATTTGAGACCAGTCTATTTGGAGACTCCTCCTTGATGTTTGAGAGATCTGTGCAGACAAAGGAGATTAATGCAAAACTAGACAAGACCATACAAAAGTTTCTGATACATGTGTCACCTTATTGTCTCCTTAAACCTGCACATAAAGCTATTGAATGGCTAATTCACAGGTAATTCAATAGTTTAACTAGCACAATTTATTTAATGCTCTGTCTCAACTCTGTCATTGGAACTAGCTTTTGTTATTAGTTTAATACAATACAGTACATACAATACAGTTCAATACAATACAATACAGTACAATACAGTGCAATACAATACAATACAATACTCTTTTATTGGTCAGTCAGGTTACAGGCATGGTAACAACATGACAATTTATCTAAAATATGTTAAATCGTATATTATTTAGCTATTTATTAATATAAGGTAAATGAGCATAATGCCACGGGGACAGAATAATGAATACATTTAACAACAATGTTCATGTTATTCATCAAATGGATAAACAAAACAAAACAAAAACAATGTTGACAAAGAAACAGACAGCAGAATGATGCAGTACATGTTGGTCATCAAAAATGAATATTTCAATTAAAAAACTCCAAATTTCCAAATTCTAATGAAGAATTTTGTCTGACTACTTTTTGAGTTTATTAAATCAAAGCCACTTCTTAAGATGCCTATTCATGGGTGTATAATATTGTGATAAGGTATTTAGGAACAGTGACATATACAAACTATAGTAATAGATATAAATTAAAAAATTGGTACAGAAGTACTTATATAAAATTTTAAGAATTATATTTTACCATGACGGTAGTTATAAAATGAATTTTGAAACTGGATTAGCATTATTTGTTTAAGCTTGAATGTAGTTATTTTATCTACTTGGGAATCAGTATCTGCTGGGAGCTAACCACTGGAGTCATCTTTTTTTTCCTTTTGCTCAAATAATTGTATATGTAAACATATACATGTATAGCTGAAATGAATTGCAAAGTAACAGAATTGCTGAGTTTCAATTAAGTACAATTAGATAATTATTATTTGTTTTCAGGTTTCATATCCACTTTTACAACACTGATGTGCTGTTATTATGCTTCCTACCTTACCATGAAAGTAAAATCTTTGCTAGAGTTCTACAACTGGTGAAATTTGATTCAAAAACAGCCTCAAAATGGGACTTCTTAGAACCTTTACAAGTATGTAAAACCTGTTTATATATATAAAAATATTTTTGAGTATTTTAAAGTGATTGAACCTACTTCTTTTGTCATGAAATAAAAGTGGATGGAACCTTTTATTGTACTTTTTAGCATTTATTTAGCAATAATTCTCTGAATAAGACACTTTTTTCAGGTTATGTACATTATCTAGTTTGAAAAATTTTTTAAATAAAGGATACAAGAGAATGATTGTTTTGTCAGAAAGACTGCCATTGACAATTAAAAAAAGAAAAAAAAGAAAGAAACTTATTTGATGTAACTGAAATCTTATCAATATTTGTATTAATTTAGTTATGTGATATTTCTAATGATGCGTTTGGGTTTTTCTTATTCAGAAATCTGGGGTACACTTGTCTCGGATGACTTTAGTGAACCACTGTGCCACTGATGTAGCATTCCTCTCATTTGTCTGTGACATGGTTCCAACAGCTGTTAAGGAAAGTGTCTTCTTATTATGATGACTTGTTGTTATAAAAATATTGAACTTGTTCATATTATTAAAGTCATAAAACTGACATATTATTAAAGTCATGTAAGCATACATGCCATAACGTCCCGGATGCCCGGGACAGTCCCGGAAATAAGGTGTCTGTCCCGAAGGTGTCCCGGAGATGATTTATGTCCCGGTAAAAAAAAAATCTAAAATAATCTACTTTGATGCAAGAAATTTTACATTTTTATATAATTTTATTGTCAAGTTTTAATTAACTAGTCTAGAAAGCTAATAGCGAACGATAATCCCCTAACAGCATTGCGATGGTGACACTAATCCTTTGATTGGTATATCTACGTTCCCCTTCCAACAAACAATTATCGGCAATATTTTGATCAATTAAAAGATTAATTGTTTATCCCATGTGGCTTCCTGAGCGAAGGTGTCATACACTGTAATTAAAAACTGGTCAGAATAAATTTAATCCCCCTGCTGGCAATTAGTGGTCAAACACCGTGAAAATTACCGCTAAATTTGAGGTGATAAAATCTACAAGATTCAGCGAAAGTTTCAGGTAAACGACATGGCTAATTGTCATTACTTAACTTAGCTTTATTCTATTCTGTGACTGATTGAATTAACCATGCCTAAATACTTAAAAAAGATAGAAAAACTGTTAATAAATATTGACATTCTGTCTTTTGTTTATGGTGTCATTAAATTTGCAAGTTGTAAATACCGGTAATACAGTATAGGTTGTATGCCACTATGTAAATTAAAAAAAAATATACGTTTGCTGATCAATGCCCCATCTCCAAATGAAAAGTGTCCCGGAAATGAGTGTAAAAATTATGGCATGTATGCATGTAAGTGACATAAGATCTTGAACATTTTGCAGATTTTAACATAAAGATGAAAGAATGGTAATTATGGTCAGAAGAAACTGTCCAGTCCATAATTTTATCATTGATAGGTTTTGAAATAATTAAGCAAAAATGTGGGCACATTGAGGCAATTAGCAAGATTTGTAGGTCAATGGTCAAGGTCACCCTTAAATAATCAAAAGATCATGATATGAGGATACTGCATTGATAGTAATGTTCAGTTCATTTCTTTTTTCATTCATTGGCAAAATTTAAAAGAACTTCATTATCTGCCCTTGAATTTAACGAAAAAGTCCAATTCAAGGGCAGATGACTCGAAAATGAGAATGGTGACCCCAATTTTTTTATGCCCCCACAATGTGGGTGCATATAGCGTTGCACTTGTCCGTCCGTCCGTCCGTACGTCCCGAAATCTTGTGAACGCAACTCCTCTTAAACCGTATGGCAGATTTTGCTTTAACTTACAGGGATGAACAACCTTAATGTGTAGATGGTAGTAAAGGAAGGAATTTTTGCTGCAACCAAATTTAACAGAATTATGGCCCTTTGTTGGTTTTTTCACTATATACTATGTAGAAATTTTGTGAACGCAACTCCTCTTAAACCGGATGGCAGATTTTGCTTAAACTTACAGGGAAGAACAACCTTAAGGTGTAGATGGTAGTAAAGGAAGGAATTTTCGCTGCGACCAAATTTAACAGAATTATGGCCCTTTGTTAATTTTTTCACTATATACTATGTAGAAATTTTGTGAATGCAACTTCTCTTAAACCGGATGGCAGATTTTGCTTAAACTTCCAGGGATGAATAACCTTAATGTGTAGATGGTAGTAAAGGAAGGAATTTTTGCTGCAACCAAATTTAACAGAATTATGGCCCTTTGTTGATTTTTTCATTATATACTTTGTAGAAATTTTGTGAACACAACTCCTCTTAAACTGGATGGCAGATTTTGCTTAAACTTCCAGGGATTAACAACCTTAATGTGTAGATGGTAGTAAAGGAAGGAATTTTTGCTGCAACCAAATTTAACAGAATTATGGCCCTTTGTTGATTTTTAGTTTTCAACTTGTGGCACATGTAGTCCAAAAAATATTTGACCTAGAGTCATAAGATTGACAGAACAGTGGCGTGTGGGGGCATCCGTGTCCTATGGACACATTTTTAGTTTCAGTTTAAAATGTTTCTGCTTTCAAATTCTAATAACATGCCAAGTTTAAAGAAATTCTATTGAACAGTTTTAATTTGGGTTATATGACTACAGTAAACTTCACTTATAGCGAACACGGTTATAGTGAACTTCCGGTTATAAGGAACAATTTATTTTGGCCCGAATTTTGCCCTTCTTTATTTAATATAAAAATATACGGTTATAGCTAACACGGTTATAAGGAATTGTCCCATATAAGGAACTCATTTCTTAGTCCCAATTCAGTTAAAAGTACATAAAATTACACTTTTATAGCGAACTCAAAACTATCGGTTTTCAAGATAATCACACATGCTTGCTAATCCATTGAAAACAACAAAGTACGTTTGATTGAAATTAAAAGAAATCTATATCGTTCATAAGTAAAAGTCACCCTTAAAATATAATAGAAGATATTCAATATAAAAAGAACGAAAAATCGAAAGTCTCGTTTACTCATAATCATAGAAAGAACACGGAAAGCACTGAGTTTAGAAATAAAATATGATATTTTATAAGACATTGAAAAAGAAAGTAAAACTAAAACTGAAATAGCAAAGGATTTTCAAATTCCAAAACGTATCCTTTCGGGTATTGTGTCTATAAAAGAACTAAATGACTATTTTCTCTTAATCAAATGCTCTTCAAAATGGCGGACGATGGTAAACAATCAGTTTGTTATATGTAAATCTGTTCGCTATAAAAACTCTTGATATAAAGAACTAATTCGATATATGCTTATAAGAAACTCCGGATATAAAGAACTGTGTCATTAAAAAAACTGGCAGTTTTGTTAAGAAAGGACCAACTTAACTTGTTCCCATAAATAGTTTATTCATTGCTTTTTTGGAAGTGAGACATAATAATTTTATAGATTTTAATGAATTTATTTGATAAGCATATTTTACTCAAGGATGAGCATAGTATATCTTTAAACTTATTTATTTCAGTTGATAATGTGGTGGTTACATAGAAATCGAATTCTTATAAATATAAAGCATGATATGAACATTGTACATTTTATGCTTTGTTATTGTAAATGTTTCGATTATATAATCAATGATTGATCGAAAAGGGTTGTTTGATAATTTTCGATGATCGATTATGATTTTTGTCCGGTTAAGAAACCCTATAAGGAACAGATTTTGAATGTCCCAATGAGTTCGTTATAAGCGGAGTTAACTGTATATAAAAACTCTGGAAAACGTCTTTTTTGAATGTCTTATTTTTGTTTTATGTTAACAAACAGTTACTATTACTGGAGTTGTAATTTCTAGTAATTCTTTTATGATTGTTTTGTTAGTTTTTAGCTCACCTGTCACAAAGTGACAGGGTGAGCTTTTGTGATCCCTTTTCGTCCGTCGTCCGTAAACTTTTACTTTAAATGACATCTCCTCATAAACCACAAGGCCAATTTCATCCAAACTTCACAGGAATGTTCCTTTGGTGGTCACCTTTAAAAATTGTTCAAAGAATTTAATTCCATGCAGAACTCTGGTTGCCATGGCAACCGAAAGAAAAAACTTTAAATATCTTCTTTTAAAAATCATAAGAGCTAGAGCTTAGATATTTGGCATGAAACATCTTCTAGTGAGTGTCTACCAAGTTTGTTCAAATAAAAGCCCTGGGGTCAAAATTGGCCCCGCCCCGGGGGGTCATTGATTTTCCCTATATGCATATAGTAAAAACTTAAAAAATCTTCTTTTAAAGAACTCAAAGAGTAATGGCTAAGATATTGAGCATCAAACATGTTCTAATAGGTGTCTACCAAGTTTGTTCAAAGAAAAGCCCTGGGGTCAAAATTGGCCCCGCCCCAGGGGGTAATTGATTTTCCCTATATGCATATAGTAAAAACTTAAAAAATCTTCTTTTAAAGAACCAAAAGAGTTAGAGCTAAGATATTTAGCATGAAACATGTTCTAATAAGTGTCTACCAAGTTTGTTCAAATAAAAGCCCTGGGGTCAAAATTGACCCCGCCCCGGGGGTCATTGATTTTCCCTATATATGCATATAGTAAAAACTTAAAAAATCTTCTTTTAAAGAACTCAAAGAGCTATGGTTAAGATATTTAGCATCAAACATGTTCTAATAGGTGTCTACCAAGTTTGTTCAAATAAAAGCCCTGGGGTCAAAATTGGCCCCGCCCCAGGGGTCATTGATTTTCCTTATATGTGTATAGCAAAAACTTAAAAAATCTTTTTTGAAAAAACCCAAATAGCTAGAGTTAAGATATTAAGCATGAAACATCTTTTAGTGAGTGTCTACAAAGTTTGTTCAAATAAAAGACCTTGGGGCAAAATTGGCCCCGCCCCGGGGTCATTGATTTTCCTTATATGTGTATAGCAAAAACTTAAAATCTTCTTTGAAATAAACCCAAATAGCTAGAGTTTAGATATTAGGCATGAAACATATTCTAGTAAGTGTCTACAAAGTTTGTTCAAATAAAAACCCTGGGGTCATAACTGGCCCGGCCCCAGGGGTGTCATTGTTTTTAACTATATGTGTATAGTAAAAACTTAAAAAAAATCTTCTTTTAAATAGCCCAATGAGCTAGAGCTTAGATGTTTAGCATGAAACATCTTCTTATGGGTGTCTACCAAGTTTGTGCAAATAAAAGCCCTTTGGTTAAATTGGCCCTGCAACGTTTGGGGGGGGGGGTGGGGGTTGGGGGGGCCTATATACAGGTGAGCGACCTCAGGGCCATCATGGCCCTCTTGTTTAATTTATTTACATTTAAATATAATTTGTGATATAGGTTTTAACAGAAAAAGGAGAGAAGCCCAAATGTAGAGTATTGTTTTCCTTCTATGCTACGACGGTGATAGGAGTCTTGGACACAGCGTCCGAATCAGAGGTCATTGTATCAACTTTATTACCCCATGTTACAACAGGAATGATGTCAGGTGTCCATGAATACAAGGCTGCGTCGTACATGATCCTAGCACAGCTTCTTCACAAGATGAAACTTAAAGCCGATCTTGTCAAGTCACTGCAACGTGTTCTAGCCAAGGTTTGTTTGAAAACTTAATAATAGCGCATAAAGAATATTTTGGCAAAATGGTGAATTTATTCGATATATATTCATGAACAAAAGTACAATTACAAAAAGATATATAACATACAAAATGACATGCAGTAAACAGGGTTTAATTATTAACACATTGGCGATCCATATCATTGGTAGAAATACTGTTAAAATTGATTGTATTTTCAGCCTGTAGATAAAAATATGCCATTGGCCAAATCAGTTGTTTTCATTGGCACATCTCTTGCCTGAGATAAGAATGAAAACACTGGTTGTAAATTAACCTTTACCCTGCTGAGACCGAAAGTGCACCTGCTTGCAGTCTGACCAGACTCTATAGTATACTGTTGTTATCTTAAGTTTATTATTTTGAAACTGAAATCAGATAAACTTTGAAAAGACTATTCCAGATTCAAAGCAGGGCAATTCCAATACTCAAATACTGCATGTTAAGGGTTTAGAGATTAAAGTTTAAGAAGAATTTCTGTAAACTGTCAGCTCTGTCATAAATATTGACAATTTTTAGTTTTGGATACACTTTGTGATAACAGAATGTTTTATTTTTAGAGTATGATTCAAGACTTGCTTGGGGAAGCAATGTCCTGCATGCTTCTGATGTTTCAAACACAAGATGTCACCAATTATGGTATCACTAAAAAGTAAGTCTCTATTTATTTTGTAAATTTTGTTTATTCCATTCATATGCAATGAAAATGTAGCTGAATATTAGTATTTTGTTTGCCACATGGCATCATTTTGAAACTTGAACTTATTATTGTTTTCTACTTGGTAATATCTGCCATTTGTATATGCATTTTAAAGTTCATTTTTCTTGTTAATTTGAATTATTTTTTTTTATATACATTATGTTTTGTGGCGAGAAAGTATTCGGAAAACAACAATATAACTTTATTGTTGAAAAGGCAACATAGTCTTATTTCCATTTAGAATTGACAAGTTATTGGCACTCATCATCTTTGATTGGCTATAATTTTAACCCCCTTTTTCAGGACTTTCAAGTACATATGTCAGCATCATGGTATCGTGGATGTTTTGTGTCATCTTTACACACAATTTGAGGCAGCTCAGTTCTTGACATATTTCCTTGATCTGTTGATTCCTGCAGCCTTCAAACATGCTGTTGGCATAGCAACTAGTGGAGAGAGCAGTGCATCAGAGTCATCTGGAGGTTTGAAGGAATATATGTCCATGTTACACAGACTCTTGTCTACTCTCAGTCTTCCAGATGACACAGCAGAAATGGCTGCATAGTATGTTTAGTTAATATTTATTTACACCTACATGTATAAGGTCAAATGGTGACATTTGAAATCTACTGATTGAGAGCAACCACTAATGCTCATTGATGTATTATTTCAAGCACAGTTAAATTATTGGTCCAATTGTTAGATAATAAAGTTATGGTGAGCAAGCAATAAGTCAACTATCGTAACCACTCCTTCAGAGAGACTTGGAGGATATTTTCAGTCATTGGGCAGATTTTATTTTGTTCTTTTCCTGATACTTATTATTTCATTTGGGAATGGGTAGGATTTGTTGGTCCTTTGTCAAGATATACTATTTAAATATTATGTACCAAATATATATCATAGACATACATGTATAAACAAATCAAACAAACAAATTTGAATAAAAGTCGAGTATTATTTTTATGTAGATGCAAGATGTAGATGTATCATTGCATTGTTTGCAATGGTAGATATTTACAAGAAAAAATGTGTGGATAAGGCACTTGCAATATTCAATTGTAACACCATTGAATCACCAGTACATAAAACAAGAATAACCCAACCTGTACATGCTTGAAGCATTATGTTGGAATCCTGTCCATGGCAGAATGGAAAGTGTATAGTATTGTTTTATTTCAGCAAATTCCTGCAAGTTTTTATAAGGCATGGAAGCAAACATCTGGATAATGATGTTGATGACAGAATCAAGGAAAGTTTACAAGGAATTGTTAGGCAGCTTGAAGGAAAGTAAGAATTATATTTAACTTTCTATTTCATGTCGACATGATCAATACACTATTGAGCTAGCTTATTTCAGTGATTCTAGTTGGATGCCTGCTGTTGTCTGAGGCACCTGTGGTCTTGACCAGAAAATTGTGGATTTTACTGTGTTAATGTGATTAAACCCCCAAAAAAGTGACACTACTTGTTTAAAGAACATTAATACTTTAGTCTAATGTTAACATATCATAATGGTAAAATGCTTTACTTACATGAATGAAGTTATGGATTCTGTGTTTGGATCTTACTGAACAAGGGTTTACTCCATCAATTCCTTTTTCCTTGCAACTTCAAATGAATAAAGAAACTGCAAGTGAATAGTTTTTTACTGTAATTATTTCTCAATGGTATTTTACTGTACTTCTGTGTGGAAAGCTGAAATAAAAAATTAAGTCTTTGATTATTTCCAGACATTCGGCTGCTGTAGACAAGGCTATCAGTAAAATACTGACAGAGTGTAAAAACTCGGCAGAGAAAGACTTGGTGAACGAGTTTCTCAATCTGTATGTATTGTCCGTACCACATCAGTTAATTACTGACAGTGAGACGAGTCTTGTTCTGTCACTGAATCATAGACTGCCTACAGTCAGGAAGAAAGCTGTAGCCACACTTATACAAAACAGAGCAGAGGTAGGCATTTGTTCTTCATAAGTTTACATGCTTGTTACCAAAGCCAGAAATCTATGTTATACAGAGATAAAAAGCTCAAAAATCATAAAAAATTCAGATTATATAGAGGATATTTGTTTAGTTCAGTGTAAGATCGGAATATATTTCACCGAGTGAGCACCAAAAGGTATATTTCACGAGTGGCGCAGCCACGAGTGAAATATGAACTTTTGGTGTTCACAAGGTGAAATATATTTCAATCTTACACTAAACTAAACAAATTTTCTTTTTATTACATGCAAAGAAACGTTTTAAAAAGACAATAAATCTAATAATTAATGAAAAGCGCGCCAAATAATAATGCAACGTGACGTCATTTACGACGTCACGTCATTAAGTTGGTACCCAGTACTGTGCACGCTGCTATTTCACTGAAACAACGTAAGGGGCTTAAATTCAAAACAGTGAAATTATCAAAGTGGTAATTTCACTGTTTCAAACAGTGAAATTACCCGTTTTATATCACTGATATATTTCTATAAACCACCGAAAAGCATGTAATAATAACTTTATCTTTTATGTGAGCTTGGTACTTAGTCTGAGTTGGAGTTGTTTTGATATCAGCAAAGTTATTAGAGATTAATATTACCAATTATTTTGTTTTATTTCTTATTACCCTTTAAGTAAATTTTCGTCTGATTTTGACATATCTGTAAATACATTTTAGTCTCTCTATTTTTTTCATTTGAAATTCAAAAAGATGGGTATGCACATTAAGTAATGCTTGGAAAGTCACAAAGATCATAAATTTATGTGAAAATGTTATGATAGACACATATTTTAACTATTTAATGTCAACAAATTCCTTTGGTGTGCCTGCATTGCATGATCCAGAATTTATTCTCTCACAATAAGTGGGAAAAGTAGAAAGATAAAAATCTTATGATTTTTGCGCAACTGTTTCAGCTTGAAGAAGATGGGTTTCTTAAGGATTCACTAACTTTACGACTTCAAGATGAGGACCCATGTGTGGTACAGGCAGTTCTAGCTATTGGTCAGGTATGTGACTTTAAACACTTGGTTTCACTATTTTTTAATGCACTTTTTTGGATAAAATATACTTTATTAGTGTTGTTTGTAATTTTTAACACTTGGCAGTCAATGAATTTAAAAGGACTCCACTGAGGTTATTTGACATGATGGGACCGAAAATATTTTTTTCAGATAAATGTACCATTTGATGTAGGTTTAGACCACTGATATTTGTGCAAAATTCCAGATCAATCGTGCAGGTCGTTTTTCCAGAATAATTATTCAAATTGTAAAAAAATGACGCAAAATGAAAAGCTTTTAAACACTTTTCACTCAAATCTGGCTAACAAAAGCATAAAAATACGATTTTCAATTTATTTCAAAGTATATTTCTTAACTATCTTTGCAAATATTTCTGTTTATAGTGCCCCAGCTCATTTATGTAAGAAATTAAATGTTATGTTTTTAAGCTTTTAAACCTCAGTGGAGTCCCTTTAAGATTTTGAATTTACTGGTCCAAATTCCAATTTTGAATTAATTTTATTATATATTTAACTAAATTTTCTTAAAATTTTCACTGGCCATGGGCCACCGGGCCAGTGTTAAATTCGATGACTGCACTTGAATTAGAAAATACTTTAATACTGTTGTTTGCTATCTGGATAGCTTTCTCACATGAAAGAATTTGCAGGTGCTTGTGTGGTCCGAACTTCCAGCGGTAAGAGAAAGACACTTTATAAAAGTGTATTTCATTATTAGTCATGTTCTATGTCATCATGGCTAGAAAAATGAGATATGTAAGCAGTATTTTGAGTATGGCAACAATCTTTTATATTCATGGATGAAATTTAAGATAGTTTGACTCATTTGACCAGTGTATATGATTTCAAGTGACACCTTTAGCTAAAAATGCAATTTTTACTCTGTTTAAATACAACAAAGACATCAGTAGATACATTTTTAGTCTCATATACTGAACTAAAGTGAATCAGCTTCAAAACATAACAATTTATTTTATAACTTTGAATTAGGGGACATGTTATCCTTTGACTGATCACATGCAAAATATTGATTGTGCCATACATCAGTGTTCTATTAAATGTGTGTTAGAGAAATTACAGCATGTTATGCAATAGTTGGTTGTTTGACAGTATAAATTACCTCTATCTATGTTGCAGGAATTATGGTCAGTGATAGATGATGATTTACAGACATGCAAACTTCTTCTCAAACCAATATTTGAATATCTTAACAACCAGCAAGGCTCGGCTGTAAATGAAAGGTTACTATTTTATATCAGATTTGTTGATTTTTGTGCCCCCACGTTAGTGGCGGGCATTTAGATTTACCCTTGTCCGTCCGTCCGTCTGTCTGTCCGAGCAAACATTTTGGGTTTAGGGGCTATATAACAGTAAAGAGAACAAAAGAGAACAATAGGTTCAATCCGTGATCAAAGGGTTTATGGGCTAGTAGCCCTTAAGAGAACAAATAAAAATAACAAAGAAAATAGCCCCTAAACCCAAAATGTTGGAACGTCCGTCCGTCCTTCCGTCCGTCCATCCGTTCACTTTTGTGTCGCAGGTAACTCAAAAAGTATTTGACCTAGAGTCATGAAACTTTACAGGAATGTTGTTCAGCATGTGTTGTTGTGCACCTGGGTATTTTCGTCTGGATATTTTTAGTATTTACAGAGTTATTGCACTTGACTTAGTAAAATTTTGCAATTTTCAACTTGTGTCGCATGTAACTCAAAAAGTATTTGACCTAGAGTCATGAAACTTTACAGGAATGTTGATCAGCATGTGTAGTTGTGCACCTGGGTATTTTCTTGTGGATATATTTAGTATTTTCAGAGTTATTGCCCTTGACTTAGTAAAATTTTGCAATTTTCAACTTGTGTCGCACGTAACTCAAAAAGTATTTGACCTAGAGTCATGAAACTTTACAGGAATGTTGATCAGCATGTGTAGTTGTGCACCTGGGTATTTTCGTGTGGACATTTTTAGTATTTTCAGAGTTATTGCCCTTGACTTAGTAAAATTTTGCAATTTTCAACTTGTGTCGCACGTAACTCAAAAAGTATTTGACCTAGAGTCATGAAACTTTAAAGGAATGTTGATCAGCATGTGTAGTTGCGCACCTGGGTATTTTTGTCTGGGTATTTTTAGTATTTTCAGAGTTATTGCCCTTGACTTAGTAAAATTTTGCAATTTTCAACATGTGTCGCACGTAACTCAAAAAGTTTTTGACCTAGAGTCATGAAACTTTACAGGAATGTTGATAAGCATGTGCAGTTGTGCACCAGGGTATTTTCGTCTGGATATTTTTAGTATTTTCAGAGTTATTGCCCTTGACTTACTAAAATTTTGCAATTTTCAACTTGTGTCGCAAGTTACTCAAAAAGGATTTGACATAGTCATTAAACCTTATGGGCAGGTTGCTCAGCATATTTAGATTTGCACCTGGGGTTCCGCTTGTGGATTTATCAAGTATTTGTAGAGTTATTTCCCTTGACTTAGTAAAAAGATTGACAGAACAGTGGCGCGGTGGGGGCACCCGTGTCCTATGGACACATTTCTAGTTAACTTTCAGAATACTTACTCTGCAGGGAATTTGTGTTGTTCCATTTCAAGTTTAAAGGATCAAAATTGAATCAAAATCTAAAATTTGAGCCACCAACAGTATAGAACCTAGTCAGTCAGATACATGGATATCCAGGCTGGCCTAGCTTTTCTTCTGGTTACAAAAGTTAATCACTATTGGTGGCAGCAAATTAAGGGCTACATACAATAATAACTTGCCTTTACTACCAATTATATAGAATATTTATACTGATTGGCCTGACTGTGTAGTGTGGCTGCTAAATTTGGCTTTTTTGACATCCAGATCCAAAAAATATAAATTTAAAAAGTAATCTAAGAATTTTACTTCTAATTTGTTTTTTCAGAAAAATCACATCTTTGGTTAAAAATCCAATTAAATCTGAAATTTAAATTATTTGATTTTTCTAATATATATATAATTCTGTGTAAAATGTAACTAATGAGTTGTTGGTATTATGTTCATTTAATTATGCTTCTTTGATAAATATCTATGAACTACAAGTAGTAAACAAAGTTTTCTTTGATCCTTACTTGGTTTGTACACTACAAAAGTAGCTCTCAGATTTGGAGGGGAGACAACTACCATTGCCTTGTCTTCTTGCCATAGGATATTCCCAACATTCTCACACTAAAAATGATGTAGTAAATTGGTAGCATTGACATTTTCAGGAGACAGTCTGCATGTTTAGCGGCTGAGATATTAGGGAATTATTGTGGCGACAATACCATGGAAATATTTACAAGATGTCTTCCATGCTTGTTTTTGACTCAGAAGTCCAAGGAGTCGGTAAAAATAATTGGAATGTTACTGGACTCAAAACTTACTTCTAAACATCCTGTTCTTGTAGAGGTCAAAAAAGGTATGTTACATAGTTGTTGGCATGGTTTGTTGTAGAAGCCTTGTCTTACATACAAGGATATTCAAATGAAATGGAATCTTATTTAATTCACTTTTAGACTTCAATTTTCGCAGGCATTTTATAACAATATTTTCAATATTCACAACTATTGCAAATAAAAAAATGTAATATTATTATTACATGTAAATAAGTGTTTAATTGAATTTTCAATTTACTCGGATAAGTAAAATATAGCTCAAGCCAAAAAGTCTATTGTATTAAAATATATAGTTTCTATGCATTAAACTGAAATATTTTCTAATTTAGTACTCTATATTTCCAGAATGGACTGCTGTATCGAAAACTGTAACAAAAGAATCAGCAGATATAGGCATGATGGACACCAGCATTGCACAATGTCTGGCTCACGGTCTGTGTCATGCCATCACACAAAACAATCTACAAATTGTAAGTAAAATATTACTCCATATGGTATAAAACTTCCCATTTAATGTGAAAATGTTTGTTTAAAATGCAAATTAGGGACTTTTTTACCACATTTTGTGTCACAAGCGGATCAAATAGGCCATGGTATATATTAGAAGTAACAAAAATCTTGTCAATTGGACCTTATCCTAAATAAGATTTGACGATGGCAAGTGATTAAAATTGGCCTGTTTATTATCAGCTGTTGGTAAATGATATAAACATTTAATATTATGAACTACTTTACTTTTAAGTTGACAGTGGATGGCATAATGAATGATTTTTTTTTTATAATGCAGGTGCGCGACTGGACTAATATAGCTGGGAAAGCAGACAATGCAAGGACAGTATGTTTAATGTTGATTGTACTTGACATCCTTGTTACTATGAATACTGATAGTAAAATCAGGTTGGAGTTGTGTCTGCTGCAGATACAACTAATTGATAATATTCAGCGAGCACAGGTATGTTGTTGTTAAAGCATAAAAAACATGTAAGAATCAAAATGTAGTGTTACACATTGATGCTTACATTGATTGTTATATCGGTAACAAATTTCATAATACATGTAAAGTCTTGTTTAAAATTACTTGGTATTTTCAATAGGAAAACTTTACTTTTTTATCTTAAACTGTCGTCCTGAACATTTGAAGCTACAAGAGTTTTTATTTCTGATTTTATTTCGAAGTATTGACTTAAACACATTATTATTGTAAATAGATGGTGCATTCTCGTAAAGTCAAAGTGCAAGAGATGAACAAGGGATGGAAGGGGATTATAACTGATGATAAACATTTGTTACTGGCAGTAAAAAACAACCAAGTGCTTAGTACAATGTGCCAAAAAGCTGTGGCTGGTGTCATTAAAGTGCTGAAGGTGCCAAAACAACTTATACAAGGTTTGTTTTATATTGATTGGTTGCTTGAAGGATAAACCGACAGTGGTTCTTACGAGATAGACTTTGGGGCCATTTCTTCTGTTATTTTTCTTTTTTGAACAGAAAGCTGCATATTCTGTTGTTACCATATAAATGCTTTATGGTTGTATGGCCCCTAATCCTGATCTAGTTGCAAGTATAGGCAGATGGGTGGGTAGATGGATGGATTGATTGTTCGTTTTTGCATGTTTCTACCATTAATTCAGTTATACATTACCAGAGCTATATGTAAACACATCAAATGCATGTTGAAAATCCGGTAGACTTTCTTTCTCATTTCCTATATTTTCTTTAACCCTTTTGCTGCCAGAGGGTTATTGTTTTATTGATCACCTATTTGCCAGAGGGTTTTCTAAGAAATTACCATATTATTAATTAACATAATTATTATTATTTGTTATTAGTTTTATAATAATTATATATGTTTCCAAATATGCTAGTATAATAATGATTATTGTTGATGGTATAATTTTCTTTACATTTATTATTATTATTATTAATTTATTATTATGATTTTTATAGAAACGGCAAAAGCCGTCCATATGGCAAATACGCCGAAAATAACAGGGACGGCATAAGCCGTCACTATGGCAGTGAAAGGGTTAAATATTAGTTTAATCAAGAAAATGTTTTGTAAGAAAATGTTTAAAACATTTGCTTTGCTTATTACTAGAAACATTTAACCAGTCCAATGATACAGTCATACTGCCTATACTTGTAACATAACTTGAAATTTTTTGTTTAGCACCGGTGTGGCAGTTGTCTGGAGATGAGACAGAGAGTGATGTTTTTCTGTGTGTATCAGTACTCCTATACAGATTTCTTCTTGCTGAGGTCTCCACTAAAGTTGGTCATATATACATAGTGATGCTGCAGTCAATACAAAAGGTATCTCATTCTAACATTCTGTACATAAATTTTTTTATACTGTTGTAAAACCTGATGTATTATTACATAAAATCTATTGTATATTTGTATTAAGGTGCAATCAACTTTGAATTTATTTTTTAAACATTAAGACTTCTTAATTTTCAAGCAGCCCAAAATGTATCAAAGAATAATTTATCTATATGGCAAATGAGTATTTTTTTATGAAATTGTAACAAGATACCAAAAATAAAAAGTTATTGAGAAATACATATAATACCATTTCTGAGGTTTAAAACAATGATGTGTATCCCAACCTAAAACCAAAAAGTACAATAAAAATGCCTTAAACAAATCAAATAAATCATTTTATATTCCAATAACAAGTATTGTTGATAAATAAATGATACTGTGAGTAGGAAAGATATACACATTTTTTAAAAACTGTAAAAGGGTTACTGCATTTGCTTAAGATTTGTTTCATTTTGACATAAGATTTTATATGATATTAAGCTATGTATAAAGTCTGAGCATTTTATATCTTAAAGAATTTCTGCCTCATATTTTGTCTTTCTTTTTTTTTACAACAGACTTGTTTCAATAACGCTGAGTTATATTTGAAGTTTCTATGCTTATTATGGACTCAGCATGCTAACAACAGAGTAAATGACCTTGGCCTAACATTGACCTTACAAGCAAGGTCATTGAATCTAGGTCATGCTTTTGTGAAAAGTTTAGAGGGAGAAGATAGGAAAAGATTCTTGCAGTCACCAACAGGTTATTATTTCATAGCTTGTACTAAGATATGAACAAAACGAACAGCAAACAAGGATTGTTCAACTATTTTTTGCTTTTCTGCTTTGAAGAAAAAGTCCAGCTTTTATGATTGTTGCTTCATTGTCGATGACATGCAAAATATTTAATGTAGCCAATTGTTCAAACATTTCAAAGGTATCAAAATGAAACTTGGAGTACTTGCTTATCATGATAAGTTGCAGTTGTTAGACAAATGGGCTTTTGTGTTTTAATTATTATAGAAGTAGGCTACAAAGAAATATTTGTGCGCGCTTATATATTTAAAGATTGTTATCATACATGGAAACTTTGGTAGCTAATAAACATTCATTATTTACACTAGGCCTCATTGATACAACTTTATTTATCTTTCATATAAGACATTTTATAAGAAATTAGATACTGTATATTATTGTTTAAATCTAAAAATAAAGAAAATCAAGCATGCAGAAAACTTGTTTCTCTATTAACAGTGTATATTCAAAGGTCAAACTTAAGGTCTTGTTGGGTTTTTTTGTTGTTTTTCAGAAAAAATGTCTCTATTTTTACAAAATTGTAAATTAGGAAGATATATTGTAATTTTTTAGCTATGTCAGGACTCCTACTGGTGTTGACCAGTGAGCAGGCTCAGATCAGACGAGCTGGTGTTCAGGTTATCAAAGAACTGTATTCTATAGCTGAGGAAGAAAGCACAATGTTTTCAAGCCTTCATAAAAGAATTGTCCGATGTGAAGAAGAGATTGAGTCAGATTCTATGTACATTAACCAAGTAAGTTGTGCTATATTATGTAATATAATACTGTACACTATTTGCATTTTATACTCTACAAGTTAAGAATCTAGTTGTAAATAAGTCCTTTCTTCCATGTAATTTCCATGTACTTTAGATATATATATATAATATTATGTCTTCATTAATCTTTGATAGATTGGTAGTAGAATATTGTCAGGTTAGAAATTGATTCATGCAATTATGTAAGCATGGAAGTTTCTCTGTTAAGTGTATGCAATAGAAAGAGAATTACAGTAGAACTTCGAAGTTGAAGGGACTTTGTAAAAACTTCGATACATTGGGACTTCAGATCATGGGTTGGGCTGAGTTTAATGACAAAATTTTGAGCTGCCGATTTTAACATGATTTACAAAATACGTAACATAAGAAAAGGTTGATAACTAAACCAGCTTACTGTAAAGTAAATATATTTTGTGTAATAATCATGTGTAGCTGGGTCTCGGAAGATCTCAAACGAAACTAATACAGACTGTTGATTTTCAAATACAACTATGGCGATTTGAATGATAACAATTAGATGATATTTGCACATATTTAAATGCATACAAAGGCTGTTAGAACACACAGCTATGAAATAAACACCTGTCATGAAAGTTGATCGGTAATTATCTTTGCACCCAGGAAAGATGTGAAAATGATTTTTAGGTCAAGGGTCTAATTAATCAATAGACTTAAACTTAAAAATTTATGGTAAAATGTTTTCTTGAATTATTCTTTATGGACCACATAAGATCTTAAAAACATATACATGTATATAGGTTTTTATATATAGAATATGAAGGGGGAAATGTCAAGACTTTCATTTAACTTCAACACATTGAGAAAATCGACTAACTGAAGTTCAGCACATCAGAAGTTCTACTGTAATTGATTTATATTGCAGGACTTAATTTATGCTGACTACAGATGATGTTATTCCATGTAGATTTTCTTAAAAATTCTGCATATAGCAAGAGTTTAATGATTCTATTCTGTTGCCAGTTTGTGTTTTCCAGCTAGATATGTACAATAATATGACCTTTACAGTGCAGATGTGACTTAACTCCCTCCATATATATTCATATTTACTTTTTTATGCCCCCACAATGTGGGAGCATATAGCGTTGCACTTGTCCGTCCGTCAGTCTGTCAGTCCGTCCGTCCGTACGTCCCGAAATCTTGTGAACGCAACTCCTCTTAAACCGCATGGCAGATTTTGCTTAAACTTACAGGGATGAACAACCTTAATGTGTAGATGGTAGTAAAGGAAGGAATTTTTGCTGCGACCAAATTTAACAGAATTATGGCCCTTTGTTGATTATTTCACTAGATACTATGTAGAAATTTTGTGAACGCAACTCCTCTTAAACCGCATGGCAGATTTTGCTTAAACTTACAGGGATGAACAACCTTAATGTGTAGATGGTAGTAAAGGAAGGAATTTTTGCTGCGACCAAATTTAACAGAATTATGGCCCTTTGTTGATTTTTTCACTATATACTATGTAGAAATTTTGTGAACGCAACTCATCTTAAACCGCATGGCAGATTTTGCTTAAACTTACAGGGATGAACAACCTTAATGTGTAGATGGAAGTAAAGGAAGGAATTTTTGCTGCAACCAAATTTAACAGAATTATGGCCCTTTGTTGATGTTTTCACTATATACTATGTAGAAATATTGTGAATGCAACTCCTCTTAAACCGCATAGCAGATTTTGCTTAAACTTACAGGGATGAACAACCTTAATGTGTAGATGGTAGTAAAGGAAGGTATTTTAGCTGCGACCAAATTTAACAGAATTATGGCCCTTTGTTGATTTTTCACTATATACTATGTAGAAATTTTGTGAATGCAACTCCTCTTAAACCGCATGGCCGATTTTGCTTAAACTTCCAAGGATGAACAACCTTTATGTGTAGATGGCAGTAAAGGAAGGAATTTTTGCTGCAACCAAATTTAACAGAATTATGGCCCTTGTATTTTTTTTCATTATATACTATGTAGAGATTTTGTGAACGCAACTCCTCTTAAACCAGATGGCAGATTTTGCTTAAACTTCTAGGGATTAACAACCTTAATGTGTAGGTGGTAGTAAAGGTAGGAATTTTTGCTGCAACCAAATTTAACAGAATTATGGCCCTTTGTTGATTTTTAGTTTTCAACTTGTTGCACATGTAGTCCAAAAAATATTTGACCTAGAGTCATAAGATTGACAGAACAGTGGCGTGTGGGGGCATCCGTGTCCTATGGACACATTTCTAGTTTAGTTTATTAAATTGTATTGATTTTATTCTTCAGTTAATTGGTCAGCACTTTAAGCATACATCTGCCTCAGAAACTGTCAGTAAGAGGTCAAAGAGAAGGAAATCTGAAGGTGGTGGTCAAGACAAAGATATCAAACAGTCAGCATTGATGTCATTGTTAGAACTGATTATCAACCAATCTACTCCTGGATATATGCAGTACAAAATGCTGGTTGTTTTTTCACAGCTCAACAATAAGGTGAGTACACTGTATCTGCCATTTATATTTTGACAATGCCTGGTCAGTCATCATTATTCACCAGGGTTGAAAGGGCTGTGGTTACAATTGACTGGTGCTTTTTAAACTTGATATTTAAGAGCTAATACTAAATATAAAAAGAATTCCTCTGAACAATAGCAATCTCTCGTCCTTGCTTGTCATTTTGCCCTCCCCTATTAAAGTTTGGTGTCCTGCTTGGTTCTGTGTTAGTGTTTCTGTGTTGCCTGGATTTTGTTGGGGCATGCATTCATTGAATGGCGTCCTTCTTTGTTGATATTTGTACTCGTATCTCAATTGGAAACTGAAGTTTTGTATTTGCAACAGTGAATGCTAAATGACTGTTGTTTTATGTTGTTGTTTGTTGTTTCTAGGATGTGTTAGAAGCATTGTTACCTCTGATGGAGAGACTATTGGACCAGTCTGTTGATGATATGCCAGAGATAGACAGTAAATGTTTAAATCTCCTTGTGCAGAGATTTACACTGGATACTAGTGACTGTCTGTCAAAGGCATCAAAAGGATTACTACTGTTTATAAAGACTTTAAAACTTCACCAGGAAGTCTCGGAGAATAGCCAGACATCTCAGATGATTGCTGTGTCTCAGGTATGTTCATACTTAGTTATATATAAATCATACAGGTCATTTAGAAAGTTAAAAATATAGAGTTGGTATCACTGTCTTACAAATACCAAATATTATTGAAACTACTGAAAACATTTAATTTAATCAAACCAATATTAAATTTTCAATTGCTGCAGGAGATAGTTTGGTATAGAAAACATGGACTGATTAAGATATTTAACATATCAAATGATTTTTTGCAAGACAGTGACATATCAGAATGATTTCAAACCAATTGTATTTCAGATATTTGTTTGCCAAAATTGTAAAATATTTGGCTTGAAGTAGAAGTTATTGATAAAGATTGTTGTTTTCAGGTAACAAAGGAGTTATTTGGTGCAATAGAGGATGATTCTCAACATGAAGTGATGAGTACATTGTTTGATGTATGTGTAGATACTAAACATCTGTTGGTAGCCAATCTAATTAGGAAAACACTCAAACATGTAAGTGTATGTCTTGAAATTCCTTACGTTATGTCTGTGTAATAGAGACTTGGATGGCTTGAAATTTAGAAATTTCCGTTCAGGTGAACAGATTTCAAGACAAACATTGAGTTGAGTACGTTAATGATATAGGGTCTTGTAAGGCTGTTAAATTTAGGCTATCCCGGCTGTAAAGTATTTTCATAGGCAGTTCATGTGCTTCTTAATGCAACGCCTAATTGTACTAATTTATTACATGAAAATATTTTTCAAAATCAATTATAAAGATATTTGATAACAGAATCTTTTCCATGATGGAACATCTTGTCATGATGGTCTAAACTTGTGTAATATTGAAGAGTCAAGATATAATGAACATGGTAAAATAGATAGCACACAAGTTTGGTTGTTTGTTTGTATTACTGAGTTTTAATGATTAGAGTTAGCTTGATACATAATAATGTTACTAAACATACTAGCTCAAAATATTTAGCTGCTGTGAAAATTAAAAGAAACACCAGACATGAATAAAGCCAAAAATAAATGGTGTAAAGGTTTAAACTATAACAATACTTAGTATAGTCATCTTATTTCAGCTGTCAGTGAATGGTGAGCATATAGAGAAAGAGTTGAAGAAATGTCTTGACATTCCAACTGCCAAAACTGTCCGTGAGGCTAAAAGATTGAAACGGTAAGAATTTTAAATATGACGTTTTAAGTACATGTAATACTAAAAATTAAAAAATTCTACATTGGAATATCATAATTGAAAATCCCATGGAATATCATAAGTGAAAATCATATTTGAACATTAATTTTGGTAAATTTTGTATCAACTTGGTGCTTTGATGTTGAAGCTATCCCTGTGAAGTTTGTGGTTAAGGTGTCTGCCTCACAACACGGGAGTTGTGGGATTGAGCCCTACTTGGGTTGTAAGTCTCACAACCTGTTACTTTACAATATTACTTTACCTGATGCCAGTTCTGGTAACAGGATGCAGACTAAAGATTGGTTTAAATAAATCAATCACGATTATTATTATTGAATAATTATGCTTAAACAAAACTCTTCATTTCATATTTAAGACCTGACCCAACTCCACAATCAGTAGGGGACACAGAGTTTGACTCTCGTATTTGGCAGAGGGTAACAGTGGTGCTAGAAGCTGTACAAAACAAGAAGAAAATACAAAACTATTACTGTCTAGTACCTGTGTGCTTCCAGTTAATGTCAAGGTAATATCTTCCTCCAAAATTTGCTGTTAAAGTTTTGACAATTTGAATTTTAAGTTTATCTTGATGCCAGTTTGATTGAGAGATTAAATTGGAAAGCTAGTTAAACTTTATAAAAGTATTATTACATGTATTTTACCACATCCTTTTTGTTCAAATGAGCAAGTAACTTCTTTGCTTTTTTGAAAGATTTTTATGTTTTAATGATTTTGAACTGCCTATATTTCTTTGTTGATTTGAAATTTGTTAACCTTTTCCCAAGAATTTCTTTGTTGATTTGAAATTTGTATACCTTTTCCCATGAATTTCTTTGTTGATTTGAAATTTGTTAACCTTTTCCCATGAATTTCTTTGTTGATTTGAAATTTGTATACCTTTTCCCATGAATTTCTTTGTTGATTTGAAATGTGTTTACCTTTTCCCATGAATTTCTTTGTTGATTGGAAATTTATTTACTTTTTGCTATGAAGATAGTTTCTATTTTGCACGTTGCTTTGGGTGATAACCTGGACTGATTTAGTTACTTTATTTCAGCATACTAGAATCAGATAATCATGTAGCTGTAGAGTACATCAAACAGCTGATACTGACCCTCATGTATAATATATGTACCAGACTGGATAAACTAGAACAAGGTATAATACTATATACTTAGTTTTCAAGCCTCATCAATGTACTGTGAATTAACTTAATTTTGTTGGTTTGGAAATTTATGTTGATATGTGCAAAAAAGTAAAATGCATGCAAAGTAATCTTATTGAGAATATATGTATACATAGTATAATGAGGGTTCAGTCACAAAATTGTAGTACGGACCTCAGACATGTTTACCAGTCATGCCTTTAAAGGGTTAATATTGAAGCACAAAGTTGTGATAATTTACCTTCATGCAATTTATATGGAGTATTTGCCAAAGACATTTTGAACCAAAAGTAGGTCACTGTACTTAATAATGTTTACAGATGGACGAATGTTTGTTCCTTATATCCTTGTTAAATTTTTTTGTTTAATTGAAAGATGATCATCATTGTTAAACATTTATTGTAGATGACATTATACCAGAACAACAGTTCAACATGGATTTGATCATCAACTGTATTAGGTCGTCAGATAACCCACAGACACATCATCATGCATTGTTGTTGCTCACGGCTGCAGCTAAAATATATCCTGTATGTATATAGATGATGTTAACATGTAAACTTTTATCCCTTGTTTGTTCCTACACATATGGCTAAAGTTATAACCTCACTTTTTATTGTTTCATTAAGTTATATATAATTACTATCATAAAATTGTAAAGGAATCTTTCTGAGAGAAACTTGCTTAACAAGGAAAAAAAGAAAAATGAATGAAATATTTTAACATTTTTGTTTTTGTTAGTGCTAACTTGTCCTGGAATAAAGCAGAACATTATTTTATCAGTAAAACCAGAAAAATCGTACTTGCCCTTCACCTGAGTTGGTTTGAGTCAAGCCAGGGACTTTGGATTCTCTATCAAACTAGCTAACAGAACGTCAGTGGTTCTACTCGGGTGTCCGTTTGTACCTGATATAATGAATGGAGGGGCATCTGAGGTCTTCCTCTACCAGTAAAGCTGGAAAGTCACCATATGACCTATACTGTGTTGAACCCAACCAAAATAGAAAGAAAAATCATGACATGATCTTAATTGTAATGTCCATATTAATTGTCAATTACAGGAGCACCTGTTACATAACATGATGTCTGTGTTCACATTTATGGGAGCTAACATAATGAGACAAGATGATGCCTACAGTTTCCTTATCATCAGTAAAATACTAGAGACTGTTGTACCTGCATTAATTACTGTAAGTAGTACTTTCTTTATATAAATCAGTATCTTATGTTTAGAGACATTTGCTAGAAATAGTGGATGACTTTAAATCACTTGGTCCTCACTAATGTTGGTTCAATTCCTGAATTATCAAAGTGAATATAGTATCCATTTCTCTGGATTTTCTGGAATGCCAGCCAATGTTAGAAACAATGCAAGGATTGTTAACTTAAGTCTTCCTTAACCATTAAAGTTCAAAAGTAAGTAGGTATTAAAAGCAACAAATAAAACCATCTAATGATAAATGAAGTATCTCAGTTGTAAGTGATTTAAATTTACTTAATCATTTTATGCTTGAGATTTTAAATGCATGTTAATAGTTTCTGATAACGAGGATGTTATTTATTTTCAGGCATGTGAGCAGAGAAAGCGTGTGCCTAAAGGCATCACCAACGACCCTGATGATATAATTACCATGGTTATACAGGTGTTTGTAGATTCATACCCGTATATACCGGAACATAGACGGCAACTTCTATTTAACAAACTCATGACTGTAACTGGTGAGGAGAAATATCTGTGGAGGACTCTACTTCTGATGATGAAACATGTGGTTACCAAGGGGACACTGAAGGCAGAGCTGACAACTGATTCCCAAGAGGTAGACATTCATTTACATTTATTCTCTACCAAAAGAGAAGGAAACGATATGCATGTGGTTTACACATACAGATGTTATATATGAAAAGAAAATATAACTTGTTTTGAGAAATTTAAAGTGATTTAAAATAAATATTGGGAATATTGGTTTTGTTTTATTTGTTGACCATATGACAGTCATATTTTAATCTCAAATTTCCTTTATGTACATGTAGGTATCAAGTGATACCGAGTTTTGTCTGTCCATGTGTTCAGAGTTTACAGCAGCTGTACAGTTGTTAGCTGCTAGAGAAATGATGAATTATCTACTGAAACTACCAGATGACAAGGATGATGGTATGTTTATAGTCTATCAATATATAACAACGTATAAACTTTAATCTGCTGAATTTATGTAATAGATATACCCTGCTTTGACTTTGGAACAGTCCACTCATATAGGATTTCAATATCAGTATACAATTTACAAATAACTTAACATAAAGAGACTGGTTAGACTGTTTTGATGTGCATGCTGGCTTGGCTCTATATTGATGGCACAGGCTTATCACTTTTGCTTGCAGCAGCTATTGGTTGATAACTCTCTTAACACAAGTGATGTTTTTTTACCTTACCTAAGCCACAAGTTTAAACTTCTAGCTCTGCAATTCCATCATTTTAGTAGAGGAATGGATACCTTATGTGTACAACATACAGAAATTAAACTTAGTGAGATAGTTTTTTATTTCCAGAATATAAAAAAAAAATTCTTTCAATTTTAATTTAACTTTGGTATGAATTTTATCAAGATTTAAAAAATTACCAATTTCAGAGAGCTGAACAAAATATAGTTATATGTCATTTTAAACTTTTTCAACAATGAATTATTTTCAGATGTTGTAAAAGTTGTTAGAAAGGGACAGAAGTCCCAGTCATTTGGAAAACTTCACAAAGAGGATGCTCTTGTCTTTAATGTAGCTGTACATACAGGGAAACAACTGAGATACTTCAAATATGCCGCAATCAATCTCCTTGTTAACTTGTTCTCCAGTATAGACTTCATATATCAGGTAACTTGCTCCATCATATATCATGTACTTTAATTTTCAAATATAGACTTCATATATCAGGCATCTTATTCTCAGACTTCATATATCTCAAGTTGAGACTTGATGTATCAGATACATTTAAAATCTCTGAAAGCTAGACCCTGTGCGGGCTTGACCAAACATTGAGTTTTCAGAGGATTCAAGTAATACAGTCATTTATTGATCAATATTATGTGTTTGTACATAGACTTTGTTTAAATCCTTTTGTATTTACCATGTTACCCTCCATGCTTAGTCATACATGTGTTTTACTTTCTTTTTGCAAGAAAAATCTGACTAATTTTGTTTTGTCATACTGTAAAATCATTATTATTCGTGGGGCACGAATTTTCGTGGTTTTCGTGGGTAGGTCAATCCACAATTTAAGATCCCACGAAATTTTATCCCAACAAATACTTCTTGCCATGTCTCTATTCTATATATTACAAACATGCATCAGAGCTTTTCCGCCAATTTTTGTGTAATGAATGCTCAGAGGCAAGGATTAAATTGATTGACAAGTGATGTGTGATACGTAAAGTTATGTACATGTGGTAAGTAAAGTGCACGGCAATTAAGTGTAAGATTACTTTGCACTAGGTTAGTTTTTTTTTGTTTTTTTTACAAGAAATTGAAAATCCACAAATTTAAGAACCCATGAAAATGCCCATTTTGATAAAACCACGAATATTCATGCCCACGAATATCAGTGAATTCGCAGTAAATGGTATGCAGAAAGTTTGAAATTAAAACTACGCCATATTATAAATTGAATGTTTAATTGGCTATTCAAATATATCTGATTGAATTTATTCTAACTTAAAAACTTACTGTATTCTTACATAAAATCAATACAAATATAATGTGTGTAGCAAATATCTTAGCTAGTGTAGACACTAACAGTTGTGTAAAGAACCAGTCTTAAATGCATTTCTGTACTGTCAGATCAGATTCTTTGCTGTTGGAAGACTAGTGATATATTTAGATTTTGAAACTCGAAAAATTAGTGATGAATAGTATTAAATTTAAAACAAGGCAAGTCCCTTACATAAAATTAGTGAGATAAGGGTAGAAAATAAATATGATTGAATTAAACAAGAGTTTATCTATTACTGTCAAATATAATGATAGATATATTAACTTGTACAACAGATTACTGAGAGTGCTGAAGATTTGAGTGGAGAGTTTCAGCTGGTACTAGAGACAGCACTCAAGTTTGTGTCACACATTACCAACACTGCTAACAGATCACATGCTAAACCTACAGCTAAATACTGGAGAGCTATACTTCATAAATCTCATGATATGCTCGATAAGGTAATGTGTCCCTTTATTTTGAATTATATACATGTATAATGGAGTTAAAAAGGATTTTAAGTGCACATAACATACATTGCATATACTATCGATATATTTTGTGAAAGTTTAAAAAAGATTTAAGGGGGCTTCTATAACAGAGGAATTAAGGTTACTGGCTTTACATAACTTTGGTCTTGTCTAACTGTTGTGGGTCTGAATCCTGGTAGAGACATTGAAATATTTCATGAATCTATCTGTGTAGTAAAACTGGTGCTGGCTTTTGCCTGAAGTATAATGCTTGTAGTGACTTTTATATGGTCTTTATCTTCCAAGAAACTTGGTAAATACGTACATGATCTTGTTCAATGTTGCTCTGAATACAAAAAAATAAAACTAAGAAATAGGAAGTCAATTTGTATTGAGGTTTGAAACTGTTGAATATTTGTGTGTATGTATATGATGTAAGGTTAATGCATGCTCATTATTTTATAGTTTGTGTCCCTGTTGCCTGATGATTTGTTTGTTACTGTGATTGGTGGATTGTTGTCACATGACCTACCAACTATACAAAGAAAAGCCATGGACTTACTCAACTCTAAGTTACAACAACAGAAAGAAATGAAACCAGCAGAGGTGACTATTGTTTTATCTATTAAAGAGATAGATGTTTAATTCATACACAATTTATTTTAGTTTGAAGCTATATGCTTGTAAACACACTCTCAGATCATTCTTGGAACCAACTAGTACTTAGCATGAGTGTAAAAATTCTTGCACAAGGAAACAATGGCTTGTCTCTGATGGGCTTTGAACTCACACGGCCAGCAATCTATAAATTACTAGTCTGACACATTAATCACTTGACCACTTTAAGATAGATGTTTTTAAGACAGTCATAATATTTAAAATACATTGCTATGTATTTCTTTAAATAATGCTTACCATATTTGACAATGAAACACTAAATAACAACTATTCACATTAATTGGAGTAAAGCATTTGTTTCCTACCATAAAACTGGAAAATGGTCAAAGCATTTATGTACTTCTTCAAAATGTAAATATTATATTGACAATAGAAGTGAAATTTGTTTTTAAAAGACCTTTGTCTTAATATTGATGAAATTTTCATATAGAAATTATAGACAATAAAGTAATGACAAAATTGTTCTAGCAGATAATTTGCTAATTACATATCACAGTCAGATGGCTTTGATAAATAAATATAAATGTTAAAAAATGAATTTATTTATTATTCCAGGTTGAAGGAATGTTGTCCATTGTTGATCAGCTTAGAAAATTGGTAAATCACCTTGCCGCGGGTGATGTCATCTCGGAGGAGAACTCTATCAACTGCCAGACTGCATTTATCTCCCTTAAACTGTTATGTAGACATTTAGGAAATGTTCATAAGGAGACATTCTGTAAGGTAAATAGTGTTAACTCTTTCAAAGTGATTGTGATGTTGATAAAATACCTCTGTGGCATGTATAGAACCAGGTTAGCCAGCACAATGTGTAGTTTGACTGGCCAGTAAATCAGTTTTAACAATCGGTTGTTTAATTATTTGTTTTTTGTCTGCTAGCTTAACTCAATAGTGAACATAGATTTGTAATCCAGGGTTTGATGGTTTGTTCCTGAAATTTATCTCACTCATTGAGTCTAATGGTCATTTGTCTCTCAACACTTATTCATAATCATGTGGCATTGGTAGAGTTCACTTGCAGAGAATTCGATAATTACAAGTTACTGATCCAGGATATCTATTAAGAACTGACCATTATGATGTGATGAGAAATGTGATCAAATCTTCATATAACCAGATAAATAAACAAAGTTAAGCTACTTTAAACTTGCAATATACAGCAGTTACATTTAAGCAAATAAATCCATTATACAAATTGAATGTTTTAATGGTTAAAGAGGAACAACTTAACACTGAAAATTTATTAATTTTGTGAGTAGAATGGTTTGAAAATTTAAGTTTAAAGCCTTACAAAAAGCTACTGCAGCCTTATGTGATATTTTTTATAAAGAAGATAAACTTTCATTGGTGGTTTGAATATGTGAAGGATTAGTTTGACAGAAAGCAACTGTACCAATGTTTTTCTAGTGTTAACACAAGTAAAAGATGTAGTAAATAGATATAGAATTTTCATGTGTATATAAATTGTATGATATATAATTACAGGTATTGAAGACGACTATAACAGTGTTTAAACAACCTGGTATAAACCACCAGGTAGCATCTTGTGCATTATTGTGTATAGCTGAGATTGTTTCAACACTGAAGGTCAATGTGATTGCTCAGCTGCCAAAGTTCATGCCACCTCTCATAGCAGTAATGGCTGACAGGGAAAACCTCTTTAAGTAAGATTACACTTTATTGTAAGAAATGTTGCTACACTGTAAAAAGTTTTCAAGAAATTTATCTACATGTCAGTAAAGAACTGAAATATTTTGGACAAGTCAGATCAAACATGCAAAGTCGTTGTCTTTGTAGACAACTGTAACGTTGGCAATGGAATCTTCATTCTATTAGCTATTTTTATCCATACCTTTTAATGATAGGTTATGTTTGACATATTGAAATATGGCCTTGACTCATAAATATATTTGATTTTCAAGGTCAAATTTACACAATTTCAGTTTAACAAACACAACTGAATTATTTTTGTATGTTGATGATATTTTGTGTAAATATGTGTTTTTAGCTCACCTGAGCATATGCTCAGGGTGAGCTATTAGGATCACTCTTCGTCCGTCGTACGTTGTCCGTTCACACTTTTCAAACGACATCTCCTCTGAAACCATAAGGCAGATCATAATGAAACTTCACAGGGATGTTCCTTGTGTGAAGCCTTAACAAAGTTGTTCAAAGAATTCCATTCCATGCAGAACTCTGGTTGCCATGTCAACCAAAAGAAAAAACTTTTAACATCTTCTTCTAAAAAACCAAAGAGCTAGAGCTTAGATATTTGGCATGAAACATCTTCTAGTGAGTGTCTACCAAGATTGTTCAAATAAAATCCCTGGGGTCAAAATTGGCCCCGCCCCAGGGGGTCATTGATTTTCCCTATATGCATATAGTAAAAACTTAAAAAATCTTCTTCTAAAAAACCCAAAGAGGTAGAGCTTAGATATTTAGCATGAAACATGTTCTAATGGATGTCTACCAAGTTTGTTCAAATAAAAGCCCTGGGGTCAAAACTGGCCCCGCCCCTGGGGGTCATTGATTTTCCCAATATTCATATAGTAAAAACTTTAAAAAATCTTCTTTTAAAGAACCCAAAGAGCTAGAGCTAAGATATTAAGCATGAAACATCTTCCAACGAGTGTCTACCAAGATTGTTCAAATAAAAGCCCTGGGGTCAAAATTGGCCCCGCCCCAGGGGGTCATTGATTTTCCCTATATGCATATAGTAAAAACTTAAAAAATCTTCTTTTAAAAAACCCAAAGAGGTAGAGCTTAGATATTTGGCATGAAACATGTTCTAATGGATGTCTACCAAGTTTGTTCAAATAAAAGCCCTGGGGTCAAACTTGGCCCCGCCCCTGGGGGTCATTGATTTTCCCAATATTCATATAGTAAAAACTTTAAAAAATCTTCTTTTAAAGAACCCAAAGAGCTAGAGCTAAGATATTAAGCATGAAACATCTTCCAACGAGTGTCTACCAAGATTGTTCAAATAAAAGCCCTTGGGTCAAAATTGGCCCCGCCCCAGGGGGTCATTAATTTTCCCTATATGCATATAGTAAAAACTTAAAAAATCTTCTTCTAAAAAACCCAAAGAGCTAGAGCTTATATATTTGGCATGAAACATGTTCTAATGGATGTCTACCAAGTTTGTTCAAATAAAAGCCCTGGGGTCAAAACTGGCCCCGCCCGGGCTGACATTTATTTTCCTTATATGTGTATAGCAAAAACTTAAAAGTCTTCTTTGAAAAAATCCGAATAGCTAGAGTTTAGATATTAAGCATGAAACATTTTCTAGTAAGTGTCTACAAAGATTGTTCAAATAAAAGCCCTTGGGTCAAAACTGGCTCTGCCCCAGGTGTGTCATTGTTTTAACTATATGTGTAAAGAAAAAAACTTGACCAGCTAGACCTTAGATGTTAAGCATGAAATATCTTCTAATGGGTGTCTACCAAGTTTGTTCAAATAAAAGCCCTGGGGTTTAAACTGACCCCGCTCCGGGGGCCTATATACAGGTGAGCGACTTCAGGGCCATCATGACCCTCTTGTTTGTGAGAGTGATGTTTCCTAGTTTAGGTTGGTGTTGTGATAATAAAATATATTATATCAATATATTGTTGTTTATTTACAGGAATGAACTGTATGTGATAAGTGTAGTCACAGCTGTGAACAAACTCGTGGAAAATTTGTCAAACTTTCTCAGTCCATATCTACATGACATTGTCACAAATGTAAGTTCTACCTACCTTATTATATCTTTTGTTCAGAACATAGTTCCATAAAGCACCATGGGGGGACTCTGGCTCAATGGTCCTGACCTGTACCGACTTGAATTTCATTAGGAACATTATTTAAATCAATCTAAGGGAGGAAACTTTCAAGCTAGATTATGGAAAGGTCTCTTGTTTTAACCAAGTGCTAATGTACCTGAAAGAATGCATTGACAATTTACAGGTAATTTTTCTATTGACTCTATTCATTTCAACTTAATTTTGTTATAAGACAATAACATTGTCTGCATGACTGGAAAATCTACAAATAATATGATTAACTGCCTTTCTAAAAATAAAACAAATTACAATTCCTAATGACAACACATTGCCTTTATGTATACATGTTATGATGTATTATATTGTAATGTTATTTGCAGGTGTGTATACTGTCAACTGAGGCAATGCAGAATGACATATTACAGAAACCACAAGTTGCTCTTAGACTGAAAACAATTAGGTTAGTTTATTGTTACATGTTGTCTATATATGCTGAATATATGAATGTTGATGAATGTTTATAAGCTATTATGATTCTTATTGTTAACTGGTAAATTGGTAGCATTTTTCACATGAATTATGAAAGAAAAACAACATATGAACTGTTTAAAGTTGAATGTAAATTGTTTAAAGTTACATCTGAATTGTTTACAGTTTCATAGTTATATAAGTTTCAAATTAATTGATTAAAGTTTCATTTAAGTTGTTTAAAGTTTCATTTAAGTTGTTCAAAGTTTTATATGATTTGATTAAAGTTTCATATAAACTGTTTCAAGTTTCATATAAGTTTTATATGGAATATGTTACTCTTTTGTACTGTTTAAAGTTGCACATAAGTTGTATATGGAATTGTGTAACTCTTTTGTATGGATTGTTTGACATTTTGTTTTAATATTTTTGAAATTTCCTATAATTATGTAATTGTTTTCTTGCATTACTACAGGACTACACTATCCACGAATATACCTACCCGTGTTTTACTTCCTGTTGTCACAACTTGCTACAACCACCTGGTGAAATCAAATCTGGTAAATTTATTTAACCCTTTACCTCATATATACGCGAAACAACGCACTTTCGACCCCCCCCCCCTTTTTATGCCACCACAGCATCTGCGATGCGGTGGCATATAGCTATTCACCTGTGTGTGTGTGTGTTTGTTTGTTTGTGTGTTATATAGATTATATAGTGAACTTAAAAAATCTTCTTGTGAAAAACCACTAGTCCAATTTCAACCAAACTTGGCAGGATTGATCCTTGGGTGAAGGGCTTCCAAAGTTGTTCAAAGAATTTCATTCCATGCAGAAATCTGGTTGCCATGGCAACCAAAAGGAATTATAAGAATAAATTTAAAAAATCTTCTTGTAAAGACCCAAAAGGCCTAGAGCTTAGATATTTTGCATTAGGCATTGTCTGGTAGACCTCTACCAAGATTGTTCAAATTATAGCCCTGGGGTCAAAATCGGCCCCGCCCCAGGGGTCATTGATTTTCACTATATGTACATATAGTAAAAACTTAAAATACCTTCTTGTAAAGACCCAAAGGGCCTAGAGCTTAGATATTTTGCATAAGGCATTGTCTGGTAGACCTCTTCCAAAATTGTTCAAATTATAGCCCTAGGGTCAAAATCGGCCCTGCCCAGGGTGTAATTGATTTTCACTATATGTACATATAGTAAAAACTTTAAATACCTTCTTGTAAAGACCCAAAAGGCCTAGAGCTTAGATATTTTGCATAAGCCTTTGTCTGGTAGACCTCTACCCAGATTGTTCAAATTTTAGCCCTGGGGTCAAAATCGGCCCGCCCCGGGGGTCATTGGTTTTCCTTATATGTACATGTATATAGTAAAATCTTATAGTCAAAACTTTAAAAAAATTTCTTCTAGCAATTGACAAATGCTAGAGGTTAGATATTTTGCATGAAACATTGTGTAGTGAACCTCTAGCAAGATTGTTCAAATTATAGCCCTTGGGTCAAAATTGCCCCCGCCCCGGGGGTCATTAATTTTCAATATATACATATAGTAAAAATAAAGAAATCTTATTGTCTGAAGGTACAAGGCTTCAAAAACTTGAAATACCTTCTTGTAAAGACCCAAAAGGCCTAGAGCTTAGGTATTAATGCGGTGGCATAGCATTTTTCTCAAATGCAATCTTGTTTTAGACCTCAAATAGTGAAAAAATGCCCTATTTGGGCCCCAAACACATGTTTTCGTTTGAGAAATGTTGCTAAAAAAAAAAGAGCACTTCTTCGGCGCCGCCTCCCATCCAAAAGATACATCAGGGGGTTGCCAGAAGGGGGATATGCCCCCTTCTGTTAGGGGGGTTTGTAGGGGGGGCGGAGTCCCCCTCATCGCCAAGAAAATTTTGGACTTGTGAGAGGCTAAAAATGACCCAAGGTCGATCATAATGTAACATGTAACCAATGCTGAAAAGCCTTTGACTCTATCTCAATCCCTTGAGAAGTTGCAGCACTTTGAAATAAATTTTGATGGAAAAAATCGAGGCAAAATAGTGTTTTTTGGCAATTTTGAGATGTCCCCTCGTTGCCATGGTAATAGGAAATTTAAGACTGAGCATGTCGTTACAAAGGCAATGGTCCAGTCAACATTTGTGCCAAGTTTGATTAGTATTGAAGCATTTTTAGCTCACCTGTCGCAAAGTGACAGGGTGAGCTTTTGTGATCGCTTTTCGTCCGGCGTCCGTCCGGCATCCGTCTGTGCGTAAACTTTTACTTTAAATGACATCTCCTCATAAACCATTAAGCCAATTTCATCCAAACTTCACAGGAATGTTCCTTTGGTGGTCACCTTTAAAAATTGTTCAAAGAATTTAAGTCCATGCAGAACTCTGGTTGCCATGGCAACCGAAAGTAAAAACTTTAAATATCTTCTTTTAAAAAACCCTGAGAGCTAGAGCTTAGATAATTGGCATGAAACATCTTCTAGTGAGTGTCTACCAAGTTTGTTCAAATAAAAGCCCTGGTGTCAAAATTGGCCCCGCCCCGGGGGGTCATTGATTTTCCCTATATGCATATAGTAAAAACTTAAAAATCTTCTTTTAAAGAACCCAAAGGCTAGAGCTAAGATATTTAGCATGAAACATGTTCTAATGGGTGTCTACCAAGTTTGTTCTAATAAAAGCCCTGGGGTCAAAATTGGCCCCGCCCCGGGGGTCATTGATTTTCCCTATATGCATATAGTAAAAACTTAAAAAATCTTCTTTTAAAGAACTCAAAGAGCTATGGCTAAGATATTGAGCATCAAACATGTTCTAATAGGTGTCTACCAAGTTTGTTCAAATAAAAGCCCTGGGGTCAAAATTGGCCCCGCCCCAGGGGGTCATTGATTTTCCCTATATGCATATAGTAAAAACTTAAAAAATCTTCTTTTAAAGAACCCAAAGAGCTATGGCTAAGATATTGAGCATCAAACATGTTCTAATAGGTGTCTACCAAGTTTGTTCAAATAAAAGCCCTGGGGTCAAAATTGGCCCCGCCACAGGGGGTCATTGATTTTCCCTATATGCATATAGTAAAAACTTAAAAAAATCTTCTTTTAAAGAACCAAAAGAGCTAGAGCTAAGATATTTAGCATGAAACATGTTCTAATAAGTGTCTACCAAGTTTGTTCAAATAAAAGCCCTGGGGTCAAAATTGGCCCCGCCCCGGGGGTCATTGATTTTCCTTATATGTGTATATCAAAACCTTATAAAATCTTCTTTGAAAAAAAACCAAATAGCTAGAGTTAAGATATTAAGCATGAAACATCTTCTAGTGAGTGTCTACAAAGTTTGTTCAAATAAAAGCCCTGGGGTCAAAATTGGCCCCGCCCCAGGGGCCATTGATTTTCCTTTTATGTGTGTAGCAAAAACTTAAAAAATTTCTTTGAAAAAACCCAAATAGCTAGAGTTTAGATATTAAGCATGAAACATCTTCTAGTGAGTGTCTACAAAGTTTGTTCAAATAAAAGCCCTTGAGTCAAAATTGGCCCCGCCCCGGGGATCATTGATTTTCCATATATGTGTATAGCATAAACTTAAAAATCTTCTTTGAAAAAACCCAAATAGCTAGAGTTTAGATATTAAGCATGAACATCTTCTAGTAAGTTTCTACAAAGTTTGTTCAAATAAAAGCCCTGGGGTCAAAACTGGCCCGCCCCAGGGGTGTCATTGTTTTTAACTATATGTGTATTGTAAAAACTTAAAAATCTTCTTTTAAAAAAACCAATGTTTAGCATGAAACATCTTATGGGTGTCTACCAAGTTTGTTCAAAAATTGGCCCTGCCGGGGGGTGGGGGGGAGGAAAGAGGGAAGGAGGGACGGTAAGGGGGAGGAGGAGGCCTATATACAGGTGAGCGACCTCAGGGCCATCATGGCCCTCTTGTTCATAGTTTCATAGCAGTTTGAACTTGTAACAGGAGGCTTTTCGGTGAAAACGGCCATTTTTCACAATATGCTCATGGGGGAAAGGGTTAATATATATTTTTAAAATATAAAATGGCCTGAAAATTTTGTAATAAATGGGAAGGGTAAGTTCTGTAATGAATGTTGAATTACTTCATGATCGAGCCTTTTTAGCTAGTTTAACAAATACATGTATCAGTCTTGCGTATGTTTCACAGAAGGTTTTTCAAATACCAGTCTTTATACACATTAAATAAAGCATGGACCCCAGGGATTTTTTTACCCCAAAAACGAAGTTTGGGGGGGTATATAGGAGTCACCCGGTGGTCGGTCGGTCCAGCGGTCCGTTGCATTTTCCTTGTCCGGAGCATAACTTGAAGACTAATGGTTGGAATTCAATATAACTTCATACAATGGTCAAACACATTGAGAGGAAGTGCAGTGCACAAGAACCATAACTCCATCTTGACTAATTACAGAGTTATTGCCCTTTGTTACTTTTCCTTGTCCGGAGCATATTTTGAAAACTACTGGTTGAAACTCGAAACAACTTCATACAATTGTCAAGCACAATAAGGGGAAGTGCAGCGCACAAGAAGCATAACTCTATCTAAAGTAATTACAGAGTTATTGCCCTTTGTTATTTTTCCATTGCTTTCTTTTGTCCGGACTCAAACTTGAAGAATAATTGTTGGAATTAAATATAACTTCATACAATGGTCAAGCACATTGAGAGGAAGTGCAGTGCATGAGAACCATAACTCCATTTTGACTAATTACAGAGTTACTGCCCTTTGTTACTTTTCCTTGTCCGGAGCATAACTTGAAGACTACTAGTTGGAATTCAATATAACTTCATACAATGGTCAAGCACATTGAGAGGAAGTGCAGTGCATGAGAACCATAACTCCATCTTGACTAATGACAGAGTTATTGCCCTTTGTTACTTTTCCTTGTCTGGAGCATAACTTGAAAACTACTGGTTGGAATTCAATACAACTTCATGCAGTTGTCAAGCACATTAAGAGGAAATGCAGTGCACAAGAATTATAACTCCATTTTGACAAATTACAGAGTTATTGCCCTTTGATACTTTTCCTTGTCTGGAGCATAACTTAAAACATACTGGTTGGAATTTAAAACAACTTCATACAATGGTCAAGCACAATAAGAGAAAGTGCAGTGCACAAGAACCATAACTCCATTTTGACTAATTACAGAGTTACTGCCCTTTGTTACTTTTCCTTGTCCAGAGCATAACTTGAAAACTACTAGTTGGAATTCAAAACTATTTCATACTATGGTCAAGTATATTGAGAGGAAGTGCAGTGCACAGAAAGCATAACTCTTTTTTGACTAATTTAAAAGTTTTTGCCCTTTGTTACTTTTTATTGTCCAGTGCATAACTTGAAAATTAATGGTTGGAATTCAATGAAACTTTATACAATGGTCAAGGGCAGTGAGATGAAGTGCAGTGCACAAGAACAATAACTCTATTTGGACTAATTACAGTTATTGCTTTTGTTACTTTTTTGTCCAGTGCATAACTTGAAAACTAGTAGTTGGAATTCAATACAACTTCATACAATGGTCAAGCGCAATGAGAGGAAGTGCAGTGTACAATAGCCATAACTCAATCTTCAGTATTGATAGAGTTATTGCCCTTTGTTCCTTTTCCTTGTCTTTCTGGACTTCTTACAGAGTAATCCAATAAAACTTCATCAATGGCCAACCACATTGAAAGGAAATGCCACATACAAGAACCACAACTATCTTTAATTGCCCACAACCATAACTATGTTTCAATTCTTTACAAGGTATTCTGTTACTAGTAACATCCTCATTTCCGAAGCAGTCTTGCGGGGGGTATTAATCACATTTAGTGATAGTTCTAGTTGCTATAAGTTAAACAAAAAGAATGTTATGTGACTTTGTGTCCATGTAATTAAATGTCTTGAAATGAATGAACAAAAAAAGTATACATGGATCTTTTAAGTCAAAATATATATTTTTTTTTTGTTAGTTTATCAGCAAGGGTAATCAAGATTAATATATGACAAGATCGAAATTTTAATATTTTGCACATCACTTCAAACATAATTCTTTCGTTATCAGCTCACAGATATTCCAAAAGTTAATATCATCATGTATATATATTTATATTATTCTAGATGAGTGTTTCATCATTGATGTCTTTATTTGGAGAGCATGTGTCACATATTACACGAGAAGATCTTACAAGCCACCTGTCGTACCTTCAAACTTTCTTCCTGCAATGTCTAGATATACGTATAGACTTCCCAGCGGTAAGTATAAAGTTCTTTTTTAGTACTTGACATGTTTCACTATAAGATGTGTATATTAACATTTATTCATGTGTTCTGTCACTTTGTTATACTGGACCCCGTTATCCTGCTAACCTCATTAAAATGCTCCTGGGTGTTTGCCTCATAAAAGCTATGACAAAATGTTATAATTACATGAACTGGTAAATGTTGGAGATAGGTGTAATACGATGAAGTTCTTCATGTTAACAATCAGATCTTGTGATGAGCATTATGTATTGCCCCTCTCCCCCCACACTTCGAGCTTTATAACGGGTAGCGAGTGTGTATGATTTTCAAATATAAATCTGCATCTTTATCAAATTATTTTAAACATTTCGGATTGGTTTCATAAAGTTTTTTTACCTTATTAATCTTCATTATTTAGAAAATCAAAATTTTGAGTTTTTGCATTTTGGGTTGTGTTTTATTTTCAGTTGGATGAGGAGAAGTTGTCTATGATAGAAAGTGTTACCATAGAAACAATTATCACCATGGTTATGAAACTGTCAGAATCAACATTTAAACCTTTCTTATTCAAAGTAAGTTCTTTATTAATGTATTGGGGAAAAGGTAAACTAAGTTTATTTGAGACCCTAATTTTACATGTCTTTTGAGGTCCCAACTATGTGACTGTTGATTAATAATGAGTAACCTTGTGATTGTTATGAGGGGTCGAGGCAATCTTCATCATACCTAACTTTTGTTGTATATACATCATAAACAGTAAGAAATAAGTTAATACATTTATATATGGGAGATACTTGGAAAAAATGCATATCCTGTAATTTAAAATGGTGTAATTTTTGTGCTACATTAAATTATGTAATTTTTGTATTACAGATATTTGATTGGGCCACAACCAGTGAGGAGTTGAGAGAGAGAATATTGGTGTTCTATAAATTAGCTGAAAGGTAAGATAAGAACTAAATATGGCATTTTAATGCTTAGATTGTGTGAAGAGATTTTAGTTTGTTATCAAACCTTTAACAAGTGCTAGCGACATGAAGACAGGTATAATATTGTGACATCAGTTAAGAGTTAGGATAGCTGGCACATTTGAGTAGTCTGACTGGATGTTTTACAGTTTGTGGCTCAATTTGGAGATTTTGATACTGTGCTCCTGTTTAACTGATAATGGTCATTTGCAATGTCAAAGTAGCAGAACATGACCTCTATATTACAAAGTAATGTTGAAGCTTAGTGCTTTATAGTAATTTTAAGTCTGTTCATAGACTTTGATTTAAGATGAAAAAAATGCATGCATTGTATGTTGTAAAAAAATTAATATTGTTCAATTGATTTTTGACTTTTGAAACCTTAAGTATGACCCAGTAACATACTTTAGCACTAAACATTTTACGACCTCGTCTTGCAGTAGTTCTCAGGTGAGAGATTTAGACGGGCCCATTGTGATGCCTTTTGTTTTAAACTTTCAAACATGTCCTGTACTTTTCACATGTGCCTGAAATAATGCTTACAGTGTTCTTGGTACATTTTTGTGAACTCTACAGGCATGATTTTATAACTTGAACTTGATAATATATTTCAAAACTTGTCATGTTACAGGTTGGCAGAGAGGTTAAGAAGTTTATTTACTTTGTTTGCTGGTCATATTATATCACATGCTGCAAAAATGCTGGATGAAAATAACAACATTAAACGAGGTAAAATATTAATTGTTTCAAAATGATACATATTTATATACTGTTAGATTATACAAATTTATTTTTAGTTTGATTGTGTTGGAAGCTATAAGCTTATTGAAACACTCTAGAATCCGTTCCTGGAACCAAATAGTACTAAGCATTGCTTTAAGTTTTTTGCTCAAGTAAACAATGGCTTGCCCTTGACTGGGTCCAAAACCAAGCGGCTAGAAATCCTTAGATTACTAGTCAGACGTGTTAACCACTTAGCTTGATTGCCACTAAATAATGTTACACCAAGTATGATTTTTAAGTTGGTGGGGGGAGTGAACTTAAAAACATACACAAATATTACCATACCTAACATAATTTACATCTAAAATTTACTTTAATTTTACAATATCATTTCAATATCTTAATATTATGAGGATTAACAAATATTTTCTTCAATTTAATTTAAGTGCCTATTTAAAAAATTTACACTATCTCAAAATATATATGTATATCCCTTGAAGAGAGTAACTGTGAAATTGAAATGAAAAAAGCGCAGTTTTTCATACGATTTTACTTTAGGTCATTGCTTGCATCTACTTTATTGTATAAGTTGTTTATATATTTTAGAGGAAAGTTTTTTCCAAGATGACAGTGAGGAATATGAGAAATCTTGCCAGTTACTGGAGTACATACTTGACTGTATCAATAAATGTTGTATGTATGATACTGAAGGTTTCATCAATAAAGAAAGATTTGATCTACTTATGCAACCTCTTGTTGATCAGGTATTAGTGTTCTACATTCATTATTTCTTTATGTGTATGTGTCTTTTAACTGATCTGATTACCTAATTGAAAATAATTATTTCACCAAGAACACAAATTCTTTAAAGATATTATATTTGGCAGACCAAGTTATGTTTGAAATACATTTATGTAAAAGTTTGTGATTTAGACCCAGTTACGGTGAAACATTGAAATTATTTTTATGATATTGACTGACATATCAGTTTTAATTGAGTTATAACTTTCAAAACAAGATTTCTTTCCCCATATTTTGTCTGTTCAGAACAAATCATTCGCCAAAGATTCTTGTAAAAATATCTCTGTTTAAGACTGAATATAATCAAGAAAAGATTGAGCTGTTTATTAGCTAAGTGAATGCTGACTATATTGATTGGCTATGAATATTAAAAGTCTTCTGGTAGTGATGTTGATACATGTACTAGTATATTAGAGATCAGTTTTTACAATATAGAGATTAAATGTATTAATAGTTGGAGAACCAGCAAGGCAGCGAGGAACAAAGTGAGAATAGAAGTAAAGGAAGCACCTGGTTCCCTGCAATCGTACAGTTGTGTGTAGCTGCCCAGGATGATTTCTATGGAGGGCTCTTAACTATCAAGTTTGTCTGAAAAAACCAGGAGTCAGCAAGCAACAAGTATGTCTCATTCACATTTGGCTTCAATTTAACTTATATTTTGTTAGTTTTAAAACATGTTTATCTTAGCTTGATTGTGAAGAAAAATATAAACTTAAAAAACATTCATAAGTAAATCTTCATATTAACAAATTTTATCTCTGTTTTTCAAGTATTGAAATTATTCATTTTAAATTAGGGGAGAATAGTGTAAGCCAGCCATAATAGCTTTAGTTGGGAAGAGGGCTGTAGAACAGTAAATTTCGAGGGTCCCAGGTTAAAAATCCTGGGCAGGCCTGCACAGTTTTGGGTCACCCTGTTGACTTTACCAAAAACATAAATCCAAAGGGTTTTTTTTTTCCATTTTCTAAATAAACTTAAAAATGACAGTGTCCAAATAGAAAACTTAAAAACATTTTAAATTTGGCCCATTTATATAAAAAACAAAAGGGGGCCCCCCCGTGTTACACTGTAACCCAAAAAATAAAAAGAAAGAAAAAACATAAATTTATATATATTTACAGGGAAAAAAGTCAGCATTGGTTACACTAGACATGTTACATAAGAAGTTAGGGGAAGACTACATGCCTCTACTTCCAGACACTATACCATTCCTTGCTGAACTTATGGAAGGTACAACTTACATTCTTTCTTCCTATTTTTGATAAGTTTTTCAAATAATTATAAAATGACTTAGAAATTTACGGAAAAAATGCATGTATATTGTGCCAGTTTTATAACAGAACATTTTGCTTGATTTATGTTGTGATTGTAAAATTCATGAATGCACGTTTTAAAGTTTGAAGATGTCATGTTTAGTATTCTAAAATAATAATCGGATCAACTGGGGCAACTGGAGCCTCTATATACTGGTGTTCCATAGATTTGTTGCTCACTGTAACCTACTAGGAACCCTTCTAAAATTAAAGTAGAAGTAATTCAGGTAGGTAAGGGTATATGAGTGATAATTTTGGTGTTTTATATTCCAGATGAGTCTGAAGAAGTTGAGAAGAAATGTCATGAAGTTATCAGAGAAATGGAGAAAACTTTGGGAGAACCTCTACAGAAATATTTCTAGATTATAAATCTGATACCATTACAATACCTCGGTATTATTAATAAGGAACTTAAGTTGTGTGAAATTATTTGAAAATATGCATAAAAAACTGAATTAGAAATAGAGAGACACAACTTTTTGTAAATGAAAGTAGATTTGTAACACAAACACAGATATATTGGATTGTTTAATTTTCTGAAAAAGTTTTTTTTTTAGTCATTTAGATATCATTTTGTTGCTGTTCTATCATAGCTAATACTAAAACATACACCCACTGTCATCAAAAGTATTTTGTTATGTTGATAAATTATGTATTTTAAAGGAATGAAAATATTAAAGAATATACTTAAAAGTTATATATTTGCTGTTTTTATTTCCTCGGCATATTGGTATACATAATATAGTATATATATATTACATAATAATGTGTTTTCATATGAATACATGAACTGTATCTCCATCATCTATCAGTTATATAGGCAATGTGTCTACTTGTATCTAACAAATTTTATAATATCACACAATAGACTGATATTATATGCCTAGCTCTGGTGCAAGCATACGCCCCAAAGTATTTTGGATATATAATGTTATGCCCTTGGTTGTCTGACCCGAGACCACTACTATTGATACTAGTCTCGATATTAGAACAAAAGGTGACAGAGATTTGCCTTTGATACTATTCATTCAGTAATGTTGTTATATGGCTTTAATCTTTTACGAGGCTAAAAGAACAATGTGATAGATAAAAAAACTATCGAACTTTGGGAAAAAAAATCTGTCCATCCGTTAGCAACTTTTGTGTAGTATATACAGACAAAAAGAAGTTTGTTTCTTTGTTTGGACCTAGAAATGTTTCTTTGTTTGGACCTAGAAATATGTCAACAATATGATACTGGGAAATTCAGTAAATAAATATACAAAATGTAGCAGTTTGAAATATATTTGGCAGTGCTTTCAATTATTTTGAGATATGTGCAAGGGAGAATACTCTGCAACTACTGTTCAATTAAGTATATACCAAAAATTATATGAAAAGCATTTTGTGTACAGCAGGAAAATTTAGTTTTGGAGGAGAAGAATTGTCACATTGGGGCATCAGTTCAAACCCTGCACAGCAAGTTTTTGTATTTTCAACTTTAAATTTATGTTGAATATTTTGATTCAGCTATTATTCATCATGATATTTTTTAGGGGAAAAATAAGAGAAAGAATATGTATTGTAGTTTGACATATAGAATAAAAACTTTGGTTTTGTTAATATTTCATTTGTCACTTGTTATTATATGGATTATTTGAATTCAATGGTTTTGGACATATTTCATGAATGGGTCTTCTCCCTAAAAAAAATATTTTTGATTCCTCAAACAACAAGAGGGCCATGATGGCCCTGAGGTCGCTCACCTGTATATAGCCCCCCCCCCCCCCCCCCCCCCCCAACGTTGCAGGGCCAATTTAACCCAAGGGCTTTTATTTGCACAAACTTGGTAGACACCCATAAGAAGATGTTTCATGCTAAACATCTAAGCTCTAGCTCATTGGGCTTTTTAAAAAGAAGATTTTTTTTTAAAGTTTTTACTATACACATATAGTTAAAAACAATGACACCCCTGGGGCCGGGCCAGTTTTGACCCCAGGGCTTTTATTTGAACAAACTTTGTAGACACTTACTAGAAGATGTTTCATGCTTAATATCTAAACTCTAGCTATTTGGGTTTTTTCAAAGAAGATTTTAAGTTTTTGCTATACACATATAAAGAAAATCAAAGACCCCCGGGGCGGGGCCAATTTTGACCCCAGGTCTTTTATTTGAACAAACTTTGTAGACACTCACTAAAAGATGTTTCATGCTTAATATCTTAACTCTAGCTATTTGGGTTTTTTCAAAGAAGATTTTTTAAGATTTTGCTATACACATATAAGGAAAATCAATGACCCCCGGGGCGGTGCCAATTTTGACCCCAGGGCTTTTATTTGTACAAACTTGGTAGACACCTATTAGAACATGTTTGATGCTAAATATCTTAGCCATAGCTCTTTGAGTTCTTTAAAAGAAGATTTTTTAAGTTTTTACTATATGCATATAGGGAAATCAATGACCCTCCGGGGCGGAGCCAATTTTGACCCCAGGGCTTTTATTTGAACAAACTTGGTAGACACTTATTAGAACATGTTTCATGCTTAATATCTTAACTCTAGCTATTTGGGTTTTTTCAAAGAAGATTTTTTAAGATTTTGCTATACACATATAAGGAAAATCAATGACCCCCGGGGCGGTGCCAATTTTGACCCCAGGGCTTTTATTTGTACAAACTTGGTAGACACCTATTAGAACATGTTTGATGCTAAATATCTTAGCCATAGCTCTTTGAGTTCTTTAAAGAAGATTTTTTTAAGTTTTTACTATATGCATATAGGGGAAATCAATGACCCCGGGGCGGAGCCAATTTTTGACCCCAGGGCTTTTATTTGAACAAACTTGGTAGACACTTATTAGAACATGTTTCATGCTAAATATCTTAGCTCTAACTCTTTTGGTTTTTTAAAAGAAGATTTTTTAAGTTTTTTCTATATGCATATAGGGAAAATCAATGACCCCCTGGGGCGGGGCCAATTTTGACCCCAGGGCTTTTATTTGAACAAACTTGGTAGACACCTATTAGAACATGTTTGATGCTCAATATCTTAGCCATAGCTCTTTGGGTTCTTTAAAAGAAGATTTTTTAAGTTTTTACTATATGCATAGAGGGAAAATCAATGACCCCCCCGGGGCGGGGCCAATTTTGACCCCAGGGCTTTTATTTGAACAAACTTGGTAGACACTCACTAGAAGATGTTTCATGCCAAATATCTAAGCTCTAGCTCTTATGGTTTTTTAAAAGAAGATATTTTAAGTTTTTTCTTTTGGTTGCCATGGCAACCAGAGTTCTGCATGGAATTAAATTCTTTGAACAATTTTTAAAGGTGACCACCAAAGGAACATTCCTGTGAAGTTTGGATGAAATTGGCTTAGTGGTTTATGAGGAGATGTCATTTAAAGTAAAAGTTTACGGCCGGACGGACGCCGGACGCAAAGCGATCACAAAAGCTCACCCTGTCACTTTGTGACAGGTGAGCTAAAAATCGTATTCCTGAATATTACTCCACCTTAAATGTTTTAATGTTTGATACTGTAACCTTGCCCAAAAATTCAGGCTTACAGTTCATGTATATATGCATAAAATGTTGAAACTTGGAATATACTTACCTGAAAAGTAAGTTGTTTGAACATTACATATCTGTAGAGGTACATGATTGTAAAACAATGAAAGTGCAGGAAATACTTCCTTGCATTTTACTATTACAGAAAGAGAAAAGCTTTCAATTACTACATAGACAAAATTTCAAGTGTAAATTACCAAATAAAGACTGGTGTTGGTTTAATCCTGGTTGATCTCCTATACATGTACATTATTAAAAAAAAAAAAAAAACATTTTCAAAATTTGATTGTCAGAAGTATTGTCATCATATAGCTTTTGACATTTTGAATTGGCTGGCCAGGAATATGATATCCCCTAAGACAGAACATGCTCTATCAGTAGAAGGTTGTTTTCTCTGGAGTTAGTTATATTTTATGAAAGTTTTTGAAAGCCTTTATTCTTTGCTCAAGCCCATAACTAATGTGAGAAATATAATTGGTATATATTACATAACTGTACTAAGGTGTTTATAACAATCATAGTATTAATGTTTGTAAACTTGTGAAAGGCCAAGGGCATGTTTACAACAAAACCTGGCATAAACATGAACGGTTTACTTATTGAAACTATTATGTTAGTTTCCAGTGCATTTTACACATATTTTGTTTAAACATGCTCTATCTTGAACATTTAGATATAATTTCAGGCGCTAGCGATATTTTCATCAGTGGATAGACATTCTTTGATATTATTTTGTTGCTTTAAGTTATAGTCACATTTCCTTTATCTGTCGTCAGTCTTCTTTAAAAAAAAACAAAACAAAAAAACGATAAAGATATATTTTTAATAATAAGGCCTCAAAATTAGTCCAGAGAAGCTTTGGTGTTTCTACAAATTTATAGTTTTGTATATACAGACTAATATGAAACTGAAGGATATTACAAACAAAGATCTATTGTATTTATCTTTCATTATGTTTATGTGGACATGCAATGCAGACTTTGAATATATTACCATAATGTTTTAACCTAAAATGTAATTAAGTTCAGTGTTGTTTTTGTGAGAGTCCAGTCAGCTATATAAAGTATATATGAACCCTTCATCCTTTATCAGACATGTTCCTTCAATATTAACAGTATGTTGGGAAGTTGTCATAGTGAAGTGTAAATTTATCACTCATTGCATTGAAGCATAACAGAGAACAACAGTGTAACCTCTACTGAGCGATAACCTCATCAATTTGTTAACCTCTCTATAAAGTATGACACCACTTGGCAACAACCAAAATCAGACAATCCCCCTCCCGGACGATTCCCCTTCCATATTATTTTCACAACCCGGACATTTCCCCTCCCGTTATTTTAAAAGGGCGGACTTTTCCCCTCCCGTTAATTTAGCAGAGCGGACAATTCCCTCCCATTTTTTAGCAGAGCGGACAATTCCCCTCCCGTTTTTTCACATTGCGTATAAAAAAATCTAACCATTCTTATTAAAGATGACAGTTTTTACTCTTAACAATAAACTGTTAAAGATCATTATTTCACAAAAGTGACATTATACCGCCTTTAATCATTGCCGCCGCTGCTTAAGATAAACAAACTGTCAATAAAAAAATCTTTAATCATTGCCGCCCTTAATTAAATGTGTCCTTGATTGCAAAACCAATTAAAATGAAGGAGAATATTCCTACAAATGTGTTCAATCATATAATAAAATCAAAATGATCACTGATATTTTGTGTTAGGACTTCATGTACTGATTCAATATGGTGAATAAGATTTTCTAATCATAATGACGATGATGACAGTTCAATTTACTATAACATGTGCATAATATATTCTTTGCAAGAATCTACAGCTTAATCGTTTTTTTTTTGTTCTTATCAATTGTTCTTTTATTGTTTTGCTGCTGCAAAAATGTATATACCTTTCAAATAAACAATAATATATAATACTGTATATATATTCAATAGCCACGGGAGGGAAATTGTCCGCTCTGACAACAGCGGGAGGGGAATTGTCCGGGTTGTTAAAAGAACGGAAGGGGGATTGTCCGGGTTGATAAAAGAACGGGTGGGGAATTGTCCGCCGTAAAAAAATAACGGGAGGGGAAATGTCCGGGTTGTGAAAAAACATTCAAATTTACTGGGAGGGGAATCGTCCCGGAGGGGAATTGTCCGGATACCACCAAAATCATTTGTCTCATAAAGTGTGTAATGCTCCATAGATGTTATGTATTGTTTACAACATAAACAGCTTTACTTTTAAGGTGCCATAGAGTTACTAATGTTTCCAGTTTGTTTTAAAGATATATAATTCTCAAATTTGATAATCGAAAATTATAACTGAAAATTGCTACACTGTCTCTTTGTAAATATAAAATCAACATGTTTCGACTTCACACCAACTTTACTTGACCTGTAAAAGGAAACCAGCTTCCCATACATACATGTAGCTTGTACATTCTTTGATTCAATTGAGACATAGTCAGTAAGATTTTCATAGATTTCAATAAAATTATTTTAGTCAAAGATGAGAATATTACATGTATATCTTTAAAACCCCTGTGGTAAATTAAAACATTTTAAATCTCATTTAACTCCTCTCCATTATATATAAACAAAGCAACAAGACATCTATTGTTTTAAGATATAAAATGTAACTATGATTCATCAAACACTGGGAGGATTTACATATTGTAATATGTAACATATGGCTGGAGGAAACAAGTTTTCTCATGAATACATATACCTTAGATTGAATGTTCAGATACATACGTGAATACAGGATAACAAAAGAAGATAGTTCAGCTCGATTTTAATGTACTGATTTGATCAGATTGATAAATTTTGTATGAAAATAAAGGTGATATTACACATCTGTTACCTCAGGATATATTATCCTGGACCAAAATAGGTTATATCATTGTTATATCATGTAAAATAAAACTGTGATTTATATATCATGTATACTGTAAAACAGTGATTTGTTTATCATGTGTAGTAAAAGTTATTAACATGTCTTATATAGTAAAACAGTGATTTATAATTATCACTTATAGTAAAAGTTATTAATATGTTATATACAGTAAAACAGTGATTTATAATTATCATGTATAGTAAAAGTTATTAATATGTCATATACAGTTAAACAGTGATTTATATATCATGTACAGTAAAACTGTGAGTGATTTATCATGTAAGATAGTTAAAGACTAGAATTTAAGGTGTAGAAAACAAGTATAGGTTAGAGTGCATATTGGGTGTTCTTCGTAAATAAGAAAGCTAAAAAGGAGCGGAGCTTGCGAAGCGACTGTAGCTTTCTTATTTACGAAGAACATCCAATATGCACTCTAACCGGCTTAGTGCTCCGCCCACTTGCGTTTTATAATATAAAACGTCCAGTTTATATAAAATATGTTCTATTAAGATTTGTAACCTGAAAATTTGAAAAATCCTCGTCGGTGATTGGCTTAAAAAAATTGGCGAGCACTAACTTAATTTGGATTTGAGAAAATGAACATAACCAGATCTAAAACAATTGTAAAACTTTAACTTCATGTTTAGTTTTTGGATAAAAGCGATATTTGATTTGCTCATTTTGCAACATGATACTTAAATGAGCAGCTGTACAATAAAAAACAACATGTGAAATCACATGGTAATGACTAAATAATATCCACTATCTGGTAACTGATAATTCACAGAGCTGGGAAAGCTTGTCATGTACATTGTATATTTCACTTTAAATTCAATATTTTTTCAGGTATGTCTACTAATTGTTATAAATAAGTTTTTGTAGGCCTACACCTGTATATATACCATGATAAAAATTAACACAATCATGTAGTTGCTGACTAGGACTTTATAATGAACTTTAAAGTTTCCTAACATTTACCTTTAATGCTGCACAGAAACTGTGAATGTCAGTACATTAATTTTGTAGTCCATCTACCAATTTACCTTTAAAAACTGTGACCTTGTAAAAATATTTCAAACTACCCTTAACACTGTGACAATGTCAAATAACTGTAGTTCATCAACCAATTTACTGTTACTTCATTGAAAATGTCAAATATTTGTAGTTCATTAACAAATATACAGTTAACACTATGACAATTTCAAATATTTGTAGTTCATCAACTAATTTACTATTACCACAGTGAAATTGTCAAATATTTGTAGTTTATTCACCAATTTACCCTTTAAACACAATGACAATGTCAATACATTTGTAGTTTATTCACCAATTTATCCTTAACAATGTGAAATTTTTGTAGTTCATTAATCAATTTACCATTAGCACTGTGATGGTGTCAAAACATTTGCAGTCATTTCACAATACATTTTAATTCATTTTCATAATGAATCAACAATTGTTGTATTATTTAACCATTTTCCTCACAAGCTCACTCATATTTTGATATGATCATCTTCCTCATCCAGTTCATCAATACTTTCTATATCACAACCATTACATGCAGCTGACTGTTTTCCCAAGGGCATTAACTCTTGCTCTGATGAATTAGGATCCAATTTTTTGTGATTTATAACAATGTCACAGTCTGTAGCACAGACTGGTACTGGCTTGAACTCTTTGTGCCAGGCCAGGAGGAAATATCCGAGAGCAATACCAAGTACAGTGACAACAAAAATCCACACATTGTACGTCATTACAATTAACATGAGAAGATAACTCACTAGAAACTCTGTCACATACAGTACTGTCTGTAGCAGGTGCTCTTTACTCTTTATTGAATGTCTGAAATATGGAAATAGTTACTATTGTAGGCAAATACAGTAAATTATGATTACAAAAAAATAAAAAATAAACGAAAAAGTAATGTTAAGTCCTGTTATATTTTTGAAGCTTTTGAGTGAAGTTGTACAAGTTGAATTTGAATTTGTTAATTCTAGGGCAGTTATGAGAAATTTTATTCTAGAATATAATGCTTTAAGACAGATTCCTGCACTAACTAGGCAGGCTGCAGCATATTAAAATACATGGGGCTCCAGTTGGGCTCAAACTCATGACCTGTTTACTACAAGGAAACAACTTTCATATAACCAATCTATGCTGAAGCCATTGTCACATGTTGAAATTTGTATCATAAACCAATTTGAATAATGTATGCATAATTTTAACTAATATGTCACATAATTATAATTATTGATACCATATTAATTGATACCATATTGAACATTTTGATGATGTATATGATTATGGTAACTTACATCTTTCCACTGTAGTGAACATGTAAATATTGTCTGAACCATTTTGTACCCTGGTAGCCTATTGCTAATACAAATGTGCACAGACAAGCCAGGAATATACCTGCAAGAAAAACAATGATCTATTTAACATTGGTTAATCCTGATCTAATGGACTTGTCTGTTTTCATTCTTAAGGCAATACCATTCATTATTTTTAGGGAAAATTATAAAATATTTAGTGACTGAATAGTGAACAATGCATACCATGAGCAGATGGCATGGAAATGCTGGCTGATATTGGAATGGATTTTCATGCCCCATAGGTAAATTCTGTTGTTGCCTGAGGGTTAAACAAATTTTGCTAAATATGTAAATAGAATTATAAACAAGGAAATGCAGTTGAGATGCATTAAGCATTATTTATATGACACTTGGAAAGTAAACACAAATAAATGCATTAGATTGATAAATTACTACTGTCATTAATATACAGTTTACTAAACATAAAACCTGTCTGACACAGAGATGGCTGTGTACGGATTTTGACAACTGATATTTTCATAATAAAACTGCCCTGGTATTGTCAAGGACATATTAAGTAAGTAAAGAGGGAGATTTAAATCATAAGTACCAAAAGGCCTGCTTTATCATCATTTGAAGTTATTGCTAGCTAATAGGATTGGTTAACTTTGTTAATATTATGATCCGGTACAATACTCTTGTCCAGATACAAACCTCCTATGCTAGGCAATCTAGACCAATGTGGCCAGACTCTACTTTAGAAAGGATAAATATTTTATTGTAACATTTTTATACTCTGATCCCATTTGATAAAAACTTAATTTGGCCAGTTATAAATCAAAGGTTAAGCATTATTTTCCTGAGACTGCACAAAATAGCAAGGTGACAGAATGAAATGAAATGTACACTTGATACATTATTTAATTTCTCTTTCCTTTATAACAAACCATCTCTCTTCTTTCATAATTGTATCATTGAGTATTTATCTGTTGGTTAAACTCTCATACAAATGTATCCATATGTAACCTACCTATGTTGAAACCTATGACCTCTTTATGTGATCCCAACACAACAAGACAAAAATAGTTCTCATTATACCCCCAAAAACGAAGTTTGGGGGGTATATAGGAGTCACCCGGTGGTCGGTCGGTCGGTCCAGACGTCTGTTGCATTTTCCTTGTCCGGAGCATAACTTGAAGACTAATGGTTGGAATTCAATATAACTACATACAATGGTCAAGCACATTGAGAGGAAGTGCAGTGCACAAGAACCATAACTCTATCTTGACTAATTACAGAGTTATTGCCCTTTGTTACTTTTCCTTGTCCGGGGCATAACTTGAGAATTCAAAACAACTTCATACAATTGTCAAACACAATAAGGGGAAGTGCAGTGCACAAGAACCATAACTCTATCTAAAGTAATTACAGAGTTATTGCCCTTTGTTGCTTTTCCATTGCTTTTTTTTGTCCGGACCATAACTTGAAGACTAATAGTTTGAATTCAATATAACTACATACAATGGTCAAGCACATTGAGAGGAAGTGCAGTGCATAAGAACCATAACTCTATCTTGACTAATTACAGAGTTATTGCCCTTTGTTACTTTTCCTTGTCCGGGGCATAACTTGAAAAGAACTGGTTGGAATTCAAAACAACTTCATACAATTGTCAAACACAATAAGGGGAAGTGCAGTGCACAAGAACCATAACTCTATCTAAAGGAATTACAAAGTTATTGCCCTTTGTTACTTTTCCATTGATTTTTTTGTCCGGACCATAACTTGAAGACTAATGGTTGGAATTCAATATAACTACATACAATGGTCAAGCACATTGAGAGGAAGTCCAGTGCATAAGAACCATAACTCTATCTTGACTAATTACACAGTTATTGCCCTTTATTACTTTTCCTTGTCCGGGGCATAACTTGAAAACTACTGGTTGGAATTCAAAACAACTTCATACAATTGTCAAACACAATAAGGGGAAGTGCAGTGCACAAGAACCATAACTCTATCTAAAGTAATTACAAAGTTATTGCCCTTTGTTACTTTTCCATTGCCTTTTTGTCCGGATCATAATTTGAAGACTAATGGTTGGAATTCAATATAACTTCATACAATGGTCAAGCACATTGAGAGAAAGTGCAGTGCACAAGAACCATAACTCCATCTTGACTAATTACAGAGTTATTGCCCTTTGTTACTTTTCCTTGTCCAGAGCATAATTTGAAATCTACTGTTTGGAATTCAATACAACTTCATACAGTTGTCAAGGACATTAAAAGGAAGTGCAGTGCACAAGAGCCATAACTCCATTTTGACAAAATACATAGTTACTGCCCTTTGATACTTTTCCTTGTCAGGAGCATAACTTAAAACATACTGGTTGGAATTCAAAACAAATTCATACAATGGTCAAGCATAATAAGAGGAAGTGCAGTGCACAAGAACTATAACTCTTATCTTCAGTATTTATAGAGTTATTGCCCTTTGTTCCTTTTCTTTGTCTTTCTGGACTTATTACAGAGTAATTCAATTAAACTTCATCAATGGCCAACCACATTGAAAGGAAATGCAACATATAAGAACCACAACTATCTTTAATTGCCCACAACCATAACTCTATATATCAATTCTTTTACAAGGTATTCTGTTACTAGTAACATCCTCATTTCCGAAGCAGTCTTGTGGGGGTTTTAATCACATTTAGTGATAGTTCTAATTTAATTCACAGACCCACCATGACATTATTTACTTACTTCCTTTTGTATCTAGCACCCAATTCTCAAACAAAACTGTCACATTTAAACCAGAATTGAAAAAAGCTTGGTGACCCTGAAAAACAAAATGAAAAGTCAGATATAGTCTTATACAATGCATTGGCTTATAATGTAAGGAAAGAATTTCTTCATATATTTCCATTTATAAAAATTCAAGTTTCATCACAAAGAATGATAGTTACTATAACTAATATAAACATATTATATTATATAAAAAAAATAGGTTTCTGAGAAATGAAGAAAATAAATATTGTTCACTTTTATACATGTTTTTTTCTGTTGGCGCCTTCAATGTTGTACACATATCTATAGACAGTAACATATATTAATTATAATATATATATCAGGAGGTGCTTTGGTATAGAAAGTTCAAAGACTTATAATTTGTGATTTACTCAAAATTGTTAATAATTGTCTTATACCCTCAGCACAGTATAAAAGTGAAAACAATGTTTGGTAAGACTTTGTTTATTATAACATTTTATACTTATTCTAGTTTTTTGTTTTGTTGAAATTAGCATGTGTTTTTTTAAATAAACACACCCTTTCTGACTGCATTTTTATTATATGAGCCGCGTCACGACAAAACCAACATAGTGCGTTTGCGACCAGCATGGATCCAGACCAGCCTGCGCATCCATGCTGTTCGCTTACCAACTCTATAACAAGAGAAACCAATAGCGAACAGCATGGATCCTGATCAGACTGCGCGGATGCGCAGGCTGGTCTGGATCCATGCTGGTCGCAAACCATTTATGTTGGGTTTGTCGTGACGTGGCTCATATTACATTAAAAAAATCTTGCTACTTTTGTTGTAACTAAATGTTATCTTAATTATATAAACATTTTTGATAGGGTTGTATAAAAATAATGTCGTTAAGACATGAGCATTTATTATTTTCTATTTCACTGTTGGTAAAAAAGCTTTACAAAAAGGTAACAGGAAAAAAAACTCCATAAAATTAAATATTTTTAAATGAAATTCATTAATAAATTTTTGCTTGTTTATTGTTCATCTTATGCAATTATTGCCTGAAGTTAATTATTTTTGACAGATAAAAAGTAGGAAAATAAAGAAGTCAGTTAAAATAAATGTCATATTAAAGTTTACAGTCAGTTTTTGCTTAAATAAGTTTTGACACATCTTCATAAATTACATTGTCAACGTAGGTGAAGGCAGATTAATCATTTTGCTTTTTACTGCTGCTGTTATTATACTTCTTTACCAGTTCTCCAAGGAAATCATGTTACTGAAATATCTAACTTAATGTTTAGAACACTCATTGATGGTTTTAGAGATTTTTCAGTTAAATTTTAACCAGGCTAATTATTGTTAGCCATTAAATTTTAGCACGATGATGAAAACTCCATGCCCTGGCATTGCCAATCCACAGTTTGTCAAAGTAACTCTCTCATTTATAATCTGTTGCAGGAAAAAGTTGCTCATATTTCCTCATTTTAGTACCTCCTTCTGGTAAAAGATTCTCATTTTAGTATTTTTGCATGTAAAAGTTGCTCATTTTAGTACTTTTTGCATGTAAAAGTTGCTCGTTTTAGTATTTTTGCATGTAAAAGTTGCTCATTTTAGTATTTTTGCATGTAAAAGTTGCTCATTTTAGTATTTTTTGTATAGCCTGATTAGTTTGACTTTAACTGATGCTTGACTGGCAAATCATTGTGAAAAAGACTGTCACCTTCAAAAATCTTCTTGATGTTCCTTTCACAACTGTATTTTACTATATCTTAATGATGAATGAAGCCAAGCAATAACTTTTGACTCTATTATATATTTCATGTACACATTTAAGAGTACAAGTTTTTGCCTTCCCAGTATTCTTATCCTTCATATTCTAACTCAAATGAACTTGATAACTTGTTAATAAACAAACCAACCGGATTTAACTTTTCACTCCCATTTTCTTTTCAGATTATCCTTTAATCTTTGTGTTATCGTTAAGTAAATATAATGAAATCCTGTCAAATTTCTGTTGATGGAATATTCCATCTGAAATGTTTAGCTTGAATATGTTTAAAATGTATTTCTTTTTTAAATGGTTAGTTAATGTTATGTACAGATTCATTCTTAATTGAATTCTTACATTGTAATAATGTTTTAAAACTGAGACTCATGTAGGACCTTTTCGTAAAAGAAGCCACCACTCCCTGTCTCACTAAATTTCATACATTGAATGTAACCAGTGTTAGTAAGTAGTTCATACCACCAGTATAGACACTCTACGCGAGAACTCTGACCTGAGACATACGTCATTATTGTCCCAGATTCTGACAGAATTCTTTAATATTCCATTTTTATTATTTTTACAACGAGAGTCCTTATAAATCATACATAGTATATATCTTGTATATCCCGAATTCGAAATAGGTCAATTCCATTACACAGATTCGTTAAGATAAATACTAAAACACAACTGTAACTTACATGTATATGATGCGATGAATGGTGGTCATGTGACTGTCCGGCTGTATCCACGTGAAATACGTGCTGATCTTCCATGTGGTCATTATGATTTACATGATTCATATGGTCATGATTCATATGGTCATGATTATGATGATCATGTCCCTCGTGCATTTGGTCCATATATGTATGCGACGAGTGATCCATGTCTGTCCGTTTATGTTATCCTTTATTTATTTAATTACCGCTTTTTACCAATTATTTTTCAAATATACACTGTCTCTCACTGAAAAAAGAAATAAAAAAAAATGCAAATTAATCGTTATTTTCACTGGTTAATCAAATTTTAGCAATAGAACAATTCACATGTTTTATTGTTTTTTCGTTCTTCCGAAATATATGTCAGTGTCGTGCTAGTTGGTGACCTTAACAGGAAATAATAAGGAAATAGCCAAGAAATGAGAGTTACCAACATAACACCTGATTATATTGAAACAGATCTATCTAACAACGGATTTGACTGACCTTTTACATTTTTATCAAATTTCGTCTTAAATATAGAATGATTTACGAATACTTATTATGAATGTGTAATTGTTACATCTGTTAAAAAAGGGAGATAATAGCCTTGTAAATGTGATATTTACATGAACACGGAAAACATCAACTACCTAGGCAATTAACATGGCAAATCAGCTGATAAAACCTTTACGCGTGGCAAATTTATTATATTATACAAACATTCTACTTACTTTCGTTTAAATCACACTGAGTTTAAATCACACTGAAATCCGAAAACTATCAAATATGGAAGAATTTCCGTCTTATTGTTTCAAAAGAATAATCACCCTTGTATCTGTATAAATATCAGCTATTAGCGAACAAATGTCGGTTTGGTTTTAAATGAGATCTTTTTGTTTCGCCTGAAGGCGAAATGCACGATAATGTGATGATATACGTTAATGATATTGGCGTAAATTTTGGATGACGGGATATTGTAATTAACATTTGAGCCGTGTCATGACAAAACCAACATAGTGCGCATCCGCGCAGTCTGATCAGGATCCATGCTGTTCGCTTGCAAACCCTATAACAAGTACAGAAACTGATTGCGAACAGCATGGATCCTGATCAGACTGCTCGGATGCGCAGGCTGGTCTGGATCCATGCTGGTCGCAAACCCACTATGTTGGTTTTGTCGTGACGCGGCTCATTTAGATTTTCACCTGAATGGCGTGCAGTGAATGGCTTGCAGGTAACACTACTACAGAGTCTTCAACTTGAATTAATGTCAACAGTAGTATATCTTTATTTATAATTAATATTTTGAAGTAACATATTGATAGTAAATTTGAGAAATAACGCGTGTTTAGAGGTCGACTGATGAATAGGACATGTCAGCAAATTTAAGTTTAAGACCTATAATGACTTTTACACTTGGTTCGAGCCCTAATCGTTTCACGATCATGTTTACTCACAGAACACCATTATCAGTCCCAGGAAGCGGGCTCAGAGTGGTTATATAAACATTCACCACAATCAAGTTCAAATAATTATATGTTGAAAACAAGTATATATGTTGGCAAAACTATTCATTTTCACATATACTTACTTTGCTAGAAAAAGTTGAACGGAGGTCAGTTACTGTTAATTTAAGTCTCTATTACAATTGAACACACTATCATCAATGACACGGATGAGTTTAAGTTTTTTTAATCTTGTAAGAAATTCTTTTCCAATACGTTATAATGTTATAAATCTAGAACTTACCTTTACACAGAAATGTGTTCCTGTATAATTCACTTATCTCTCTTCCGTGTGATATAAGACTATGAGAGAACTGACATATCCTGATAAATAAGAGTAAATGATCCGTCCCTGTTATTGTAGAACAATTTGCTACAGCTAATTCAACACAAATATTGGCAATTATCTTTCCATTTGAACAGTCACATATAATACTGCTTTGTGACAGGGCTTATTGATTTTTACATACATATGTGCCTCCCACGTAAACACTTAACGTAGGATCCGTCTATAGATGTCTGTCTGTCAATGATGCTAATTAAAGCAGAGGCATATAACTTAAAGCTAAACATCGACTTTTATATTAATACATGTTTCGTTGGACAAACGTGACATTAGAATTCGTTATACGCGGCTGCTGTTAACCAGTACGACTGGTTGCTATATAACCGTTTTAGATATAATTAGTTATAAAGGGGTTTGACAGGTTATATGACCCTCTATTGTAAGCGGCATGGGTTATATTTCCAAAGATCTGTTTATATACGGTCATATAACCTGCAAACGAATTTATAATGCAGCAATGTTCATCTATTTATTTAAAAAAAAGAGATTTCTTCATAAATTGACAGCAGCCGTGTTTATAAATCTATATAAACGTCACGATTATAATCCGTTTCAAAATACATTTTTGCAGCATCTACATATAGCTTTATACACTTGCATATTAAGCTATTTATTCCTGTATTCTCTGAAGAGATGTATAATAGTAAACAGAGGGAAAACGATTTTTCAGGGGTGGCGGGTAGGTCAATTTTGGAAAGTCAGATCGTTAAAATATAAAAGATAATCGAACACATTATTGGACTGTATTTACTTGTTTATTTTCACACTTTCAACATAGTATAATAAAAACATCAACAAAGCAATGGTTTTCATCCAATCTTCTAGAATTCTGCTTCCTGTAATTCTACAATAAAGCATGATTTGAGATGTGCACTTGATGTCTTGAAGTGCACATCCGCCGCATATACAAATATGGACACATAAAATCTGCAATAGACCTAGCTTATAAGTCTCCCTAGATTTAAGACAAAACGCATGTTTAAATATTAGCATAGTAACTGTAAATAGACAACGTGAAGAAAAAAATAAATATAAATGATGGATGGATGGTTCACAATAGATGCTGAATAATGAATAATACATTTAGTTTATAACATGTGAAGAAAATAAAAATACAAAGTAGCTGCGTGCTTATTCTAAAAGCAGTTAACACTATCTACCTATGAATAAAATACTTTTCTTGAAACATGAAGTTTTTCAAATTTGAGCCGCGTCATGACAAAACCAACATAATGAGTTTGCGACCAACATGGATCCAGACCAGCCTGCGCATCCGCACAGTCTGATCAGGATCTCTGCTGTTCGCTTACAAACCCTACTACAAGTAGAGAAACTGATAGCGAACAGCAAGGATCCTGATCAGACTGCGCGGACGCGCAGGCTGGTCTCGATCCATGCTGGTCGCAAACGCACTGTGTTGGTTTTGTCGTGACGCGGCTCATTAATAGAGTATCTAGTACTGAGAACTGGTCTCAACTGGGAGGGAACTCAAAGACGCTAATGTCAATACACTAAGTACGTAATACTTAAACGTATATATAAATATTTCAGAAGACAGGAAGAACACAAAGAGAGCACCGAAAAGAAGCAACAAACAAACAAACATGATATCAGATTTATATATGTGACTACGCCATACCTATAGCAATCTGCCCTTTTCACAGACGTTCAGACGTTTACACATCAAAAATAAACTTCCCATTAAAATTCTTGAAAACTCTTTGTAACGAAACGAGTAAAATCATTGAAAACAGGCATTGGCTTAAATACGTCGTTTTTGCAATTACCTTTTCTTGTGAAATTTAACTTCATTGTTCAGGAAATTTAATATACGACTTTTCTTGTACACTTGTTCTGACAAATGCAATCTGAATTCTGTTTCCCTGTGTATTGTAAAACACAATAATTGTACGAACATGGTATAAATTTAGTCATTCATTATTGTTATTATACCATTACCTTTGGGTCACATGTTTATTAATTTTCTCCACAACAACAGCAATGTTTTGTTTATACAATCTTTCATTGCTTAAGTCAATATAACTCAGTCTGGCCAAAATCTTGCGAATCTGGTCCGGGGCACTCTCTATAGGGGAAAACCTTAATAACACTGGTATGATAGGCTTATTGAATGTCTCTGCCAGCATTAAGTCCTTTTTACAATTATCACTTTGTAAATACTTCGGAGTGATACATGAAAGTACCACGGAGGAGGATTTCATGTTACGTTGTATCAATGATTGCAACGTGTCACCGCTGCCGTCATGTGTCGCTGTGCTACTGCGTCCACTTTTACTACTGTGTGTACGGTTTGGTTGTGGAGCCATGTTTATATCGGCCCAGCAGTTTAATCCATTGGATTCCAGGACTCGTTTGATATCTTCGACTTTAGCTTGCATGTCCCACTGATAACTGATAAATACTTGCGGTTCACCGTCACCAATATAAATATTCTGCATCCCGTCTGCAAATTATAAGACATACACTAAAATTATGTTCTATGCAGACATGTTTTATTACACATATAGGACAATGTTCATATTCTAGTGTAGATTGCATAATATCAAATATAAGACATGCACTAAAATTATAACTGTGCAGTCAAGAATTAATTAATATGCATACAAGTCAAAATTTAATTCAATCCAATCCGATCAATTACCTCGTGCTATTCCATTATTAGACAAATGTGTACGTTACTTTTGCATAATTATATTTGCATTTTCAGACAATGAGAATTTTATAATACATGGAAATTGTCAAAGTATGACGCATTGTACTGAACGTATAAGAACAAAATGAGCTTTTCTGTGAGTGAATAATTATGAAACTTGTTAAGAAGTTGTAGGACACAATATTTTAACTGATAAAATAACTGAAGATCGTAATTTTTTTTTTTGGAAATATTCACAATTTTCTAAATTTCCTAGGTGAAACCTAATTTCTTAAACCCCATTATGCCGCAGAAATGCATCTAGTTTTTTATAAGGAAGTCAAAATATGCCTAATTCTTTATTTATTTTTTTCTTCTTTTCGGCCACATTATTTCACATTTGATGCTACTGTTTTCAGGTAACAAGCATCTAACATTTAAATGTTATAAAACTCATGTTTCCTTTTTCGAAAGAAGTAAAAAGTTGTTTTTGAGGCATTTTGTGCCTTTAACCTTGTATTTGTAACAAAGGGATGAATATAGAGCTATTTGATATGGTATGGACATACTTGTCTGGAATGCATATTTTATTATTATAAAATGGTCCTAGAAACATTTGCAATCTCCTACGCAGTGATCTCCCCTTATCAGTACAGAGATCTCTGCCATCACAAACATAAAATTATAAATATCAATATTTTGATATTTTATATTTTTTAGCTTTTTTATTTATTTTTCATTATTTTGTATACTTTTGATAATTTTTTGATAAAATATAACGGACGCAGGTACGAAAAGTTAAAAATAAAACAGAAAAAGAAAAAATGACGTTAGATTTTCTATGTTGCGGTCGATATTTACATTTGAATTTCGACGTTACGTCATGTGACTTTCATCATCATGTGACGTCTGTGAAGGCAGTGATTACAATTCTGCCAAGGGAGGTTATCAACGTGAGGAGTTTGAAACATTTGTATAAGATGAAGACACGGGGATAAGGTGACGGTATAGATACATTGTATTTTGTATAGTGGGATAGTGATATTGATATAAATGAATATACATTGTATTTGTATAGAGAGCTGAAAATATAAAAGAAGCTTATTTTTTACTTCTCGAGTATGCAAGTGCTTCTAGTGGTTTAAGTCCGTCGGCCATTTTGTTGAGATATGCCTGCTCTAGAACGACACCAGGGACCCGACGGAGCGGCTTAATGTGATGCTCAAGCACGTCCAGACTTTCGTTGTACATCTTCGTTTCAAAATCTATAGCTGGACATTCACCTATAATGTAAAATGACTTAAGATAACTCAACAATGACAATTAGTAACGCAACTTATATATGAGCCGCGTCACGACAAAACCAACGTAATGTGTTTGCGACCAGCATGGATCCAGACCAGCATGCGCCTCCACGCAGTCTGATCAGGATCCATGCTGTTCGCTTAAAAACCCTATTACAAGTAGAGAAACTGATAGCGAACAGCATGGATCCTGATCAGACTGCGCGGAGGCGCAGGCTGGTCTGGATCCATGCTGGTCGCAAACCCACTATGTTGGTTTTGTCGTGACGCGGCTCATATAGTTATAGCTGTATAATCGGTTAAGGTGTACAATAACCACAACATTTAAATACTTATTCTCACTTTCCTTCACTATCAATAAATCATTGTAGATAAAAGTTACTATGTCACATTTTAAAAAAAAAGGGTGACATTAAAATCTAAAAGTTCAATAAAATTGAATTTAACTAGAGTTGAAATAAGTTTTCAAAAAAACAAATATCTTGAGGATAAATACACGTTTTTTAAGGGTTTCAGACAACAAGTTTATTAAACAAATTTTCAAGTGTTTGTTAAATATTTGATATAAATGCTGACCATTGATATTGTTTTGGATTTTTCGTTGTGTCAATCCTTATTTACCCAATCAAAGCCTTATACTGTGGTCAGTTTGAATGCACTTGACCTTCCGTTAACATTACTATGATAATACTATATGCTTTTAAATGAGCAAATCGTAGGACTTTCTGACACCGTTTATACATTCGGATGTTATAGAACATCTCTTTCACCTAAAGCGTCTATATCGTATACATGTACTCAATATTTTGTATGATCAATGAACACGTCTACGAGAGATTTTCTCAAAATAAGAATTGAATTTTGTTTTGCCATGTTACAAAAAGTTAATACTTGACTTTCTTACCTAAAACAGCTTTGAGTGAATGTCTCAGGTTCGGCCAAACATTTTTGAAAACTGCAGACACAAGCTTCTTGCCCAGCCAATCAGCAAATAGCACCTCGTGAAAAACGAACGGTGACGCCGCCGCCGCTTCCGTTACTAAGACAACCACGTGCGTCGCTGTCGCCATCTGTGGACCATTTATCTCAAGAAATTCTTCTTTTGACTTTCCTAGTTTTATACTATCGTGGTGAATAACCTTAAAACATATGTTGAAGTCAAAATAAAGTAATATAAAGTTTATGGTTATTGCAGAAACTCCTTTAACAAACAATTAATATTACTAAAGCATATAGTTCAACGAAGTGTGAATATTAGAATTTACTAATAGAATTCTAAAAAAATAATAATTTCATTGCGTTAACTTGTTATGTCATGAAACAATGCAAATATCTATGCATAATTTATTGTCACATTATTGGTAAAAGTTATATTTGTTTTATTTGTAATGCTTGGATAGTCATATTGTCTTTTTAATTAGTAATAAGGTTTAACGAGGGAAGAAATATAGACATGAAAGTTTTAAATCTACAGAAAATAGCAGCAATAAAAGTTATCTAAAACCCTAAGAGAAGAAAGACGTCTTTTAATAAAGGAGACATTCTGACTATGAAAGAATATGTTTTAGACATAAAAGGCGCGAACAGAACAATATTATAGCAGACAAAGCACGGAAACAAACAACTGCAATGAAATGCGTTTAAAATTTGCATTCGACGTGGACGATGAACGTCCAAAAGCAACAAAATACAGTATTTTCCCGTGAAAGATGTAAGATTCGCAACATAATCCCCTGAAAAGAAGGGTGAGAAAATTCGCGACAAAATCGCCTGAACTAAGGGGGCGATAAATGTTAGATTCGCGACAAAAAAGCTATTCAGAGATAAGATTGGCGGCAAAACCGGTTAAAAAAATTCATTAGATAGATATTACTTTCGCGACGAAATCGGCTTCAAAGAGGAGCAATATATATGTTACATTCGCGACGAAATAGGCTGTAAAGAATAGCGAAATGTGTATTACATTTGCGACAAAACCTGCTGAAGAGAAAAGAAAGATGTGTATATAACATTCTCACTACATGTTACATGCGCGACATAATCGACCGTAAACAGTAGCGAGATAAATGTTACATTCGCGATGATATCAACTGTACATAATGAAAAGTGAGAAATATGTTACATTCGCGACGATATCGATTGTAAAGAGGAATGAGATATATGCTACATTCGCGACGATATCAACAGTAAGGAGTGAGATACATGCTACATTTGCGACCGTAAAGGAAAGAGAGAAGTAAGTTAAATTCGCGACAATATCGATCGGAAAGAAAAGTGAGATACATGTTACGTCCGCGACAAAATCGACTGTAAAAAAACAGAGAGACAAATGTTACGTTCGCGTAAAAAATCTGCTGTAAGAGAAGATAAATGTTACATTCGCGACAAAATCGACTGTAAAGGGTGAGATACATGTTAAATTTGCGTCCATATGGACTGTAAGAGGAAGTGAGATAAATGTTACATTCGCGGCAACGATATCGATGAAAGAAAAGTGAGATACAAGATATATTCGCGACGATACAGTGGAGTGAGATATATGTTATCGTTCGACATAATCGCCTGTAAAGAGAAATGAGATATCTACAGCAAGGGAGGGAATGCTACATATTTATGACTATAAGTTTACAAGCGATAGTCTGCTCCTTCGATACCTTGCCATCCTTTGGAAACTGTCGACAAAAAAATAAAATATCACAATATTAGCAGACATGCATACAAAAGCATTAGTAAAAGGACTTTGTCCTATTAAAAGTATTTGTTCTGTCGTTTATTTCCATTGTTTTTGTTGTTTTTTTTTGTAGTTGGTTTTTTGTTGTTGTTTTTTTTTTCAGGCGAGAAATTTTTTAATTTGGCTACTTGTACATGTAAATAACTGTTTTGGTAGTATTATATGTATACTAGCTCGTATAAGATGGTCATTTGTCCCTTAATTCTAAGTAATAGAAAACTGTTCTCGGAAAATTAAATCCCTCCAGTGTGAACTTGAATCGAACCGAAAACTCTGGGTCATAAAGCCACTAATGTGATATAAATTTTGTATGATTGTTGGGCAAATAACGTTATGCAAGCAAATGATATATTTTTATAAATTTTGACATAAATCTTAAAGAGCCTGGGATTTTATTATCAATTGCGGATTATTACAGTTTATAAAGTGTCATACGTGTGTTAACTGCTCTCTTATGCAAGTATTTGTGTGGACCTAGTCCCAGATAAGAACTATCAATATTTACTTTGTTTTTTGAAAGTGGATATATTCTTGACAAGTGTAAATAATCATGTTTGATAAAATATACTGTTAAATTAAATACCTAACATAAATTTACATTTTATAACAGACCTTTTTTGACAGACAGCATTTAAAAACCATTTTTATCGCTTTTTTAAGGAGTGTTTTTAGATAATGATATGCCATTTTCATTATACAAAGTTTCAAAGGAATAAAATATGTGACTTTACAAAGACACATTGTGTTTGATGTTTCTCAATTTCTTTTATAGGACTGCAAGTTAACATTGAATGATTAGTGTATTTGTTTGAGAAAAAATAGGGTAGGATTATTGTAAGAGTATCTTTGAAGTATTCCACCCGACTGAAAGTTTGAATCGCTAAGTACATGTATATATGTCCCATGTAAAATCCATGAAAGCCAAAGGTCTAGATAGACTTACTATGTCCCTTTTATTATCTCGTACATTAAAACTACACTAATATCAAACGTAACGTAATTGCCATTACGTCAGCAACGTTCATTAACAAAATGGAATTTCTTTCTGGCTGCATTTTTTCAGTAAATATAGCAAACTATGTACATCTATCTATTAAATATGATAAAATAATATAATAGCAAAATATGTACAAGTATTGTATAAAAAATCTTATTGCTCAAAATTCATATTTTAATTATCATGTCAAATAAATAAATACAACATTCAGTATAATATACGAATGTGATTCGGTATGACGTTGCAGAACGGAGGACGCTTCCTAGTATAATCGACCCTTTGTGTCAAACTTCGGATAAGGTTATATAATAACCGTGGAGTTCGATTGGCCGCACTAGAAAATTTCAGCCCAATTAAGAAACCAGTTCCTGATGAAGATAACCTTAAAATAATCTTATCTTGTGTCAAGTCCTTAATGAATTAAAGGACAATGACTATAGCCCTCCCTCGAGACGCCAACAGTTTATGATGGATAAAGAAAAAAGTGCTAAACTTCTTAAAATGATGCCTGACTTTTCTAAATTAAGGTATATAAGAACTTTATGATATAACCGCCATTGTTAATGATATAATATGTCATGACAATGATATTATTTGGGAACAATTAGTTATAAGTTACTTAAAATCGGATTAACATAATCTTTTTTCTTTTTAATCTTCAGTAGATTTGACTTTAAAATTTATTAGTCAGTCATATACAAAACTTGACTTGAAGCAATTTTTTAAATCTACCCAACGCGAACAAGGTATTAATTGCATAATTTTAAAACGATTTCATTTTGAAAGATCCATAAAAAAAAATTTTTTTCATGCAATAATTCTATAATTATTTACGAACAGTTGATTATTTAGTCATAAAGCATTATAAAAAAAAGTCTTCAACCTGTCATTGAAAGTAACGAGAAAAATAGATAATACACATGTTTTGTCAATAAATGTATAAATTAAAGTTTTATCTTCTTATAATCATATTATTTGTTGAAAGGTTTTAGCGTTGAACGAGTCTAAAAGCATTTTCATGTTAAAACCATATTATTGTCCGGCTATTGCACCATTATTGATAAGTCTGCACAATTTTAGACCGTCGGAATATTCGGCCATTTTTGTGTTATCAAAACTGCTCGAATAAATGTCTAATTTTTTTTAATTTCTGGAAAACGGCAAAGATAACAAAATACTAGTACATGTATATATACGCTATATTGATAAATTAGGCCCTACTTATACATGTATGTTATTACCTTAGTAAAATAATAATATTTAGCGTTTCCAATGCTTTCTTAGCATATCTTCAGCCGACATTTTAATAAACAATTAATAACCAGTTCAATAGTATTACCTATATATTCTGTAGACTTGTATTCAGGTAACAATTTTCTTATTGACATTGGCAAAGATTTGAACTTATAAGGGGACGCCAAATCTGTATGGCGTTCAAGAAAAATCTTTAAACAGGTACGCTGTTGCAATAATTTTTGTAAATCTTATGTGTGCAATCATTGGAACATGCATGGTCTCTTTAGAAATTCCGAAAATTCGATTCTTTTCTCGCTTTTCAACAAATATTTACAGAATTTTCTAGAACTGCTCCGTACTATTGATTGAACAGTGACAAAAAAAGATGACATGTTTTAGCAGAAATTCCAATATCATTCCAATATTCCGACACTGTCAACGTTTTAATAATCAAACAGAAGGGCATTGTCAGTAAATGGATTATCAGGAATGGGAACGACAATAGAATAGCTATATCTCGAAGGCAGGTAAATCCGGTAACGGAAAAGTTCAATAACCCTTTCAATTTGATGATACTGTATTCTTCAATGATTTCTATACAAACTTCGATTAATTTGTCATTCATATTGATGTTTTCATTTATATTCATATATATCTATAAATCCTACCGTATACACAGCTTGAGATATACACAGAATAGATGGATTTAAACTCTTTATATAAGAATTAACACATCAAGAAACAGTCATGGTGTACTTAAAATATATACAAAAATATTCAAACTTGAACACCTAACCTATTCATTTCTTAATATATATCTAATTCTGTCCGTCATCTATCATGATTCAGGTTGTTAGTTTCTTTAATTCAAATTTTACTTTAAATGCGTGATCGCTAAAACATTGCACGAAATGCCACGTGCCAAGTTAAAGCCAGCAACAGAAGTTGAAATATAATGGAAACATCCTACAGAAGCGTACCACACAAAAATAGTTTGTTTTTTTTCAATACAGAATATAATAATAATAATAATAATAATAATAATAATAATACATGTAATTTATAATAATAATAATAATAATAATAATTTATTTAATGAAGGTAACATTTGAAGATTTACCACCGTAAAAAACAACAAATAACATATCTTCATTTTGAATATGGAAGGCATGTAAAATAACGTTACCAATGTATAAATATATATTGTTTGTATGCCTAAATATCAATAAAACTTATGAATGGGCTTTATTGAAATAACGATAAGTGTTCAAAGATTTTCTAAATTCCTTCATAACGCCTTATACAAAAAACAAATGTCAGACGATATCATAATTTTCTTGTCTATAGTTGAAACGTGATAGTTTAAAACAGATCACTTTTATCTATTTTATGCTTTTAAAACCCGATAAATCGATTTATTTTACAACAGTCTTTTAGTTTTTATGAACTAGGTCATCTTAACATATCGATTTCTGTTGTCCAAATGTTATTTTATTTACTACATTATTAGAGTATTTAACAAAATAAGAGGAAATAATTATAAGAATATAAAGTGACCATTGCAATATTACGATGAAGGTTCCATGAAGTCTTGTATAAAGACCCCAGCATTTGATTGATAGCCCGAATAAAGTTGACCCTGAAAACATTTATCATTTAAGTACTTACAATGCGTTTAAGCACTTAAACCCCTTGTTCAAATAAAAACCTAACGGGAATTTATCAAGCATGTAGATTATAGATACAGTTCATTGTTAAAGTATACCTTAACAATACCTTTAAACTGATAGTATACAAATTATAATTTCAGCATAGAACGAATGCCATATTTTGTGGGGTTGAAGATTTGTTGAAAGATCTGTTTCAAACTTTATAGCGATAGATATTTAAGATTTATTTGTATGTACCTACTGCAGTTTATATGGTTATAAAGTGTGCTGTATATATAAGCTAATATATATGTTTAAAGTTCTTGAAATCATTGAAGGAGCTTGTCCAAACTTAAGTACATGGACATGTAAGAAATTTACTGTTGTAGATACACTTAAGGACCAATGTTTTCATAGGCTCGACATACGTTTTCTATTTTTGTAAAATAAATTTTGCAATAAAAAAAAGCGGAAACTTAAATTTTTAGCAAAATGAACATGTTTTTGACATTTGAAGTTCGTTACCTGTAGATTCTTTTTCCTGAGATCCATTTTCATGTTCTGTGCCAACCTCACATCAGCCGGGTCGTAAATCATGTACACAACATCCGGTTTCGGTCTCTGGGATCGAGCACGAAGGTGCCAGTTATCCGGTAATTTATGTTCTTTGTCCAGAGTCAACAGTATACTCTGCATTATTTTCTTCCTGACCACTCTACTATCTATACCTAATTGGTTAATCATGTCATGATCAGTTAGAGACATCAATAAAAATCCATCTACCATATTTTCCGCCAGACTCTGACGGTAAAATTCTTTAATACCAAGTTTAAATAACCATTCTTGTAAATCACTGGTGTCCCACTGGCATATTTTCTTTTTCTTATAATTGCCTGTAAAATCGGTATCAAGAGATTGTATTTGTAACGGAAGGTTCATCATGGCATATTTTTCCAAGCTCTCCATGATTGTTCCTATCACAACGGAAGTTTTCTCGGCTAGACTTAGTTTAGAATAATCTGTGACATCTACAGCTTGTTTCATCATAGGAATGAAGTCTTTTGGGGGCTCTGATTTTTCTATCGAACTGAACATGATAGGAAATATTGCAACAGAGTGAGGATTTGCTTTAGTCCGTTCTAGCAAGGTTTTACCTTCGTACACAGATACGGGACATAGAAAGTAACTATCTGACAAAAACAAAATGGCTGCTCGACATTTTTCAACAGCTTCCATACGCAAAGAAAACCAGCACGGACTTCCGGTGTTTTCCTCGTCCTTATCAAACCATATATCTTCAGCAAGGTTATTTTCTTTTAGCTGTTTTACTGTTTCTACAACAAATTTCCTCTCTATGAAACCAGCATCTGGCGAATATGATACAAACACACTTTTCTTAACTTTCTTTGGTTTTTGAGACTGCTGTCCCGACGGCGTCTGCGGGTTATGAACTGCCGGTGGCGGTGCTTGGTCAGTGCTTGGTAATTTTATAACTTCCTGTCGTTTAGAGGCTTGTGCCTTTTGTTCTTGTTTCCCGTGCTGAGATATAGCATTAGACACTGAATCAAACTGGTCAATATCATCTGGGTCCTTACCTTCAATATCATCATGATTGTTCATGGTCTCATCTTCCATAACAGCGTTGTTTTCACCACTTCCTAGTCCCTGTTCGCCCGCACCCTCATTTATTTCTTTTCCACGACCGTCGGGATGCTCTTCGGTCGCGTCTTCTGTACGAGAATTAGGATTTTCAGCTCCCATATCCCCATTTACATTATCCTTATTATTATTAACATCCCCTATTGGCGGTTCTGTTGCTTCTAGTTGCTCGTCCTGTTCTTTGCCCGCGGACGTTAAACCTACTTCCTCCGTAGTCCCGTTTTCGGGAACAATATTTTCACTGACTTGTTCGGTCATATTGTTTACTCCATGTTTTTATGTCTTGTCATACTTAAATTTAATATCATAGTATTCCGTTCACGTATTGAGCCGCCTATATCCATGTACACATTTCTAAAGCCGCGCATGGAAACCAAACATTCAATCGCTTATGCCGTTCAATACTTGTACTATAGGTAAAGTTTATAACACTCTGCTGTTATATTGTCAAATTTAGTTCTTAAAAGTTTCAATAAACCCGATAAAATTCCGACTTTAGTTGTAATGTATGATAATACATTCCTTAATGAGAAATTTTGTTGTCTAACATTTGAATATTCGATATTTTATGCTGTATATCCTTTTCACATTATTTGTCGAAAGGATTAACGTATGCCTGATTAATGCGTTCACACGGGCCCACTGATAAAAGACATTTAATTTTACATTGATCGACTAAAGAGATTAGTTCGGCGCTTAAATATTTAACTCGGCGGATTTTCATATTAGAATAAAGTTATCACCATGCTTATTTTATATATATATATATAGATATAATTTATATATATATGACGCGCGACGCGAGAAAACCGGTCTTAATGACACGACAATAAATGTGCACTACAGCGATTTAAATGACGTCACTCTTGTTGCGTATTACACATGTAAATACGGAAATACTGTTTATCGTGTGCTATTGATATTTTTTAAAAGTGTATTGACTTTGGAATTCAGAGGAAACATTTAAAGATGGAGGAGGAATTAGAAGTAAGTGTCTATTATGTATAATTGATGAAAATCAACAAGAAAAAACATATTTTGCATGTTTATAAATTATAATCGGAGCATAGCATTGATAATCTTTTATTGTTGGTAGTACACCGACGTTTGTAAACAGTAAAGAATCTACAGTATACAGTACTTACATTAGATCTAAGTATACAATATACAAAAGAATAAGAATTGGCAACTCCGAGCGGTGCCTTTATATAGAATAAATTTAGATCTGAATCTACGTTGTTTTGATTTTAACTGTCCAGTACAGTTTTGTAGTGAGCGTTTGTTTTCATAATTCATATATTATCGGCAAATTGTTTTAAGAATAATCTAATCAGTCGCAAGTTAAATTAATACTCATAATTCATTTTGAAAATTGTTGCAAGAAAATAGGAAAGTAATATGTCCAAATATGCTAAGTCATCATGGAGTAAAAAATGTTTTTTAGATTATAATATTGATTAATAATACAAATTAGAACTGATAAGTGTATAGCTCAGTGGATAATGCACTGGCCTGTCACGCAAACGAATCGAGTTCGAATCCCAGCTGAAGCTAACATTTTAATTCATTTCTTTTTATTTTTAATTTTTTTTTCATTTATAGGATCTTGAATCCCTTTACTCGGATCATTTTGGAAGGACTCCTAACAACTCTCAAACCACAGAATTTTCGGGAGATAATAGTGACTCAGATTATTCTGATGAAGGAGAATGCGAGAATGACGAGGCCGAACTCGTATCTACAAGAGCAAGAGACTTCACCACCGCGAACAGTCAGTCTGATCATGATGGAACGGATAGTAATAGTAGTGAGGAGGAAATTTGTGAAACATGTGATGATACACAGACAGTAAGACAATTTATTATAAAAGGTTGTGGTTGTCGTCTTAATTGTCATACAAAGTTTAAATTTGACGACATACTGAGTCATATTCTTTCTATCAGGGAAATGACAAAGGATGAGAAAGAACTGTGTATCATGTCGTTAGTGGCTGAGGGAAACGACGAGAAAACTAAACGTGGCAAAAAAAGGCAGCGTTCAAGGAAGACATTTCGGGTATCAGGAAAAACGGTTTGCAAAGGAACATTCATGTTATGTTATGACATTACGAAATATGCATTAGGAGCCATTGTTAAACATGTCAGTCATCACGGCGTAACTCCAAGGCAGCATGGCAACGCAGGTAAAAAACCAAAGCATTCTATTACGTATGATGATGTCATACGCGTTGTTTATTTCATCCGAAATTATGCAGAAGAAAGAGGTCTCCCTCAACCTGCAGCCCCTCGTTGCCTAGACAACATCCCACCAGTGTATCTGACGTCTGACACAACCAAAAAAGACATGCATCAGCTGTACAAACAGTCTTGTTCAGATCCCCGTGTACGCGCTTTAGAGCTCACGTCATTCAAAGACATCTGGCGGACATGTTTACCGCATATACGTATAGCTAGCCCTAAAGATGATGTATGTGCCACTTGTGAGAAGCTGCGCAGACAAATATCAGGTACAGTGACTGAGGATGTGACACTAGAAACAACGACGGCACTGCGGGACCACGTACTTCTTGCACAAAAGGTAATGATATAAAAAAAAACAATAATGTAATTTCACACTTATAAATAATTTAAACAGATATTTGACCTGCATGAATTATTAATTATTTTCTAAGCATATCTTATAATAACAAATAAGACTCGATGCACGAAAGTATTGAAAAAAATGCATGTGCTTTCTATTCCGAAAATATTATGATTCTTATGATTTTGAATATTAAAATCGTTGTTTTAAGAAGTTAAAATTATGTTTTACTTTGGATATATTTTTTTTTGTAATTTTATAGGAACGTGATCTATATAATGAGTGCATACGGCGTAGTGTTGACACACGTGACTCGGAGGAAAAGTTTGTCCATCTTACATTTGACTTTAGTCAGAACGTCAGTTTGCCTCATTTTTCTCGCCAGATGGGTCCATTATACTTTCTAACCCTACGTAAAATACAAATATTCGGAGTAAGACTGGATGGCATGCCTCACCAACTCAACTTCCTGATTGACGAAGATCAAACCATAGGTCCAGATGGTAAAGGGACACACGGACCTGACGCTGTGCTGTCGATGGTAGACTGGACATTGCAGAATCACGCTAATCAGACTCCTGCCTTGTCGATACACTCGGATAATTGCCCAGGTAATTATTTTTATTTTTAACATAATATTTACAATGCGGTTAATTATATCACCTTAACTACCATCTTAACGATCAGATATAAAATTATATTAATACTTGCGATATATATACTTTTTAAAATTAATACCAGAACCAGTTTCAACTTATGTAATATCAGGAGAAATACCAGTACTGCTGTACCAGTACTTAGTTTGCATACAGACTGTCACAACAAAATGTCCGTAATGTAAAAGTATAAACTTTCCATTAAATAGAACAATATATGTTATAAAAATGTTCTTTTCCAATTTATAATGAAATCCAAAGTAGTGCCAAATGCAGTACCAGTACCAAATTTTGAGCAGTTATTCAGTACCAGTACAAGTGGCAGCATATCTTGTGTGTGACAGTACTTATGCAGTATTTGCAAAATAAATATGCACTAGGTACTGCAGTATCAATACAAGTAATGCAATTAAATGCATGTCTGTACATAGTTAAAAATATCAGTCTTACTATTTTTTCCACAATTAAAATACTTATTGTGTATAACTCAATTGCTATTGCTCCATACAAATTAATTGAACTATATTTTAACTAGCATGCCTTATATTTCAGGGCAAAATAAAAACCGTTACACTATTGGATATTTTATGTGGCGCGTTATGACAGGACAGAATGAAAAGATCGAGTATCATATGCAAGTACCAGGTACTGATTCAAGAAATCTTAATTACTTAGATTCTTTTTTAACTTCTAGTAACTGGGCAATCTAAACAAATTTTGACAATCTTATCTGTTTTTCCCCCAAGGACAAAATATATGTAACATGAACACCGTAGTTTTGTTCAAAAGCATAATTATTTATGTTTTTCCTTTTAAATCGCAATAGGTAAGGCTTTTCCATATTAAAAATGATTTAAATTTTCTTTTAAGGACATGCGAGGTGTTTAGTTGATGCGGGATTTGCACATCTAAAAATTAAATTCCGGAGGCATGATGTAGAAACTCTTCAACAGCTGGCCGATGTAACAGAGAAATCATCTACAACCAACAGTGCTGTATGTTACCCTCAGTGGTCATGGCGGCAATGGAAACCCTTTCTAGAGAGATTTTTCAAACCAATTATTGGTATAAGGTAAACTAGGTTTATCTCATTCAAATAAAAATGTTGTTAACTCACAATTCCAGACTCTACGTTCCTGAACCATAGAAAGAGAAAATATCTTATACATGAAAATTTAAGAGTGTGTTGTTTCTATTAATCGTTTACTAGTATTTTTTTCTTTGATTTTACTCAATGGTTCTTAAAAAGTTATAAGCAATATCTAATAAAATACTTTACACATGAAAAATTGAAAAGAAAGAGTTGTCACATAGAATGTCTCCACATTTATATTATTATGAAACAGGATACATGTAAAATGTTCCGGAACAAAATATTATGCAGACGAATTCGTCGCATATATCCTCCATCTTAATACACTTTAACGTAAATAAAATTCTTTAAACAATTTTTTTCTGCCGCGTGACCAAGTTAACGGTCATGCTATGTAAGAGCTTTCCAAGCTCTACCGTTCTTTTAACTTAAATAATTCTAAATAAGCTCTGAAAAATGTTTATTTTTTTATTTATAGATGCATATTAGGAAATAAGTTTGTTGCATTTGTCATAACGGATATTTATCATTTTTCTATTGATAGAAAATTCCAGCATTTCCGGTTCCAGTCGGACACACCGGGAGTGGTAATGGCGAGAAAAACACCTGAAGGCGAGGAACATTTGATCCAAGTCTTGAAAGAACCCGGATTCCGGTTCAGTTCATGTGCCCGTCCAAGGGTTATTACGCCCGGGGGAATGACATCAGAGCGTAAGAGATATTTGTCGCGAAGTGTGCGAGCGTTTGTCAGTCAAGACAGTCAGTCATATTATCAGTGATTAAGGGGCACTGTTATAATGCCAAGTGGTGACTTTAGTACCCAGAACTTTTGTTTGTAGTTTAAAACTATCACCATTGTTTCTATGTTCATAATACGATATTATTTAATATTTTACAATTTTCTACATTTTTCTGTTGTAAAGAAAAAATGGAGCTTTTTATTTAACTGTCTATAGTTTTGCCATAGCCGCAAAAATAAATAATGTTCAAAATACGTAGACACATACGCTATTGTTTGTTTATTTATTTCTTTGTACATTTTGTATTTGGTATATGCCTAACAAGGTGTCTGCTGACGGCAACGGATTAAACATATTCGATCAGTGCATATAAAAACCCAACAACGCCTTCTGTTCGTGGTCTGCAATATTTGTTTTTCAGGCAGTATATATTTTGAAAAAATCCCGTAAGGATGTTGAAATGTTTTGTACAAATTGAAGGAATATAACGTGGCAATGGTTTACGCCGTGTGTGACACGCTTATATATATATGCGTGTTCTTATTACGTTGCTAAGCAACACTAAAATCGCAATTAGCGAGAGGTGTAATGTTTACATAACTTAATTACTAACTTCTTTTTAAAGTTTTAACATAATTATTGGGTGGATTTAAGATAAACGTAATTGCCGCATTAAAAGTCTACAATTAATAACGTTAAACGTCAATTTAATTTTTCGACGTCATTTGATAACAAAGTGTTCAAATATATGACGTTCTTTAAATCGGCATATCTCGATAATTAATCTTTTGATTTTAAAACGGTTTTCACTCTCTTATGCAGAAAAAAAATATCTACAATAATTAGTTAAAAACCAAATTTCGAAAAAAATGTCATTAAGACCGGTTTTCTCGCGTCGCGCCTCATATATATATATTGTATTATAAAAAAAAGCTCATAAATCGGAATAAAATACAAAAAATGGACAGGAATCTAAGTCCCTTGATAATTTACTTTGACTTGACATTAATCATGTTTTTGGAATTATTTTGAACTCTATCTGATTTTAAATACTGTGAAACAGAATTATAGTCTTTAAATACATGCTTTTCGGTGGTTTATAGAAATATATCAGTGATATAAAACTGATAATTTCACTGTTTTAAACAGTGAAATTATCAATTTGATAATTTCAATGTTTTGAATTTAAGCTCCTTACGTTTTTTTCAGTGAAAAACCAGCGTGCACAGTACTTGGAACCAACTTAATGACGTGACGTCGTAAATGACGTCACGTTATATTATTATTTGGCGCGCTTTTCATTCAGTATTAGGTTTAATGTCTTTTTAAAACGTTTCTTTGCATATAATAAAAAGAAAATTTGTTTAGTTTAGTGTAAGATCGAAATATATTTCACCTTGTGAACACCAAAAGTTCATATTTCACTCGTGGCTGCGCCACTCGTGATATATACCTTTTGGTGCTCACTCGGTGAAATATATTCCGATCTTACACTACAGTAAACTAAACAATATCCTCTATAATTATATTGTTTTACATGTATTACACTATCAGTTGGTAAAAATCATTCTCGTTCACGAAGAAAATAATGATAATTTGACGGTATTATTTGTAAGATACGACATTTTTTACCTAGTTTATTTCAGCTCGATTATCGATAATGAAGAAAACTTGAAGCTTATTTGAATCTCTCTCCAATGCGCTGCCTGGAACCAGTACTGGTGTCATACATTGTGTATGAAGAAACATGGTCGTCAGTCCCCGGGTTGAGGAGCAGACACCCGTCGCTCCCATTACCGTTGTGTTTTATTGATAATATTGCACGGTTTCATACACTATTCGAGGTCGGTTCATTATAAACTAATGGCTTTGTCTCGTGATACATAGAACATAAGGTATGTTTTGATTGCACGGTAAAGTTGTCTGTATCTTATACTGAAGGTCATGTTCCATATAAACATGTACCTATATATAGTCTAATCATGTTTGAAGTCATGAATATATAAACACGCAAGTCCCATCACTAACCGCTCTATTAATATAAGAGTTTGATATGTTAACGCAAGGCCCAATGTACTGTAGTGATAAATAAGTGACACGGCACTGTCGTGTTGTGCTTGTAGAGTTATTATCGTACCGACGTATTATTATCGCAGAGAAATTACAGCACGGTCATGTACCGTTTAATTTACTGCACGGTTACGAGTAATAACCGTGTGGTTGTGTTATGATTACAGGGAAACTACTGTACGGTCATGTTATTTAAAGGTACACGGTCGTGTTATGCTTGTAAGGTAACTACCGCAAAGTCGTGCTATTTCTAAAGTGTACAGTCGTGCTATGTGTGCAGGAGGGTAATTACTACACTATCGTGTTATTATTGACAACACGGCCTTGTCTTGTTTTTACGATAGTGAAGTCAGTGTCGTATGATGTTTTGACACAGTTTTTGTTTGTATGACAGTTGTTTGATCATAACAAATATTGTAATGTTATTTTATTGATGAATTCAAGATGTTTGTTGTGATAACGATATGTTGTTGTGTGTACTGCGCCCTCCTAAATAATAAAAGAAATAAATGACCAATGTACAATGTTAAATGTATGTATCACTTTATGTTAACTAAATTTCAACTTCTATTGTTTGTCCAGAAAAAGGTCACCATATATCCGAGTGTTACATGTAAGGTGTTGTAAATGTTCAAAACTGTGAAATTATTAGCTTTCTGACATTATTTAATTCTACCAATATAGTGAAATTTTATGCTTATATAACAAGGTCATAGGTGGCCCCGATAGCTTAGTTGGTTAGACCACTGGCTGTCACTTCTGAGGTCCCGGGTTCGATCCTGGGAAACACCCTTTGGATTTTTCAGAGACACTTTCAGTGTTCCCACCTAACTAGAGGTGTACTGGTTAGAAATCCAGGTAATCCTCGCAAGTATCAGTTCTATACACTGGGCATGTAAAAGAACCAAGGGGCCTATTCAATAAGAGCTAGTGACTGGTTCTATCACATAGCTGTCTCTGAAGTGACTATTACGCCCCCGCGAGGGGTTTGACATTAATGGAAGATAGATAGATGGAACAAGAGCTGACAGTAGGACACTGCGCTCATCTATTCTCAGTGCTTGATAGTGAAACAAGAGCATGGACAATTTTGAACTTGTAAGATCAAAAAGGGTCACGATTCTGTCAAAGTACATTTTAGAGTTATGTACCTTGGACAGTGACCTTAAATTATGCTCTCTAACAAGAGTCTGAAGTTTCAACCCATTCCCTTTAGTAATTTTTGAGATACCAACTTGCAAGCAAAACATTTATAAACCCAAATGTGACGAGTCGACGCCGGTGTTAGTGCAATAATGTAGCTCTCACTATCATTTGAATAGTCTGGCTTTACTTTTCATAGATAAGGTTTCCATTTTAATGAAGGCAAATGGTTACATTAAATGTGTGTGTGTGCGTGCGTGCGTGCGTGCGCGCGTGTGTGTGTGTGTGCGCGCATGTGCGCGCGTGTGTATGTGTGTTTTTTAAATATCTACTGTACTTAAAACTTTTAAGGCATTAACTCACAGCTATAACTATAATTTTGATAGTGGAATTTTTTTTCTTCTGACTTTTTCGGTGGTTTTTTGTTTGATATCTTAAATTATAGATCTCTATAGTAAGCCTTAGAGTGTTGAATTATTTTTTAAGGGTTGTAGCAAGGGTCCAGGGGCAGGGTGGGGTTGGGTGTCCGCCACCTGTGCATTAACTATATATATACTGTACATAACATCCTCTATCGTGATACCGTTTCATTTTCAATAGTAAACACTTTTATCATTCTTTAAGACCAGCATATTATAGATGTAATACCTAGCTATATTAGCTTAGTATATTGTGACAAATGTCACATACCTTTACATCAGCATACAATGTCTTGTAATATACTTTTTCATCGGCATACAATGTGTAACAGTGTACCTACTGAGTAGCCTAATTAATTTGGCGTGAACGGTTTGACCCATTTTACAGACTTTTTTTTCTTACTGTCAAACCGTTACGCCTAATTTTAACTGTCATTTTTACGCACGGAAAATCTACCGGTAACACTATCGATAGTTTGGACTGATTTTTACTGCTTAAACCTGAAAGTAACTTCAATTACCTCTAAAGATCAATAGAATATAAATTTTAGAACTAACTTCTCCTAGAAAAAATATTAGATTGTACCTGTCTTAACGCATACATGCGATTTATTTCAAATTTGTACTGTCTACTCTATCTTCGGCGGACATGTTATGACGTCATCGTAAAAAATCGATTCCGTGAAAGCTGGTAGTAGCTACCAGTGTGTCTAGCAGGTAAGTGTGGGTTACGCATGAAGATTAACTTAAACGAAATATCGGGGGAAATAAATCTATTCATTATTTTTTAATAAATGTGTGCATTATTAAATACTATTGAAAAGTATCATTGTATTTAACCTAAAATGCAATGGTCGCAAATAGGCTCTGTACAAGTACTGTTGTTTAATATTTTTTAAATATTTTAATACATATACTCAACATTTATCAATTGGTGGTTTGCCTTCTTGTTTACTGCTAATGACTGCCAAATGTCACTCTTGGATAAAATACTGACTTCATTTATACATGGATATTTATATGACAATTAAGAACGTAAAAGAAATATTGAAGGAAACTATTTGAAATACACTTCAAATTATTCAGTATTTGTGCAAATAATATTTCAAGAGCTCTTTTTCACCGATTCCCGATATATAATACCATATTAAACCTATTGATAAAGTTAAATGTCTTCTTGACATACTTTATTAATTTACTAAAAAGGAACTTTATTGTGATCCAGCCATATGCTGGAAGGGTCACATATTTTAATTGAAATAAATTTTAAGTAGAGGATATTAAAAAAAAGTCATTGAGAAGATCAGAATTTTCAAATGAACAGATTAAGAGACTTATAAATGTATAAGGTGTATGTCTTGTTGTTTCATACTGTTTTGGTGACACTTTTGTTTGTGTCCCTTGTTGTTTTCTCGTCTATGGTAAGTTTCTTCCCTTTGCCCCTAGTTTTATTTCTTTATTTCGCCCCCTCCCCCGAATTTCCTATCCCCTTCTCCTGTGCCCGTTAACTTAGTGGTCCTCTTTCATACTGTTTTGGTGACACTTTTGTTTGTGTCCCTTGTTGTTTTTTCGTCTTTGGTAAGTATCTTCCCTTTGCCCCTAGTTTTATTTCTTTATTTCGCCCCCTCCCCGAATTTCCTATCCCCTTCCCCTGTGCTCGTTAACTTTGTGGTCCTATTAATCATTCATTTATTTATTTTCTTTGATTTCCTTCTCAGTTACATTTTAGTGATAAGCCTGACCGTGCTCTCCCTTGCGCCCTTTCCCGTTTTAATTTAGGATCCTCCTGGGCTCCTTGCCAATGGTTCATGTTCCTGGGTCGTGTGGGGTTTGCGTTCATTGAACGCCGCCTTTCCTTGTTCATCTTGTTTATCATATTGTATACATGTATACCGAACCGTAACAAACAGATAATGATTATCAATACAAGGTTCGGCAAGCAAGCAAAGAAATGCAAAGAAACAGAAAAAACTTATCCACATTCATGTATCCACCCTCCAAAAAAAACCCACCAAAAACGCCTGAAACTGCAAAATCGAAACATAAATACACAGAAGTGCCAAAGACGGCTCTGGTAGGTTCAAGTGCTCGCCGGTTTAAACAGAATTGATCACTTAAACATAATAATGTTGAAATTTTTAATCAACATCCACAGATGTGTACATAATACGGCGGTAATCATGGAACTTTCAATGTGACACATTCGAGGTGCCGTTCAACGGGAACTAGATAACATGGAATTTTTAATGGGTATCAGAGGTTTTGGTGCCTTTTGCGACAGTCGTTCCAACATTTCTCCCATCTGTCTTACATTGTTATGCTATTCAACATCTAAATAATGGTCACTAAATTTCCGCTTGCTGTGTTTTTATCATAAACCCCGTCAAGTCTGTGCGACTATTATATTTTACTGAGGACTGTCTGAAAGTCCATTTTATAGTTTGAAATTTTAAGATTTTTTTTCAGAGTTTTAAAGTTATTTTTGATTGTTTTGAACTTCTTCCCATACACAACCGTCCTCAATTTCTTTTAAAGATAATAAACTAGAAATTGATATGGAGTGTAATATAAATTGAAATTCTTCTTTGCTCCATCATGTATAGTATAATTATAATTCATTAAGATGTACCTACAATTACATTGTATTTTCGTATGTGGGAAATCATGGCAGGGTTATAAAATAAAAAGGTAGTTCAGAAATTTCACCTAATGATCACAGATGTTAAAAAAATCCAACTTAATAATATCTAATTTGACAATTTAAACGGACTTAAATGCAGTATGATCTGACATCGGACATCATAAACTATTTAATTTCTAAGTAACGTTATCATAATTTCCTTTACACATTCTCTTTTTAATGCTGAAATATTTGTGTGTGAATAAAAGAGTTATTCCTGCAATAATTCATATAAATAACATAAACAAATTGTATAATAAAGCTTGGCAAATACAATCGATTGCCGCCGATACCTGTGTTACACCATGGATTTTACCAGTGTTTACAATTTTACCATGACACCGTTTTCCAATATGGCCGCTTCAATATATTTTCAACGATTAAAAAAATTAAAGTGGAATATTTAGACTTCTGTTCGACTTTGAAGTATGATAATTTGGAACCTTGCATAAAAAACGATTCTCTTTCAGGTAATGTAGACCGTTTCTTTGAAACTTTTCTAGTTTTCGCTCCCAACAACTTCTAATTGGGAAGCGTCCGTGCATAAAAATGCAGTTCGTGGTTGGACTTGGAAAAAGACAGCGCCCGTCCAAAATTATCTCGGTGTCTCTTTGACAAGTCTAATTAGTTGGACTACCTACTGAGAAACCGTATAGGAAAACGTATAGTATTAGTTATTTCCCTTTATCAAATTTACACCATTTGCTCTGAATGTTTTGAAATTAACGATTTGTTAAGTTATGAAAAGCCTGTGATTATATGTAGATCTACAACCGAATCTTTTACTGTAATACAGTAACATAACATTACTTCTATTAGAAACATTACTTTAAATGAATTTGACAATGAAAAAAGAAAATGACTGAGGTAAGTAGGTAATCTTTTACATCATATATGGCACAAAATGTTGACCATACTGTACTGCTGTATACATCTTGACATGAGGCCTAGCTACATGTACAGATCTATCGAATTTATTTTTTTAAATCGGACTTTACTGATATTGTTGACAATATTTCAAGATCCTATGATCTGACAAATTAGTTTGATTTTAACATTTAATATTTAAACTATTTCTTATGATAGACCTGTTATTAAACAGGAAACCCCTGCAATATTTTCAAGTAGAATTTCTTGCTGTACTGTACAGTACAGTACTGATGTCTATCATTTCCTTAACATGCCCATACAAGAAATAGCCAAATCAGCACAATAAGCTTACTGTATACTGAACAGATAACAAGGTTGACCCATGTTATTATAAATGTGTTTGAAAAAACGAACTGTCAAAAACAACAAAAAACAAAAAAATACTAAATTTCAAAAATATTTCAGTTTTACCAGTCTACTATGATGACTTATATCTCATAGTCTGCTGGAATGTTGTTGGTTTATCATTTGAAATGTTTCTTTTGTTTGTTGTAGGATAATGAACTATTTGCCTGTCAAGTATCCGACTTTGGAGCACAAAACAAAAAGAGAATCTCGCTTGGTGGTAGAGATATATTTATTGTAAAAGTCAGCCAACAGTATTATGCTCTTGATTCATTCTGTTACCGTGAGTATATAAATGCTTTTAGCACCTGTTTGTTGTAATCCAAGCCCATTCCCCATCCCTAGTAATCAGAGGAAATTCAACATAGAGCAAAAGTATCAAACCATTGAGGGCAATCAGAAGGGACATTGCCTACATGTAGTAATGCATTTGTATCACAGTGCTTTAGCTATTTTCCACCATATTTTTCTACACAACATTTTAATATTTGATTTAGTGACTACAGTGGTCAGGTCAAACACATCTTGTTTCTTCATTGTTACAAATGACAGACTTTAAGCCCTTGTCTTTGACTGACTTATATTAGCCCTTTTTACTTGTTGGTTTGGAAGAAAAAATTGAGCTATTATGATTGCAGCAGCGTCATTGTCTTAGTTTAATGCCATCCATTGCTCAAACAATTTGAAAGGTATCATTATGAAATTTAGAATACTTGCTCATAGTTGTATAACAAGGGACTTTATTCTGAAAGCTTTATTTTTGGAGTTATGCCCCTTTTTAACATTGAATTTATGTCAGAATTTCTTATTAAGTAGAATAATTTCTAAAATATAAAAGATGTAGACATGAAATTTGAAATAATTGTAAATCAGTTGTAAGATAAGGAGCATTATTCTGAAAGCTTTATATTTAGTATATACTTACATATACATATATAGTATATTATATAACGGAAATGTTTGAATATAATGCCTTATAGTTAATATAGGTTATTTGATAGAATTTCAAGTTCCTTTGTTTACCTGTTAAATGACTGTAATAGCTATTGACTTTGTAAAAAAAGGCTAGGTTTTTCAAAATCATGAATACAGTTTAATAAAAATTCATATGTATACTTATGAAATTTGTTATCATTGAAAATTTCAAGTAACTATCTGTCATTTAAAGCTTGATGTACTTTTGTAATGTTTTCAGATGCAGGTGGACCCTTGTACAATGGTGATATTGAGGTAAATTAACTGATTGTGATTTAAATCAACTTTCTAATTATATATTTTTCTGATACATATCTATTTGGTTTTTCATGTAATAATTTGAATAATGAAGTTTATGTTTGAATAATCTAAATTCTAGCTCCTTACTTTTATGAGAACTTCTAAAAAATATTCTGATTAGCAAACAAACTGAATCTTCAAAGTGTTTGTAATATTTTGATTTTTCTTTGGTACTTTACTTACATGATATACTGTTTGTAATATTTTGATTTTTCTTTGATATTTTACTTACAGGTTCTGCTTCATTATTTTTGATATTAAACTGAAATTTTACCTGATAAAAACAAAGAAGACTTTGCAGTCATATCAGTAGTCATTATTCATGTTAGATAATAGAATGACTTGATTTTTAAAGTTAACTGTGGTGAATATTGATATAAGGTTTATATTTGACTGTATGATTGGGCTGATGATCAAAGGAAAATTGACATATTTGATATGGGGATTAGGCAAGATTTCTCCACTTTTGATAATATTTTGCCTGCAATCAATGATCCAAAAGTATCTTTCCAAGAAAGGTGGTCAGTTTTATTACTTTTTTGTTGACTATCATAAAGCCATTGATTAACTGCTTGAATCACTCGAAAGAAAAGGTGAGCTTGGAAACTTTTAGAGTTCATTCTGATGGGACATTCTACTTTGTTACAGAAATTTTCTCAGTAATATTAGGCTTGTGACTTACAAACTTAATGTTTTGTATGATATGTATTTTGGTTGCCTTGATTTACTTTAAATAAATAAGTTGACTTGATTTGTTTACTAGGATTTTGGTGGAAGAACCTGTATGGTCTGCCCATGGCACAAATACAAAGTTTGTTTAAACACTGGACAAAATTATTATCAGGTAAGGGCGTATAAAAACAATTTTGATTTTGTTGACAAACTGGATTATAGATAAAATGTGTAGTTCTTTTTTTCTGAAGAAACATATTTAATCAGATGATCCGTATTGAAATAGAGAAAATGTAGAATCATAATTTACAAAGGGAAACAACTTATATTAAGATTTTGTTCACACAGTCACAAGATTTGTCTCCCTTTAATAATGAAAATTACAAACTGAGGTTGAATAGTAGTTACCTTCTATATCAAAAAAAGTCTTCAAATTGATAACACAACATGTTTATTTTGCCCTTATCCTTATATTATATTATAAAGCGATGTTTATATTTCAGTCAGTTGATCCTCACAATCTACAGAAACCTCCAAAATGGACAGCTGGTGATGTAAGACAGAGAACTCATAAAGTTACAGTCAGGGACGGGAGTATTTATGTGAAATTGTCTCCCCTTGATGGATCCCTGGATTCAGATCACTACAATAAACATAAAGACATTTAAATAATTATAATGACAATATAATGAATTTAATTAAAACTTGAATTCAATATGGTGAATTATGAACTATATTTTAACCTTTGACAATTATATACATGTATAAGCTTTAATCTACTAGCTGTAATGTACCTTTGAACTTTGATATTTATTGTATTATGGAGGGTGTGATCACTGGTGTACAATTTGGTGTTATAAACTTCAATGCTGTCATATGTTTGTAATCAAATAACAAAATTTTTACACTTGTTACATATTACATTGTATAAGCAGTGTTTGCATTGGTTCAAAGAATATTAAAGCTTTTCTTTCTTACTCAGGGCTTTTTAAAGGATATTCCATCTTATAAATAATAATCAATTTCATTTAATGCTGTTTTTGTAAATTTACTTCTGTATTTTTTATGAATATTAATACCTGTATATATTATGCAATTTTTCTTGAAATTCTACAGCTGCCATATACATTATTTAGTGATACAGGATTATTTCTGGTCATCAACTTGTCATTTAGAAGTAAGTGATTGATGTCAGGAGTTGCTATTTATTTCTTTCATAGCAACAAGTAAATTATTTGAAAGTAACATAGAATATATGCAAATGTAATAAACCTAAATAACTTTCCAACACATGCATTGAGTTTATATACTTTTTATCATAAAAAACGTACTAATGTCCCACTTATCTTATCATTTCCACAACAGTTACTTAAAGAGGCAAATGTGAAATATAAAATGTTTAAGAGGGATATTAAAGATTGAAATTCCAACTGAAATGTTTAGTATTGTTATTAAGAAATTTTGTTAATATTTTAAAGAACGAAAAGGGAAACAATTCGAAGGTTCCCTTTCCTATGTTAAGAGATGTTGATTATACGACACTGCACTTTATCTTTCTAATATTACAGTGGTATACAATACGATATGGTTTATCTTTGTTGCAAGTGATAAACATAATCAGTTGATGATAACAAACATTGTTTATCAGTCATCAACTTTTGATACAATCAGGTTCAATGTTATGATTTATTATACATGTAATGTTTTATATTTTATGACTTTGTTTTATGTTTTTGATACAATTTTATTTTAAAGACATTAAGGAATGTATAAAAGATTTTTTATTCTGATGTGAGTATAATTTGATTTTAAAATGTAATTTTCTTCTTGTTCTATCTATTTTTCATGAAAGTGTTCTCTGTTGATTTTGGTACATACATGTACTTAAGTGGTTTTTTGTGTCGCCTCTACGGAGTAGTGGCGACATATAGGGATCACTTCTCCGTCGTCTGTCTGTCCGTCTGTCTGTCCGTCCGTCCGTCACAAAACTTGTCCGGACTACTCCTCATAAACTACTGGTGCAATTTCATCCAAACTTTACAGGAATGATCAGTACCAAGTCTAGTTGTGCATATTGTCAGCATTTTCCGGTTCAATGATATTTGTCAGAGTTATTGCCCTTTAATAATTTTTAATTTTAAAGTTTGTCCGGACTACTTCTCTTATACCACTAATGCAATTTCAATGAAACTTTACAGGATTGATCTGTAGCTCAAGTCCTTGCGCATATTGCACGGGTTTTCCGGTTGAATGATTTTTGGCCGAGTTATGGCCCTTTGATAAAAAGGTGTTTTTTTCTGTGTGTTGCCAGATACGCAAAAGCTTGTCCGGACAACTCCTCACAAACCACTGGTGCAATTTTATCCAAACTTTACAGGAATGATCAGTACCAAGTCTAGTTGTGCACTGTCCGTCTGTCTGTCCGTCTGTCACAAAATTTGTCCCAACATGAAATTGGCCATTATGAGGCGACACATGTGATTACTGATCGCTCTTGTGTTATATCTAGATTTTATATATGTATTTATATGATTGTAAAAATCATATGAGTAACTCTAATGCTTCTGAATAATTACACAGTTTTAGATTGCAAAACAATTTACTATACACTATGCATGTGATGTCAGATAAATATAATATACGTATATAGTTGTCTACAGTTTTACCACACATGATATATCTTGTCTGAATTTATTTTTGTTATAAAGACATTGCCTGATAATAAGTTATTTTTCTTTTCTTTTTTTGTAGAAAGTTCAGTAATGGGCCCAGGTTTACCTTGCAACGTCTAGTATAATACCTGTTCATTTCAGATGTGGGTGACTGGTTCACTAGTATAATACCTGTGCATTTGAGATGTGGGTGGCTGGTTCATTAGTTCTTATTCTTACTGCAGCATTTGTAGGAATGACAACCAGTCCGTCAGACTATACTGTAGCCATTGTAGACAGAGCATGCGCACCTTTAGAGAAAAGTTCAAATGCCATCATTGGTGTGATTAATAGAGCAGTAGATCTCACGGCATCCCCAGTCTACTTTTTGTCAGGTATTGGAACTGGGTTTCTAGATATTTGTCAACACATTCTGAAAAGAACGATGCTGGCGTCGCTAAACGCTTTAGATACTTGTTTGCGCTATATTTTTAGCATTTTACAAACTGTACTGAGGTTCATTTTTAGCTCGACTTTTCTATGAAAAGGGGAGCTATCCTACTCGCCCCGGCGTCGGCGTCGGCGTCGGCGTTAGCGTCGGCGTCGGCGTTGGCGTCACACCTTGGTTAAGTTTTTCGTACCACCCCACTTTATTTCAGAAGTATTACAAGTATGGCTTTGAAACTTACCATACTTGTTCACCATCATAACCTCCATCTACAGACAAGAGTACATAACTCTGTCAAGGTTTTTGACAGAATTATGGCCCTTTTTTGACTTAGAAAGTGTATTGAGCTTGGTTAAGTTTTTTGTACCACCTCACTTTATTTCAAAACCATTGGAGGTATTGCTTTGAAACTGACCATACTTGTTTACCATCACGACCTTCATCAACAGACAAGAGGACATAACTCTGTCAAGGTTTTTGACAGAATTATGCCCCTTTTTGACTTAGAAAATACATTGAATATGGGTAAAAATCCACTTATTGCCTTAACCCTTTGAGATATTGCTTTGAAACTTTTAATGCTATTTCACATCATTACCCCATCTGTACGCAAGAGAAGGTAACTCTGTCAAGGATTTGTTTTAAAAATTAAGGCCTTTTATCGACTTAGAATCTTGGTTAAGTTTTTAGTACCAGTCCACTTTTTGACTGAACTGTTTGAGATATTAATTTGAAAGTTGGAATACTTGTTTACCATCATGGTCCCAAAACATGGGCAGGAGAAGGTAATTCTGTTAAGGATTTTATTTGAATTATGGCCCTTTTTGACTTAGAAACTCAGTTAAGATTTTCATTCTTGTCCACTTGTTGACTTAACCATTTGAGATATTACTTTGGAAGTTGGAGTTCTTATGTGCCATCATGAGACCTATCTGTAAGCAAGAGAAGATAACTCTGTGAAAATGTTTCTTGATTTGTACTTAGAAATTCCTAGTTAAAGGCTTGTGTGCCCTTAACTGTCAAAGTTTTGTTTTATAGGCAAGCACTAAAAAAGTCGAGCGCGCTGTCCTTCTGACAGCTCTTGTAACCTTTCCGTTGAAGGCAGCAAAACAATTTACAATACTGGAGACTGTAGTAACAAAACTTGAGTTTAATGGCTCAGTGGTGTATAAATACTGCTCGTTTATTCACTCGTTATTTGGTCACTTTCTTTACGACTTACTAATTCAGACATATATTAAAACATGTATAGATTATTTAATTGATGCATGTCACAGATTACTTACGTTTCCTCTACTGGCAACTACTTACATGACGGACAAAGTGTTGTTAATTGTAAAGTTTGTTATTGCAATACCTTCACTTTGTTTTATTTGGCTTGTCAAGTATATATTGTACAGTCTATTGCATCCATATGTATGTGTGATATATTCCACGTGCACTGTTGGAATATTTGTCATAATGATACCCGTGCTTATGCACGTGTGTAAAATCACTGATATTCGTCCTCTTATACGATGGATGTGCGCTGTTGCTATGAATACCGAATCAAGGAACAGAGTCTTGGACATTCTTCACCGGATGTCAGCTGACAATAGGCAAGCAATGAGATCTATAATTGACCAATCAGATCACGCTTTTACTGATGTATCAGAAACACGAGAAGATTGTGCAGTTTGTTACCAGCCAGAATGCCTCGTGAGAATAATTCCATGTGGTCATAAAACAACTTGCTATAAATGTTTACGTGAAATTGGGAAAATAAATAACCGATGTCCAATGTGTAGGAAACAAATATTATTGATCATATAAGACAACATATTTCATAACTCATACTTGTAACTATGTAAGGAAATGAAAACATGCGAGAAGAAAGAACTATGTTATTAAGCTGCACTGTTTGTTACATATTATGGACATAAAGATATATACATACAACATTAACTAATGACTAGTTTACAATACATGTATAGTATATACCATAAAACAATTTTAAACTTCTCTGATCGTTATTTTTACACCTTTAGTTTTAACAAGATGCAACACCAGTAATTGTTGATGTATATAACAGCACTTATATTGGTTATATTATTTGGTTATTACTTTCTTAATACAAATGTTTATCGGAAATGTATTTATTTTATTAAATGTTTTAAACACAAGCGTCAAATAAAATATATATACATTATCATGAGAGGTTCTGTATTGTTTTTGATGTAAGAACTTAGTAAAGAGAAACTTCAGTACAATTAATGGCTCTAACATTGTTATCTCGTTGACTAAGAATAAATCACATGAATTTGAGAACATTAATACATGTAACTTGATGTAAGCATCCTCGGTAACCCAAACGTACTTGTAACGTATAGACTTCATTCGCATTGGTGGTGAATGTAGTAGAGCGACATCAGTACCAGCGGGTTCCGACGATGGCTTGTAGGGACATGTGTTGTAATATAACAATCACTAGAATATGGAGAAAAACGCATGATTCCCAAGGTAGACAGCATAAGGAGGGCGGTGCATGATCCCCTTATACAGACAGGAAAAAGAGAAAAGCGCATGATTCTTCATATGTGGAAAAAATGCACATGACAGTATAAGTTGGAAAGCGCATGGTACTCTAAGTAAAGTAAGACAATTAAGGAAGGAAAGCGCATAATTCCCTTAATTAAATTAGAGAATATAAGGAGGAAAGCGCACGATTTCCCAAATTAAATTAGGCAATAAAAGGACAAAAGCGCATGATTCCCAAATTAAATTAGGCAATAAAAGGAGAAAAGCGCATGATTCCCTAAACTAAATCTGGTAATTTAGGGAGGACAGCGCATGATTCCTGAATGAAATTACAGAGTATAAATAGGAAAATGCTTGATTCTCAAAAAAGAATGGTTAATTTGGAATGTTGTCGTCTGGATCAAAGACAGTCTCCTTATCCTTTGATGATACAAAACAATCGATGCCGGAAGTTTCTTGCAGCAACACTATTTTACGTCTAAATACAATTTATAAACGATTTAAACTGGACTAGTCATTTCCAGATATCTACGAGCAATACTTGGTTTTTTATTAGAATAATATGTAAATGTAGAAAAATGTTTGGCCCCTTTTGCGATTCGATTTACACCTGAAACTTCTCGGTGCTAGCTGGTCATCCTGTACTGTTCGTTTCTGTCCGCTCTATGTCGTAGAATTCTGAAATGAAAAGTCGTATACATATCTTAATTTGACTTCGGGCCGTTTCATTTGTTATTTTCTTTGTTAATTTTAGAGAGGGTTCTCTGCCCCTTATCTATTGTTACGGAATGAAGTCTATTGCTTTACGGTTAGATGGCCCCCTACTTTAGCCCGGTGAAACCGTTTATGTATATATCTTATGGCTGATTTATGATGAATTAATAATAATAATAATAATAATGAATTTCCTTCAATGCTTAGCGTGACCTTTTTTTCGTATGAAATGTATAAGATGTGCACGTCACTGACGAGCATATAAACATAATGTTGACCACAGAGTGTAAATGAAAATTTATCTAGGTTGATTTTTCATCAGTTTTGCTTTTTTTCTGCTTTAATATGAAAAATAAATATGTTGAGATATGATAACAAAATCTGATTTCTTGTATAATTTTTTTATGTCACTGTGTACACGTGACCCAATTATGCTTAATTAACAATACCGAGTAGAATCACATGTGACAATGGTGATATCAACATATTCATGTCTGTATATTTTTCCTGCTGTTGACTAGAAAAAGTGTATTCATTGACAGTTTAATTATAAAAATGTGTTTTGGATTATCCCTTCATACCAGAGAGCAAGTATTCAGTCACGACATCGCTGGCAAGTATTCGGTATTGCTAAGGACGCTAATTACGCCAATTGTTACGTTGTTGTTGTTGTTATTGCTATACATACACATGTTTTTTCAGCTTGTTTAAATGATTAGCTATCTGCTGACTTTTTGTAACGATCATGTTGGGGTTTTGTGTGAAAATAGTGACCAATACTCGACATGGGAATACCAATACTCGACATGGGAATGGGAATACCAATACTCGACATGGGAATGGGAATACCAATACTCGACATGGGAATACCAATACCATGATCAATTCGGACATGTCTAACATAGTAAGTTTATGTATGGATATATAAGTTCTCGACTGCAATATCAAAGAAATGAAGATTATTTTTAATTTTTTTTGTACAAACCTCTACAAATTTGTAATAATGAGATATTGATTTCTTTTTCTGCACATGCTAGTTATTTTTTATTTTGATTTGTTGTCGTATTATACACAAGTGAGAATTTGCTTAATTACTGTCGAGCACTTCTTCAACGATGAGGACAATATGTGATTTCATTTTCGTTGAATCTTCGAGTACAGTGTACGAACTTGTAACTGTTACTGTAAGAGTTCAGGGAAATTTAATGTCGTAATACAAGAACTGATATACGTACCTTTGTACTATTGTTGCCACTAAAACAATAAGAGCAATACTGGATAGTATAATTACACCTATCAGCCACACAGGGAACGACTTCTCTTTTTCCTGTACGAAATACTGCTGGGACTCTAAAATTAAAATAAAAAATGCAAATAAAATATAACTTTCTCAAATCACATTTAGCCTATAATGTCAGCTTGATAGACAAACGTAAGGTCTTCGAACATAAGGTTTACAAGTTGATGGAAACATGTTTAATGCTAGTTGCGCAGAAAGGTTTGCATAGGAACGACTTCCGGGTAACTTCCCGGCGGTATATAACAAAAGAACTGTTAAACTGTATATGGCGCTTTTTAAGCAACTGAACAGACTTAACAATAAACATTTCCTCGTTGTTTTTCCACTATAAACTAGACATGTGACTTTCTAGCTATATACTCGTACCCACGTCAAACTCCATATAACGCAATGCCACAGTCATATGTCACTCAGACAATTAAATAAACACTTAAACATAAAGTATTTGAAAAATGTAGGAAGACACGACTTTCCTGATATATATTATTTATACAAGTAAATTACTGCATGCATATACACTTAATGACCTATTTTCATTACCATCTTCAAAAGCACTGTTTTGATCTTAATTAATTTTCATATAGTAAAATCAACTGTATTGTTATACGTAAGTGAAATTTTAAAATAGTCATAATTTATAGCAGATTATTTTTTACATTTTCTCTTAGAATTAATGCTAAAACGCCTCTCGGTCTCTTATATTTCACAAGTCAAAAGTCAAGTTAGTGATAAATTCGCGTGCATAACGTACTTATTACATTAGTGTGGACGTGGATGATTACCATATGTGGAAAGTTGCATTATCTCGGATGAAACTTTAACACATGGCTAATTTATAGTGAAAAAAATACGGGGAAATGAAGTCTCATATGAGACGAAATATCCAATATCTTCTTGTGAAGACTAATAAAGCAAAATAATTTAAGATTAGGTCTATCAATAACACAATTAGTTTGTTTTGTATCCGTTTTAAACAAGTAACATATATTCTAGTTGCTATGCATAGCAACATTGAAGCATAATATGTTTCGTCATAATGTACATTTGAGCCGCGTCATGACAAAACCAACATAATGGGTTTGCGACCAGCATGGATCCAGACCAGCCTGCGCATCCGCGCAGTCTGATCAGGATCCATGCTGTTCGCTATCACTTTCTCTACTTGTTGTTATACGGTTTGTAAGCGAACAGCATGGATCCTGATCAGACTGCGCGGATGTTGGTTTTGTCATGGCGCGGCTCATTTTATAAGTAAGCAAAAAGTTGAACACTCACCATTCGGCTTTGCTGTCGAAGAGTTTGCAGTTGATGAGACTACATCTAGAAAATAAACATAATGATATCTTAAAATATCTAAAACACAATTTCTTTGAATTATGATTTATCATGTATGTGTAAAGAGTGTTTCTCGTAGAATAACCAATACTGCAGAACTGCCATCAAATATGAGGAAACTTGGTCGTGGTCGCAGAAACGCTCACACCCGCTGTCCGTGAGTTGTGCGACAGACACCTTAATCACAAACATCACCGCACAACCTCAGATGTTGCATTTTTACTTATAAATGCATTGGAATTTATTTTTTATACCAATTGCTGACCAAATAAACATAAAATTTTGCTGTAAGTAATACGTTTACAGTATTTATTAAGAAAACGGAATATTGGCACATTTAACACAGACTGTCACGAGATGTACCGACATTTCGCGATCTTGGGATAACATAATTAAGTAAATAGACCGTATGCAACTGAAATAATCGTAATTCTGTCCACTTACCTATGAAGATGTGTACGAAACACATCGTTTTATAAACGTACTGCTTCGTTTCCAGCATACCCATAGTTAATATGTCTGCATTAACACCACAATTTTTATTTAAAAAAAAAAGATAAATAGCCCCTCTTCGAATATATAGACCTTCTAAATCTGTCTATTTGAAGAGCCCCCTTTTTTCCTACTGTCACATATTTAAATATCCTTAATTTGACACCGTGTATTAAAATGAAAGTGACGTAATTGTGTGATATTCCAAGCCGATGTTATATTTTATATTTATTATGAGCACAGTAAACTGTAAGTAAATCCCAATGACTAGTATGTAATGTTTGATCCGAGTCTCATCTCAAAATAATCAGCTCTCAGCCGACTTATTAAATTATCTAATTCCACAATGCTATATATTCCCCTCCAATAATGCTCGCATTTTCCTTAATCCCTGTTCACATGCTAATAATAATCATAAAGATTGTATACAATGTACATATATATATATATCTAATTTAGCTTATAAATAAACACGTTTCACCGACTGTCTTGCTCATTTAATTCCTCTGTATAAGCAAATGTCTCTTACTAATTATAGTTGTTCAAACGAGCCTTAATAATGGTTCCTGAGGATTTTTTTTTACGGTTGACAATATTCATAACATCATCGATGCGTTATTTTTTCTGAGAGAAAAGAACACTTCACTCAAGCGCACGCGAACAATGGAAATGACATGTATGAGCATAGAGCGGATTCGAATATCGTCCATAGATCACACACAGTTCTATATTGACAAATATTCCAAATTCTGGCAGTGAGCTGTTCCTCTTGATAAAATCAATGGCCTGGCATAGAACTGTCTCTCTTACAAGAGAGACTATATGGCTCTTATATAAAGGTTATTAACTAAAAACGTCGGATCAAATGTATAAGATTTAAAAGACCGTGTTAATCTGATCTTCTCACAGATCCGTTGTTAAAAGCTATTGTTAAATATACGATATCTCAATATCTATTTATAGTATACCTCTATATTTGTAAAGAAAATTTTTAGCAGAAATTAAAAAAAAACAACATTTTTCTTAAAGACGCAGAAATGTTTTTGTTTTCTTCTTCTTTTCTTTCAAAAGCACCCTTTTGATAGCAAAAATCGTTGCTATAAAAAATCACCCATTCTATTTATAAAAAAAAAACGTTTTACTATAGACAGGTTTTTTTGTTGACTTTTTTTTTTTCGTTTTAAACTTCAGTTTCCTTTGATCTTTGAATATGTACATGAATGCTATTTTCTAAAACAGCTTCATTTTTCCTGATGATTATATATAAGCTTATAAGTAATTATAAGGGATGATATGATTTAATTTATAACCATAAAGAAAAACCCCGTTCATTCGGATCTATAATGCAATAACTCTATTAAGATTAACAATAAATCAAGGTTTTACGAAGGTTTATATAAGTCATGTATATTGAACACATTGAATTTAATATAAATACTTACCGGTAGTATTAGATCTATATGTTATACATGTGTATGTATTAGTTTAAATTTAATTGTTTAATAGTTTTATTTATTTTTTCTGTGCAACTGTACTATTATAAGAGAAATCGAATGTATATATAAGGATATATAAATAATGTATAACAGTTTTCTTTACCAAATAATAAGCCTGATATCAATGTGTAAATACCATTTTACTGAAACTGAGAGAAAAACTGCTTAAACTTAATTATACGGTTTCACAACATAATTGATATTTGTCACCATTTTTGTCTGTACAGTTACCATGGTTTCTGCGGCGACCAATTCCTATTTATTCCGCTTGTGTTTAGAACGGATATATGTTGACAATCAGCGGGGAACCCCTTATTGCAAAGTCGTTCTGTTCTCTTAATACATCAGTAGCTGACAGCTCTAATATTTGGCTTTGATATTAATATTTGTATTGGTGGAAAAATCTTCCCTCGATATTGACGGACTTGTATATCACAGTCGTTCTTAAACCAGCATGCCATCAGATAGATATCAAATTATATGTATTAATCTATATAATAGTGTTAAATTTGTACGTGTTACTTTAATAAGTAATAGTTATAGTATATGAAACGAGTTAGTTACGAGGGTATAACACTGGCTGGGGCGACATCAAGGGGTGTTTCTGCTAAAAAATGGCGAGGCCGTTAGGCCGAGACATTTTTTTGCAGAAACATCCCGAGATGTCGCCCCAGCCAGTGTTATACCCCCGTAACTAACGAGTTTCATATACTATAACTGTTTTATCGCAATGGCATAATGTTTTCTTTTTTGTATAGAAACAAATAAATAAATTAATCGTTAGCTACATTACAGTTATTTATCATAAGGCAGTTTTTCAAGTTGTTTTCGCTGCCGCAAATAAAATATACAAAAGACATCCAATATAAGAGGCGGATTGTATACTGTTACCAAGATTGATTTAAGATTAAAGGGCTTTTTTTCATTTCATTAATTATCTTTGTTTATATTTTTCATTGTATTTATATATTTATTTTATTTTATTTTATTGATTTCATTTTTTATTATCTTATGGGTTTTTTTTTGCTACTGGGAATGGTCGTTACCACTGCCCCATTGGAGCCTCTATGAAAAAACTGTATTGATATATACAAGGTGCGAAAAAAACTAGACCGATATATAACAGTACATTTTTTTTCCTATATGAATCAATGAAAAAACTGTACTGTTATATATCAATACAGTTTTGAAATGCTCATTGAAGTGTACTGAGTATAATGGGTTGGAAAGAACAAAGGAAAAGCTCACAGCCATGCGATAATATAAAATATAAATGTATACATGCGGAGATGTCAACAGGGATGTTTATATTGCACACATTAAATAAGGATAATTGTAAAATGTGAAAAGTCACCCTATGGTAAGATATCTTTTGAAAGCGCGGAAAAGATAGGTTTTCCTTGTACGTACAGTGTAGAGGGACATCACTTAAATTATAGATATTTTTACATGACTGGACTAAAATATATTTTCGAGATTAATGTTCCATTTAATGTAAGTCTAGACCAATATTTATTACTTATGAGCAAACTTTCAGATGATTCTATCACTCCTCCATTCTTTTTTTTTATCAGAATAATTATTCTAATTGTGAAAAATGACCTAATTTCAAAGCGTTGTAACTCTTTTCACTCAAAATTGGCTAAGAATAGCACAAAAATACGATTTACGATAAATATTTCTAAGTTTTTTTTTATTTCTTTATTATCTTTTGCATAAATTTCTGTTTTAAGTGCCACAGTTGATCTTTGTGAGGAATTCAATTTTTAAAGACTTTTTGGACCGAACTGTTTTATTTGCTGACATTTAAACATTTATCAATTTTACGAAATGTTTGTGCTTTATATATTGAGTATAGTGACCCTTTTTGCTGTATTCCTGCAGTTGTCAAAGAAATGTTGTTATTACAGAGTTCACATACCTATGGTACACATATAGAATATAATTATGTTGTTATTGTTAGAGTAATGGTGCTAGTATATATGTATATTACATGGTTTACTTATATTGGCAATTAGCTGCCCGATTAACATGCTGGTATCATTACGTGTACTTATCTATAACTTTCTAACTACCATAATTACATCTAGGCGTTGAATGATAGCCATTCATTAGCAAAATTGTTGACAATCTCCTTAGTATAAGAATATAAGCATTATCTATATAGTTAAAGGCGCATATAATATAAAACTTGGGGGTGGGAATGAGAGGAGGGTCTGCTGTCTGAATATGAAGGCAAACTTTATAGTACCAAAACCACAGACTTTAAGTCCGTGCCAACTGATATTTTAACTTAGTACAAAAATACTAATTAATTCACTTTAACTGTACTTATCTTCGAAAAACAAAAGCATCCAAGGATTGATCAGTTACAGGGCACTGATTCATTGTTTAGAAACTGTAACAGGACAAAAACGTCAAAGGTTTTAAGAATGAAAAAGAATAACAATTTTGAAACAATTAATGGGCCTTTAATTAATAATCTGCAGTCATTATATAATAGACACTTTAATTCAGTTGACTGAGAGCAGACAAATATAGATAGATTCTATATCCCTTTTATTATAATAATAAATTATTAAGGACATGCAGCAAGACAGACAGAATGACGGTCAGTTTCCCGCCTCTTTATTCGGAACACATCGCCGATGGCCGAAAAGTTGCGTTAGCTTTTCTCCGCAGTGTAGTTCAGGGGAGTTAACTGTAAAAATACTTCCGCGAGTGTTGAAAAAGTTGTTGTCTCAATAAGACTATGATAATTACTGAAATTGAGAAGGAAATTGGAACCTTATAACAAAATATGTAAGATTCTAGATTCATAAAATGCATATGAACAACGGTGGAAGAGAAAAAACGTAGAGGATATTGCCGATGCTACGAAAAGGAAAGCTTGTTTACAATTTCTATACTGTTCGAAAAAGATATAGACTCAAACAGCTGTATGAATATGTTGACTTATCAGTGATAAAACCTTCGACCTACAAAAGATAGCAAAGTCGGGTGAACCACAATTTGGATTAAGATAAGTGGATACAGTGCAGTCGCCAAGGAAGATGAAAGCTCATTATATTTTAGAATTTTTGACGTTTGTCTCAATCGTGCTGGCTTTTGATTCTCCGTGCATTCCGCGTAAATTCGATCAAGATTCGATCGTATGTGTGTGCAACTCTACGTATTGTGACACATTTGAGAATATTGAACCTAGTCGGCCAGGACCGGCTAATCCTATACCATACTATGATGCAGTTGTTACAACAAGATCTGGACTTCGAATGGAAAGGCGATCAGGAAGCTTTGGGACAACCATTCTTACAGAAAATATTTTCAAAGTTGGAAACACAACCGAACAGATGATTAATGGTTTCGGCGGAGCTTTCACTGATGCAGCCACTATCACTATGAATAGCTTGTCAGGGGGTGCAAGGCAAAATCTTTTAGCCACATATTTTTCGTCAGGGGGTATTGAATACACTATGGGTCGTATTCCTATGGCAAGTTGTGATTTTTCAAAGCGTATTTACTCGTATGATGACACTAAAGATGATTTGACGCTTTCGAATTTCTCTCTGGCCGAAGAAGATGTATTATTTAAGATTCCAGCTATCAAGAACGCTCTTAAGTTTAGCAAAAGGAATATTTCCTTTTTTGGAAGTCCCTGGAGTTCACCGTACTGGATGAAAACTAACAATAACATGACTGGTAAGGGTACAATTAAAGGTTTACCCGGTGGACCATACTTCAAGGCATGGGCAAACTACTTCGTGAAATTTTTGCAAGCTTATAAAAAACATGGAATAGATATTTGGGGATTGACGGCACAAAATGAACCATCTGATGGTCTTATCACAGGATTTTCATTTCAATGCTTAGGCTGGACACCGGAACTACAACGAGACTTTATTGCAAAAGATCTTGGTCCAGCTCTTGAGCAGAATGGATTTGGTCACGTGAAGTTGATGATACTTGATGACCAGCGAATATTCTTACCGTATTGGCCGGAAGTTGTGTTAAAAGATCCGAATGCTGCAAAATATGTTTCAGGAATAGCTATCCACTGGTATGAAGATTTGATAATTCCAACAACAGCCCTGGACCTTACCTACAAGAAGTTCGGAAAAGATTACTTTATATTGAATACAGAGGCTTGTGAACAAGATTTAATAAATAAAAACAAATCTGTCCTACTGGGGAGTTGGTACCGCGGTGAGCACTACTTCTATGACATTATGCAAGACTTAAAACATGGCGTAACAGGCTGGGTTGATTGGAATATGGCATTGAATATGCAAGGTGGACCTAACTGGGAGAATAATAGAGCCGATAGTCCGATCATAGTAAATGCCGAGAAAGATGAATTTTATAAACAACCGATGTTCTATGCAATGGGACATTTCAGCAAATTTGTAGAACCGGGTATGAAATTGCTTCACCACGAGGCAAATGTGACTGAAGGTTCGGGTGTGGAGGCGTTATTCTTTATCCGAGATGATCGTTTTGTCGTTGCAAACTTTCTGAATATAAATGAGGAAGAGATGAATATTACTGTCAGTGACCCGTTGACTGCTATGAACAATTTTAATTTTGAAATACCACCGAAAAGTTTCGTAACATTCCGCTGGTGGAGGTCTTGAGATTTTTCAGTCAGCACCAAAATGTAACAATATTATAATAAATTATGTGATAATAACCACGTCTCTCATCCATTTGCTCAACTTTAATGTAATTATTTGGGATTAGATATGTGCAGAGCAGGAATGTAACATGCCATGTCGTTTTTTTTCAGGCTATAACATTGCCTTGAAATGTCTTTTAGCAAACGTGCTGTAAAACGTCTTTTAGTTAACGTACATGTATGTATTTAATTAATTTAAAACCAGAAAGTTAATTTTTTGAATTAGTATATTGTTAATCTGGTTAATATTTTTGTTGCACCATAAAGATAAATAAATATTTTCAAACTTAGGAGGATGTATTGTTATTATACAGACTTTCAGCTGAATACATAAAAACATTCGATTTCTCAGTAGAAAAGAATACATTCATGGATAATGCCCAGAACGTGCTGAAGTTATTATGGAGTTTGTGGAAGTATATGCAATATCAATTTCGGGGATATCAAGATGGAAATTTAAAGTTTGTCAGCCAATAGTTTAGTGTCTGGACGGATGTGCATATTGACCTATCTAAACTGGTGGCATAGGCTAAGTCACTTTTTATTCCAGCATAATAAGGGTTCAAGTCGTATTTACTTTTAGCAGACGACACTTAAAAGCCAGTGTCTTCTTACACATGTTAATCGTACCGATCAATTGTAATAATAATCCGCAGCAGCAGCAATTTAACATCATAATCATCATCATCAGACGATCATCAGAATATTCAGTACATTATCATCGTCATCATCAATAAATTATCATCATCAATACATCATCATTAGTAACTTGTCATCATCAGTCAGGATATCATTATCATCATCAACTACAACAATATATCATCATTAGTAACTAAAATCTTCGATACATCATTGTATTTATCATAAAAACATAATATCATCATAATGATCATCATTATTGACACCATCATCATCAGTACATATCATCATTATATCATCACCATCAGCGGTAAATCGTCAGTAAATCATCATCATCTCATATTTTTAGAAAACTTTTGTAGAGGACCACAAGATGATGCTGTTTGAACTTATGGCATTGTACATTCAGAGCAAATTTTAAAATCATTTTTACTATACAAGTCATGTAATGTAAACTATGTGACCACCAGGGTGTGGCCATTTTACCCAAGGGACATGACATAAAAGTTATGTTTTGGTCGGAGACCATCAACCGGACACTTTTTTGAATATTTTTCCAAATAAATATCACAAATTTAAAGCTAGAATCCCGAGATGTTCACATAAAACAGCTAGGTTCTCCTTCAAACAGAAGAGCTAGTTTGTTTACTTCCAAACAAATGTTGACAATTGTATAGGAGGCCCATTAAGGGAAAACCAAATCGTCAACATTGCCGTCACTAAGACCATATGTCCGGACAGGTATAAATCGGACTAGTATAGATCAACTATACAATACTACATGCCACATATGATATCTAAGCTCTGGGCGTTGCAGTTTCATAACAGAAGACTAAAATGTGTATTTTCCTATACATTTGTGTAAGTCTGTAAAGTAAGTTTCCCCTAGGGTGGGCCATTTTTTTCAACCCAAAGGACATGATTTATATAATCTTTGTAGAGAACCACAAGGTGATGCCACATGTCAAATACCTATGCTGTGGGCATTGTACTTTAGGAAAAGATTTTAGTCATTATTACTATACAAATCAATGTCCCAAAGGAAGGTCCAATTTTGACCAAGGAACAGGAATTAGAGACCCACCAGGGAAAGCTATATATCTTAGCTCTTGCATTTGTCCTTTGTCAATTTATCATGTTTGGTGAACATTTTCAAATGTTCTTCTTTTGGTCAAATATCATAAAATACATGGACTGGGCTAAAACTGGCTTTTATATATGCAGATATTGCATTATTTAGCTTGGTATATATTTGTTGTTGGTTTTTTTTCTAAATTAAGGCAGAATGATGACAGAACAAACTCCAATTCTCAATTTTTTATTTCATATCTTTGAAGATGTCAGTTTAACCGTGTTAAGTTTAAAAGATACACAATATATTACTATAATTCTTTTTGTTACTATACATGTACATTACTAATATGCTTAATGTTAACATTTATCTTGTGGAACCAGGTAATTAGCCTCTGCAATCGGTACAGGGCCAGGTCAGCCTGAGGTATATGCAGTCTGACTGGGCTCTATACTGTTTGATGACTATATTTAACTTTTTTAATTTTTCATCTGTTTATCTCCAAAAATGGATAATGGACAGATACATAAGCTGGTCAAGTTTATTTCAGTTTAAGGATTTTACCAACAGGTAAGTGTAAATAACATTAAAGATCAATTACATCTGTTTTTAGTATCTTATGATTCTTTATAAATATCTATGAAAATTTACTTAATTTGACTTGAATTTTCTCAATTTTTAAACTTCACAAAGCCTCTAAACGTATTTCAAACCTTATATATATGCTAGCTTACGTAACAAGAGCTGTCACAGGAGACAGCGAAGCTCGACTAATAAAATACTGGACGCAGTAAGGAGGACAAAACAATGAAAGAAAAATCAATTATGTATAATTATGTATTAAGTTATAGTAAAAAAATAACATTTGTTAACATTAATTCCAAGATCAAGGGGAATAATTCTAGAAATAGTCATGCTAGAGTTATGGACCTTGTCACACAACATTTGTGTAATGATAAGAAATATATATTTGAAGTTTGAAGTAGATACCTTAAAAAGTAAAGAAGTTATTATATTTCTTAAAGAAAATCCTAAGTTCAAAGAGAGTTAAATCTGTAAATATTGCTTCAAGAGTTATGAACATTGTCACATAAAATGTATTTGATGATTAGGAATAAGTATTTGAAGTTTGAGGTAGATACCTTTAAAAATAAAAAAGTTATAATAAAAAATAACATTTTTCTAGTAAAAAAATCTAAGTTTATGGGGAGATAATTCTTGCAATATTGGTGCTAGAGTTATGAACCTTGTCACATAAGATGTGGATGATGATAACGTAAATATATTTGAAGTATGAAGTTGATCCCTTTAGAAATAAATAAGAAACAGTAAAAAAAAAAAAAAAATTATGGAAAAATCTAAGTTCAAAGGGAGATAAATCTGAAAATATTGGTGCTAGAGTTATGAAACCTTGCCACATAAGATGGGGAGGATGATAACGTAAATATATTTGAAGTATGAGGTTGATCCCTTAAGAAATAAAGAAGAAACAGTAAAGAAATAGCATTTTTTTTAGGAAAATTCTAAGTTCAAGGGGAGATAAATCTGAAAATATTGGTGCTAGAGTTATGAACCTTGTCACATAAGATGTGGTTGATGATAAGGTACATACATTTGAAGTATGAGGTTGATCCCTTAAGAAATAAAGAAGTAACAGTAAAAAATAGTATTTTTTAAGGAAAATTCTAAGTTCAAAGGGAGATAAATCTGAAAATATTGATGCTAGAGTTATGAACCTTGTCACATAAGATGTGGTTGATGATAAGGAACATATATTTGAAGTTTGAAGTTGATACCTTAAGAAATGACAAAGTTATAGTGAAAAATATTTTACTGCACCAAAACTTTAATCTAAAATCTGGACGCGGACGCGGACGCCGGGGCGAGTAGGACAGCTCTCCATATACTTAGTATAGTCGAGCTAAAAATAAGCTATACATGTAAACACTCTAAATATAATATTTACATTATTTTGATGAATATACTGGTCTTTATTTGTTTTAAAATCAAAAGGTATCAATGTCAGTAAAATGAAATTACAATTAAACTATGCCACTGGTGAAAATATTGCATCTGGTGCTCACTAAGTTATATATATTTTCAACTTGTACTTAAATAAACAAACGTTAAATAATACCTCATCTGACATGCTTTATTACAAAAACACCATAAGTTTAACCTTTAACCTGCTGAATTTGTGCACTGTATCTGACCTGCTGTTAATCTACAACAGGCTAACAGCCCATTGAAAAAAAAAAGGAGTTCAAAGGATTTTGGTATCAAAATACATAAATTGTGCAACAACAATATTGAGCCTGATAAGACTGGATGGCAAAAAGCCACTTTGAATTCACCAGAGCACAGTTCAACCTTCCGGGGCAGGCTGTCAGGCAGTTTACCAGTACTAGTTGCCTTCACATTTGCAAGAAACTGATAACTGAGTAGAGGTAGAGAGTGAATGAACACAGGAAGCATTTAATGTTCAATCACAACAAAAGTGACCTTCATCGTCTGGGAATCAAACCTATGTCACCTGATGCAATTCAACACTCAACCTATTGAGCTTACCGGTCAATTATAGACTGCACAGATGTGCACGCTGGCCACACTATACTGGTCACAAAAGATTATCATTTTGGTTCCAGCAGGTAAAGGTTAAAATCACATTTTTCACTTAAGCATTTCTTAGATCTATTATATCGAAATTATGTCTTTTTTTAAATAATATTCTGATAAAACTAAATGATTGTTTCATATAAAATCCTTTTTTTCACTAATCACAATAATCTAACATAAAAAGAAAGTACCATAAACAATAGACATGTATAAATATCATGTAGAAAATTGGTAAAATTTATCAATAACAAATCACACTGATCCATTTAATAATTATACAGTTTAAATCAAATAAAAAAATACATTGTGAAAATATACACTGAATGAAGTGCTACATTATAAGTTTTAATGTATAAATAAACAGTATATACATACAAATCATTGATTTAAAAAACGTGAAACAGAATTATGCAAATATATAAAAGATAAAATACACATAAATTTTCAACTGACAGTTAAGAAATGACCGTATAATTGACATGATAGTAAAGTTATCACTGAGGTTTATAAGTTTACATAAAACGTTAGGGTGAATACCATTAACAAAACAATGTTTTCAAACTAGTCTTCATCATTAGTAGTAATTGTAGCAGTATTATAATACTGCACGTTTGTAACGTCACTTTTCATTGGGTAATCGTGACGTTTATATAGTTTTATATACACGGCTGCTGTCGACTCATGAAGAAATCTTCCTTTTTTCTTTAAAAAATGATGCTTGCTGTATTATAAATTCGTTATAAAGATTGTTGACAGGTTATATGGCCGTATATAAACGGCTGTTTGCAATATAACCCTCGCCTAGCGGCTTGGGTTATATTTACAAACAGCCGTTTATATAGGGCCATATAACCTGTCAACAATCTTTATAACTAATATTATAAAGAAAATTCGCATTTTTTCCCATTGAAAATCACTTTACATTAGAGGTCAGACTGAAACCAATGTTTCTAGATTGAGCCAAGTGCCAGTGTCCCATGAAGTTAACACACTGCACCATTTTCTATAGGGATAATATAAATTAAGAAGTATATGATGTTGTGATGGATAATTCAAAGAAATACTCAGTTTGTTAATAAATATATTTCCTTATTCTCACATGTTCAAAATTTTCTTACAAAGTATCACTTTATCTTTTATTCCGAGTCTTTTTGTTGGAACAATGCGAGTGTTTAAAACATTGTAAAAATTAAAGTATTAATTAAATAATAATTTAACATTCATCCTAAATGCAACAGTATAAAAAGAGCCATATTTGTTCAAGTCAGGTTTGATATACATGTATCTGTTAAAAACTATCTACAGTGTAGGTAAAATAATTGTGTTATGTATACTTGATTAAACAGTAATTTATAAATTATACAAAAACAAATCAGCGAGTAAATGTTTGTCAATGTTCAATAATAATCATGTATCACAAGCATTGCTGTATTCAATCATACACGGCAACTTTTCTCTTTTCTAGTAAATCATATACAATTAAGTCAGTACATACATGTATACCCGGTAAGTAAATTTAGTTTTTACTCAAAATTGTCAAATTTTAACATCTATATAACATCATGAGTATCATGATTTTTGTGGATATTTTCTATAATAATATTATCTTGGTTCACTTAAATAATTGTAGGTAAAAGAAAATAGTCCTTAGTGCAAATCAAGTATTAAGATATTTTGGTATGACCCATTAAATGCACTATTTTCAAATCCTAACAGAACTTTTATCATGATCCAAATTCAGTTGTTTCCTCTGTAATCTTCTTAAACTCGTAATTTCCTCGTCCATCTAACATCAGATAGTACTGAAATTTTAATATCAACATCAATTAGTACTGAAATATAAATGTCAGCATCAAATAGTACTGAAATATAAATATTGACATCAAATAATACTGAAATATTGACATCAAATAGTACTGAAATATTAATATCAACATCAAATAGTACTGAAATATAAATATTGACATCAAATAATACTGAAATATTGACATCAAATAGTACTGAAATATCAATAACAACATCAAATAGTACTGAAATAGAGATATCCACATTAAAAAGTATTAAAATATAAATATCAACATCAAATAGTACTGAAATCTTAATAACATCAAATAGTACTGGAATATAAATATCAAATAATACTAAAATATAAATATCAACATCAATATCAAATGAACAATTAAATATATGAAACACTTTATATAAATAAGTTCTTCTTTACATGTAAGATAAAACATACTAGAATCTGTGTATAAGATACATACTTCATGATGAGCCCACAGTGATTTTCTATGTGACACTGTAAACAATGTAATTCCCACTTCTCTACAGTGCTGGTATATAAATCCTTCTACGTCCATACTAACCGCACTTGTACACTCGTCTAGGATAGCAAACTGTGGTTTATGATAGAACAGTCTGGCCATCTGAAACATTACACATAGTTACGTAGGTATGTATTTCTGTAACATTGTGTACTTATCTCAAGCTTTGCATATAGATTTCACTTTATTTTCAGTCAATTAATTGTAACCTATCCAGACATGGGGCGATTACTTGACAATTGTAATCGATTAAATTATGATTATTTGTCAAAATGCTTGATTAAATTAAATTACTGATTACTCCATTTTGACATTGTAATTTATTAAATTACTGATTACTGACAGGAGTAATCAGATTACATTTATGATTACTGATTACATGTACATAAGTTAAGAAATGCAATGGTTCAACACTATCGTTTTATTGAACATTTCAATACAACAAATGTACAAAAAAATAATCCAGCTTAGTTTTACAGTAATTAATTCATACATCAGGAATTTTTTCTGGCAATATGAAGTATTTAAAAACAGCAGGCATATTTCCTGCCATGCTTGCGTATTGCTTTCTTTTCGATATGATGAAAATCTTTTTGTACTTTTTGCTTCTACATGGACTTAACAATACCAAAATGTAACAGAAAATATAACCATATCTCACTTTTGTCAGTAATTGCAGCTTATACTTGCTCTTTACTGAACCTGTAAAGTCTTCTCAATAAGTGATAATATACCTATCCAGGCCATTGTTATAATTTCACAGCTAAATTTAAGTGGTATAATTGTGACAATCATTTATGTATTGGGTCAATCTGTCAGTGATCTTTTCATCACCTTATTAAAACACAGGTGTCATCAAATCTGACCTGGGTGACTGCATTTAATTCACCTACACTACCTAAGACAATTAGTAGGCATTGACACTGGTACTTTTTTAACCTTTATATGTATGTTTGTTCAGCAATTTTTTTTAGCTTAACATGTATTGTAATCATACATGTAATCATTGTGATTACTGATTAATTGGTCATGTAATTGATTAAATTATGATTAAATTACAGGAAAAAAATTATGATTACTGCGATTACTCAAAAAATTGTAATCGATTAAATTAAATTAAATTACCGATTACCATTACCCCATGTCTGAACCTATCAAGTTTACAATTATTTGGTTGTGTATAAAACACAATCAGCAGTGACAACTTAAATGGAGCAGAAAACACAGACTATGGGGCAAACCCTTGTGATTTTTTCTAGTCTCTTTGTGGATATCATATCATAATACCGGGTTTGAAATCTAACAAGTAGGATATTTTCAATTATATACACTATAATTTAATGTACTTTGTTGCACATGTGATAATAAAGTATATATAATTGAAAATATCCTACATGTTAGATTGCTGACCTGATATTATAGTTTTCTATTCTTTCATTTGAATAAATAAATGATAATACCATGCTAATTGCAAGGTTATCACTGGGATCATTACTTTTGACGAAACTAGTGCTAGATATTATTAATATTTTGAAAATTGTTAAATGATCCGGTTGGGTCAATATAAAGTATAAAAAATCTTACAGCTATTCGTTGTTTCTCTCCTCCACTGAGTACATCCATCCAGTCCTGAAAAAATACAATAACTTCATCCTTACACAATACATTTACAGCTGATGTACTTGCACTTTAGAAAATATCAAAATAAAGAGTTACTGCCCTTTATAACAAGATTTAAAAGTACTTAAGCTCTTTCAACTGCTATAATATATTCTATTTGGTAGTCAGTTTTTCTATAATAAAACTCAGTATGACTTTCACTAGTTATATAGTTTATACAAATTTATTTTTATTTGATTGTGTTGGAAGCTATAAGCTTATGGAAACACTCTCCAATTTGTTCTAGACTTAACCAGTACTTAGCAATGAGTGTAAAGTTTCTTGCTCCATGAAACTACGGCTTGCCCTGACAGGGTTTGAACCCACGTGGGCAGCAATACTTAGATTACTAGTCTAACATGTTAGCCACTCGGCCATGCCTCAACATGCATGACTTTCTTTAACAAATCAATATCATACTTGTCTTCTTAATTACAATAATTTACCTTTTTAAGAGTTGTTGTGCTTTACCCTTAGCAAGTTCATGAAATATGTTTTTCTAAGTGTGTGGAATGTTCCCCCCCTGTGTAATGTAAAGATTTTCTAAGGTATCAATTAACAAAAACAATAGTGTTAAATATTTACCTGTACAGACTCCCATCCTTTCTCTCTCTCAAGTATATACGCTAGTTGTACTTTCTTGAGAATATCTTCCAACATCTCATCACTGACTTTATTCTTCTTTTGTTCCTCTGGTGAGTCAGGATAGATAATCTGGTCTCGTAATGTCCCTACAGTCATGTATGGTCTCTATAATATATATACTTTAAAATGAGTATATTGTTTAGTAGTTTAATTTATATGCCAACTTTGACATATTTTAGTCATATCTTGGCAGTCAGTCCACCTAACCAGATTTTCTGGATAACTAACCAGTTAATACAAATTTCTCTGCAAGTAAACCATCTACTAATTCTGCTTGATTTCTGAATCAGCAGTGAGAGACAAATGACAGTTTGACTCAATATCAAGATCAATAGTCACAGAGAAACATTGCCTTACCTGACGATCAAACCAGGGGTCCCTGGATATTACAATATATTCTAATTCCTTTTTCCTGGCCAATGGGTAAAAATATAAATATTTAAACTTAATGTTAAATGTCCAGCCATACTTAAGGTCAACACAATTAACAGTGAGCTTGCTAGATTATTTTCTACAATTCAGGCTTAATTTGAATTATATATAAAATATAAGTCAGTGTCCTGTACAATTACTATGAATTAATCTTCTCAAACATAAACTAAAGATTTACCTGTGGAACATAGAAAAGTTTTCCCTTTTCTGGCTTTGTCATAGTTCCCCCAAACAGTGGCCACAGCTATAAAAGAAAACAAAATGAAATTGCATATCAGGTAGTGAAAAACTTTTTACCTTTGAATTTCAACTTTGACATTTATTTATAAATACTGATATGATGAGAAAGCGAGAAAAAACCCCTCAAATTACTGAAATTTTAAGTATTAAATAGAGGGTAAAATGATATCTATCAAATACTTACACTGTATAATAATTAAATCTTTTTTCTATTATAAAATATAAAAATATGGAAAATGCAATTCTATTATCATAAACCATTATTTTGAACATAATATTTTAATATACTTTACCTCTCCAAGAATTCTGAACAAAGAACTTTTCCCTGAACCGTTTGGTCCACAAACAAGGACATTTACACCCGATTTTACCTATAAAGAAGTAAGCAGATTAAAACTCACATGATTACTGAAAGATTTTCCATATAATTTAAAGAAGCAGTATTAGCCTAAGCGCTGAGGGCCATTGGATCAAAATTTTTGTCCAAATCTGAAACTTCCAATATGGCCACGGATTTTATGCAAAATGGGTGGTAGATTTTATAATGACTTAGGTTTATTGGAAATACATTTTTAAAGTCTCAAAAATTCTTTCTTCAGGTCAGGTAATTTATCGGAAAATCTAACTTTTAGGTACTGTTTTTGGAAACAAAAATATTTTTGAAATGATATCAGCATATTTACCTCAAAATTAAGTTCTTTTACTAGAACATCTCCATTTGGTGTGACCAAAGGTACCTTGTCAAACCTATAAAACATATAGAGACAGTGTTTGCACAAAATACATCAATACAAATGAAGCATACGAAAAAATTGCATACCAAGGTGTAGCAGCTGTTTTCATGAAAGCATGATCAAAATGCTGATTTTTCACCTTTCTTATGGTAATGTACTTGACTTTTACTCCAATGAATTATGTTATACACTTAAATTCCAAAAAGGCCATAACCAGTTTGAGTGATTTTTATATCAAAATATATGTACAATAATTGACCAATTCTAAGCATAGTCTTATTATACTGTATGAATATATCAGTTGACTTGATACCACTGGTGGCATACATTGGTCATTACCCTTAATAGCATCTAATATTGTCAGAAAATTAAAATATAGCCAGAAAAATATATATAGGACATAAAAAATATCTGCAGTAAATAAAATGCAAACGTTTCCTTTTTTATCTTTGTAAGCTTAGATGTTTCATTTTTATGTTTTAATGACCAAATAAAGTGTGAGAAGATTGTATCAAGTCTTGCAGGTATTGTTTTGTTTTATATATTACACCGTCATGTTAAAGTTACATCAATTATAAACTGATATTAACATACTTGATAATATAATCTTGGAATACCATCTTTCCACTGCCAGGTTTAAACTGTACCGTTGGTTTATCTTCACCTGTAATATACAGTACAGTGTTTTAGAAATGTCACATAGACCCTATTGAGGTATTTCATTTCTACTTCACTGGAGCCGCGATATAGCGCTCTTCGGTATAGCGCTAATCTCAGTAGAACGCTCATATGCCTTGGCTAGCAAAAAAAAAATCATATTTTTCGCCGATTATAATTTTTTTTTCATGTATATCAATACCGCACCTTATCCACTGTAACGCTTGTTCAATGTGTCAGTCGAGTGCAATAAACAGTCATAATTACGTCACTCATGATAAGAAGGTGTGAAGTCATACACAGGTAAGCGTTAATCCGCTCTTTTGTTCATTTTGAACTGTTGATCAGTCAGGTATCAAACTGTTAGCTAAGACATGCAAACACCGACGAGTTAAGTAAATCACCCAAGCGTACAATTAATTTTAAAAAGCATGCACTTTCGATCTATCTGCAAAAAAGTTGTTGAGGATGGCTGATTTTTTCACAAGAGACAGCAGATAAGACGATTAATTTAGTCCCATCCACTAGGTATCAATTTTCATGACCACACATTACTCACGCTAACACCGCTGTTTTACTGGAAATTTACAAACATTCATTCATGGTTTATATTTTTAATTCGTAAATTTCATGTTTATATTAAAGATATTCAGTAATGCTTTACAAAATAATTAATAATAATATTTTAAAAAGCTTGGACTGATATCCATTGGAAGGTAAGTAAACAATCATTTACACTAACAAGCGTTATATGTTTCGGCGGTGGGTGGGGTAATGCGATATTTTCGCTATAATTACAAAATGAGCGTTATAAAAAGTTACTCGATACAACGCTGTCTTGAGATCATGGACCCCAACATGAGTTTTATATCGCGGCTCCAGTGTATTTTTCTGAAAATACAATGTACAATGTATTGAATACAGTAACTATTCTAGGGCAAATGATTGCGGGATTCATGCATCTTTTAATCCTTAACTTCATAAAGACCTGTTTTGACGGCTTTTCAAACCCCTCTTTTTGAGTAAAAATGCCCTATTAAGGCCCCAAACACTGTAATCTGTTTTGAGAAATGTACCTTAAAAAGTGACCACTTTTTCGGCGCCCCCCCCCCCACCATCAAAAAGGTTGCCAGGGGGTTGCCAGAAGGGGGATGTGCCCCCTTCTGTTTCGGGGATTTGAAGGGGGGGGGGGGGAGATGGTAGCTCCCCCCCCCCACTCATCGCCAAGAAAATTTTAAACATGTGACAGGCTAAAAATGGCCTCAGGTCTATTGTAAGGTAACGTGTAACCAACGCTGAAAAGCCTTTTACTCTATCTCATTCCATTTTCTACAATATGCTCATGAAGGAAAGGGTTAAAATGTCATGCACAAACTACAATCATATGAAAACCTCGTATCATATTGAACAAAAAAAAAAGAAAGACAAAAGAGCTCTTGGAGTTTTAAGATTAAGTATTCAAACAATCCAGAATCTGGCCAGATTGTGTAAGTGGCCAGGCACTGGAAATTTAATCATGAAAATACCATTTAACTGTAACTTACTTTGATGGTGGTGGTTTTTCACCATGGTTCTCTCATATTTGCCCCTGTTGAGATCATCTAGTACTTGTATCAACTCTGTGATACGTGCTGTAAACCTATATATATCAACAATAATACACAATTATCTATATATTAAAGCAAAACTAATTTTGCATTAAATTAGACTATATATCTGATTTTGGCATTAGAAACATTTAATGTTGTCACTGTTAGAATATGAGAATTTGTGTATCATATAAGTTATGTATTGCATCATATAACATCCGTACAATTAAGTTAGTCTACCAATTTATGAATTTATTTTGTGTGAAAGTTTCAACATTTCACATTACCAAATTATGTAACAAGCTGTATAAAACGTGTATAAACTATAAAAAGATAAAAATATCTTCATTTTCATATTACATGTATTTGTCGAAACAGAAACTCAAAGTTTGTAAGGGTCATGCCAATAACATAAAGAATTGTTCCATAATAACGTTTTCATGCACAATCAAATTCATATCAAATTATCAATTATAAATTGCATTAATTAGAGAGCAAAAATTTGTGACATGTTTCTGTCATATACAGGTAGACAGTAAATATACATGTTGATAATTTTTGTACCAGTACTAACAGTATATTTTCTGACAAGTAACTACTGGTTTACATTGTACCAACACAGTAGAGATCATATGGAAACTTTCCAGCTTTACTGGTGGAGGAAGACTTCATGTGTACCTCTATGCATTGTTTCAGACTGGAGCTGACATCTGAGTGAAAACATCAATGTTCTGTAAGCTAGCTGGATAGCTTCCTCACATCAAAGGAAATCAAAGTCCCTGGCAGGGTTCAAACCTACAGTAGTGAGCGGGCAGGTGGTTGCTATTTTCTCAACAAAATAAATGACTTAAGAGGAAGAGTTGTGTTATAACCCTTGTCTGTAACAAACTATCAGAGACAAATATGTGTCATGATCTTCATTTAAATCAACTTTACACTCTTTCTACTGATTTAACAAGGCAAGTTTTGTTTATTAAAGATTAAGTAAACAGTTACCCTGCCAGTCTTGTCATTTCTCTGCCAGCCAGAACTATTCTACCAATTGCTTCAGCCATTCTTACCAACATACGACCACTCTTATAATAATCCTGAAATCATATGATCCAAAGTTAACCATACATTTTCTTAACATACCATCCTAGTGGTAACCTTAAGCACTTGTATAAAACCTTTCGAACTTGTTGCAAAATGTGTTAAAATACCAAATCCTTGATATAGTTTATTATTGTTATTTAATATGTGTTTCCCTTATCTGTTTAACAGGCCATAAAAAAGGCTTCAAAACAATTATGCATCATCAAGTGTATGAAGGTACAAATTAAGAGAAAAGTGCCTTAAGTGTCATTTTAGCACAAAGGGCTATTTAATAATATCATAATATCATTCACTCTCAAATGTTAATATTTCAGGTTTGTTCACTCATATATAAAATAAATTTCTATAAACAAGTTGCACATTTCTTTATTCAGTAAAATGTTTACCTCTAATCTTTCACTATGAGAACTGTTATCATATTTTGGATTAGCCAGATTCAAGAATGGACGACTTACAACCAAGTATCCTATCACAGTTGCAAAATCTGGTTTAAAACAAAAAAGTACAATTAAATTAAAACACTATAAATTGATATGATCAAGAATAGCAGAATTCTTTAATACATATAAAACAAAGATATTCCACAAGTGGGGTAACATCTTTATACCTTTTTAGAAAATTTAATGGTATTATTTTATATCATTTTTATGTGTGTAAAAATCACAATGAGATAGACAAAAGAATATCAACACTTACATTTGGCAATTATGTTATCTACAAATCCCATCTGGAGACGGAAGAAAATGAAATACCTAAGGTGGTTTACCTGAAATCATAAAACAGTAAAAGTAAACAATAAACTAATACTATGTACCTTTGCACCTCAATTTCAAATAAGTACCTTTGTACCTTAATTCCAAATATCTAAACACCTATTACTGCAGGTATACTTATCAAATACCCATATCCCCAAAGTATATATCAATTTTTGCTAGGAATTCTATTAGCAAACACAGACATAGACAGCTCTGTTATAAATGTCAAATAATTCATTTAAAAGAGTAGATGTTTACAGCCAAAGACTTTTATTAAGTACATTATATAATCAAGGTAAGTAAGAAGGCGAGGGGCAAACGTCCAAACACTGAGTCTTGTTACTGAAGTTCAATACAATATAAGAAAAAATTACCAGTTTATTGAATGTTGCGAGTATGATGGACTTTTCCTTCTTGTTGCCCTGATAGAATGCCACCTCCTCACTATTAGTGATCAGACGTGAGTTAACATAGCGGTACTCTCCTTCCAACTTCTGTTCTATCACAGTTAGTTTACCAATAGGTCGTCGTAACCTGGTATATACAAAATATCATATCACAGTTAGTTTACCAATTGGTCGTCGTAACCTGGTATATACAAAATATCATATCACAGTTAGTTTACCAATTGGTCATCTTAACCTGGTATATACAAAATATCATATCAAGGTTAGTTTACCAATTGGTCGTCGTAACCTGGTATATACAAAATATCATGTCACGGTCAGTTTACCAATTGGTCGTCGTAACCTGGTATATACAAAATATCATATCACAGTTAGTTTACCAATTGGTCGTCGTAACCTGGTATATACAAAATATCATATCAAGGTTAGTTTACCAATTGGTCGTCGTAACCTGGTATATACAAAATATCATATCACTTAAGTTACCAATTGGTCGTCTAATTTATAACCTGGTTTATACATGTTCAATTTCTTTTCTTCTTATAAGTGTCTTTCTTAGTGGTTGACCTATTTTTCATTAGCATGCCTGTTGTTTATCCAGACAGAAGTGAAGTTTAAATGAATGATTAATTAACGCTATTAAGAAAAGTAAATGCAAAAAGTACAGTCAAAAATGTGCGAATTTGATATTATTCTCATTGGATGAAAAAGTATGGCAAAAACAAACAATGCTGAAATATTCTAATATCAAAATTATGGAAAGTCAGATCAGAAATTAGAGTAATAACATATACTTATCAGAGATGTTTGGACAGCATTTCTAATATTGAAGACAAAAATCAACTAATCTATTTAGCACAAACTAGACTTTGCAACAAGACAAAGAAAGAAACGTGTAAATATTAAATTTTGCTTGAGAATGCCTGAATTTTCAGCATTTTCAGTGCATTCAAATGCTACATAAGTATAATTTTGATAAAGTGCATGCAAGAATACATAAAAGTACAATTAAGAAACCATTCCAGCTGTGTGACACATAAAATTTGTTTCTTAGTCTGCAATTAACATATGATTTTTTTTTAAGTTTTCATTGCTTCTGAGGAATGTCAAAATCTCAAAGGTTCATAGATTTTTATTTTTCCACGATTTAAACTGATAAAAAAATGTAAAAATTATTTTCCTAATGGGAAAAGATCAGGGTCCCCTTTCAAAAAAACCAAAAATGTAAGTAAAATATTTATTGTAAAAACCTGCCAAAAATGCCAGAACCCCTAAATCACGCTGGACCCGAAAGATAATTATTATTAAAATTTTGTTTTTTGTTCTACAAACTTAATTGAATAAGTTTTTCTTTTTTTTTACATTTTAGTCATTCAAAATATTAATCAAAATTCAAAATTAATATTAATTTTTGTTTTGAGGTTAAAGGGTTTCAAAATCGCTTCAATTCATTTCACTAATAAAAATTTTTTTTTAGATAATTAAGGTTAACGCAAAATTGTTTGACTAGTAGATAAAACAGTAAAACTGATTACAACACTTTATAATAATACATCTAGAATTATCTCCCTTACCTGGGCTCCTATACCTTCAGTCAATTTCACTGTGTATATTACCACATCTAGAATTGGCTGTGAACACATGGAATAGAAATATATGAATGTTAATGCTTTACTTACAGAGCTACAATATGCATTCTAAATGTCTTAGTGATTTGTGCTTTTTAAGGAGAAGTTTTTAAGTTTTTTACTATACATGTATACATATAAAGGAAAATATGCAATGGACTGGAAGCGATTGAAAAAAAATTGGGTTAAGCTTCATGCAAGGGTCATTCCAGTCAAGTTTCAATATTCAATGTTAGCCTTTTGGTTTCAGAGATGATTTGAAAGAACTGTGGATGATGAACAGATGATCCATAAATGATGGACATCCATCAAAGCTGGAAAGCTCACCATGACCATGATGTGCTGGGTTGAGCTAAAAATTAATGAATTTAAAATTGAAATAAAGTTGTTTTTTTGTTGTTGTTTTTTTTCTCTCCAAATTTTACCATGACATTTCTTAATATTAAAGAACAGTGATATACACAAACTAAAATTTAAATAATGGAAGAACTATTTCAAAGTCTAAAAAACATACCTTGCTTAAATTAGAGTACAATTCCGCGACAGATTCACAAAATCTGTCAACATCCATGGTAAGAAGTTGGTCTGGGTTAGATATTCGGTTGTCAAGGTTACTCATCTTGTAGTATGTAAAACCCCTGTAATATGTTATAACAAATTGTGACTGCATACTAATTTTATGTAAGATTATATGATTTCTGTAACCTCTAAATGTAAAATTATTTGATTTCTGTAACCTCTAAATGTAAGATTATATGATTTCTGTAACCTCTAAATGTAAGATTATTTGATTTCTGTAACCTCTAAATGTAAGATTATTTGATTTCTGTAACCTCTAAATGTAAGATTATTTGATTTCTGTAACCTCTAAATGTAAGATTATTTGATTTCTGTAACCTCTAAATGTAAGATTATTTGATTTCTGTAACCTCTAAATGTAATATTATTTGATTTCTGTAACCGTTCAATTGCTACAAAGATTCATCTTGACATAACAATTATTTTCAAATAACTTTGATGTTTATTATAATATTTTTCCCACAATTGTTATTTATATCCACTCTACCTTATCATTATCAACAAATTTGACATAACTCATCATTAACAATTAAAACAATTTTCTTCTCCCTACATTATATCATGAGTTTTTTAAAACAAGAAGCTACATTTATATTTGATAAAGATTATAATCATGCATGAATAATGAGGTTTGACATTACCTCAAATATTTTTCGTACAAATGGTTGGAAAGCCTTGTCCTAAATCGTAGTTTGAGTTCATTTAAACCATACTGAAAAATAAATGTAGAAAAAGATGAAACTTGTCAAGATATCCACATAGTAGATCAGTGATTAACAATATTCAGTAAAGATTATTAGGATCTTACACCAGCTGCCAGTACAGACGGAAATATCTAGCTTGAGTGTAACTGTTTAACAGTGGTAACAAAAGGGTCAGGTTTTTCTAGTACTGGTGTAAACAGACAATTTTGCATGATATGCAAGAAATAGAAATTTACTTTTTTTTATTTATACTGTCATAAAATTTAATTAACATAGAATACCTTACCAAATTACATTTATACAAAACATGTCTAATTCTTACTGTGAGATTTTCCTTTATAAACATGGTATTTAGAGTTTTGTAATTTAACACTCGGTCTAATGACCTTTACGATTATATTGCAGTGCATCGGAAAACAATACTGAGCTGTTTTATACACAAGACACTCAAAACTTAAGTATATTCCCTAATAATAAAGTTTTCATGGCGGAGATAGGTAATGTTTCTGTGTTTCTCCATACATATCGGGTATGAGAAGCCACATTAGCAGGAACCATCGTCTCTCTGTCTGATGATTTCCACACAAATCAGAAATCAAAATCCTATATCAACCAGCCATTAACACCATATTGAGTGATTGCATCAAGACATCTTATTAATTACTGGCTAACAAATAGCTTTCTAGCAGGACTGTGCTGTCATAATAAAGATAGTTACCTTTAAACAATTGTTCACAACAGATATCTGAAATATAAAGATAGTAAGATAATAAATCAAGAATGTGTATATGTTAAACAACCTATACAAATCTACAACACAGTACAAACAGCCTAAAATAGAGTACTCAATCAAAAATCAACTAAGAAAGCACTAATACTAATAGGCCTTGTGTAAGTGTTAATACACCGGTGTAATATCGTTTTTATTAAATATCTTTATTACACTCATGCACCATAGTTTATTTGATAAAAAGTACTTATAAATAATCTTTGAAAAGTTTAATATCATTTTCCATTAATACTTTAAGTACTTATATATATTGTAATGAACTACAAATAACATCAGATAATTCTATACTTACAATAGGCATGGCCCACATGAACTTAAACAGATGTTTCTTAAACAACTGCATATTTCTACCAATGATTGCACTGAAAAGTAAATAAATTTCATTTATGTAAAACACTTAACCTGCTTAATATATATTTATTTCAACCTGCTTGTATGTATGTATAAAGGCTTTGACATGCTTTGTTTATGGAACAGTCCATTCAAAATAAAGGTATTTTGGTATAAAAAACAGAGCTATCAACAGTATAAAACCTGGTCAGATGTATGAATGCAAGTTAGACTGGCTCTATACTGGTGGGAAAGGCTAATAAATATTATAGATATACAGTACACTCACATGCCTACAATTTTTCATCTTTCTAAATTCACTTTGTAGGTCTTGTAAAACAGTTTTCATTACATTATGAGACATTGTTCCAGTCCGTAAATCATTTTGAAATTACATAATGAGAGATTGTTCTAACTCTTTAATCATTTTGAAATTACATAATGAGAGATTGTTCTAACTCTTTAATCATTTGGATATTACATCATGAGAAAATGTTCTAACTCTTTAATCATTTGGATATTACACCATGAGAGATTGTTCTAACTCTTTAATCATTTTGATATTACATCATGAGATATTGTTCTAACTCTTTAATCATTTGGATATTACATCATGAGAAAATGTTCTAACTCTTTAATCATTTGCATATTACATCATGAGTGATTGTTCTAACTTTAGTTAAATCATTTAGATATGTTTTGTTATAGCCCTATTACATAATTCTGATTTCTAAAATGAATTTGTAACATATCAAAATAAAGCTAAGCTATACAAGTTTGCTTAATTTTTTTAGAATGTATTTACACACTATTCATATGATATAAACAGAAAGCCCAAAATACCCTTTATTTGTGTCAAATACTACACATGTCTTAAATTTAGACTGGTTAAAAGTTACCTTGTAAGATTTCAAGATCAAAATATTAAAATTGGGCAGACAAACATAATTATTATACTAGTTGCCAGCTAAGTCAGGTCAGACATTTTTTAATCTTGGCCTGGCCCTATACTAGTGATATCTACGGGTGGAAATAATTACATATGGCAACATTAAGAGATAAATAACATTAGAAATGTGACTAATATATTACACATCATTATGTTAACATATGACTTATATCAATAAAACAATGTGACAATGTCAACATATACCTTTCAATAGCCGTTCCATTCTGTATCATCCAAACATCAGCATATGTTCTACACATCAGTGATACAGCCACAAGAACTAGGTACCATACCTGTGTTATATACATACATCATATCATAATATATACTACATAATATGAGCCGCGCCATGACAAAATCAACATAATGCGTTTGTGACCAGCATGGATCCAGACCAGCCTGCGCATCCGCTGTTCACTATCATTTTCTCTACTTGTTATAGGTTTTATAAGCAAACAGCATGGATCCTAATCAGACTGTGCGGATGCGCCGTTTAAATTTCTTTAAAATCATGAAGTTTTACCCTTAAATTCACTTTACATCAAATTTTTCTACTCCTTTTCTTATTCTTCCCAAAATTTAAGAGAACAGCCACTTTCCCTATCTAATGAAAGAAAAACTCTTGAAATATGTATATATAATGTTGATTGAAGTAGGACATCTATTGACCTTTTCGAAAACCTAGCTAAACATCGTTTTCCGGTACGTTACGGATTTAGCTCTGGGGAATTACACCAAATGAAATACATAACACAGTTACATGATATTTTTATTTTTCTATCATTATTTTACCGTTTAAGGTGAAAAAAAATTGATGTTTTTGAAAATTATCAATATTCTTTTAATATCCATTCCAAATTTTTCAAAAAAATAAATTGTTTATGATGAAAATCAATAAAATTTAAACAGACGTAGTGGAATCTTCCATAATAAATAAGGTTATTTTCTGCGTAAACTTGTTTATTTACTTTATTTTTTGTATGGAATTTTTCATAAATGATATTTAATTAATTTCTTATAAAGAAATAACTGTTTTATTTCAATTTAATTTAAAAAAGGACGAAAACACCGAGTTCGCTATTACACTCCAATAGGTTAATTCCCCAGAGCTATGTACAGAAAGTACCGGAAAATGGCGTTTAGCTAGGTTTTCGAATTTGTGAATAAAGTTTCGAATTGATAGGTAACTGTATGCCATACAGGAGTGAGATATTGTCTGTAAATTTATGCTTAACTGGTTGATGCTTTAGATTTCAATTGAAAGGTTTCAAAATTTTACTGAAAAATTCATAAAAAAATATTTCAAAATATCGGATTACTATCAAAATCATTCATTCTGGAAAAATAAATTCCTTCTTTCATTAATTCAAAATACAGCAACATTCTATATACCTACTTGAAAATTACATAATGGTTTTGATAAATGAAAACAGATATAAGGAATATGAAAACAGATAAAAGGAAGTGTAAAAATTTTACATATTTTTAAATACTGATATATTGAAATTATATATGCACATAACTTTTATAATTTTTTAATTGTAGTAATTACACGTATTATAGCATACCTCTGTTGAAAACCATGACGGCAATAGTATAGCCAGAATTTTACCCATACGCCTAAAAAATATAGTAGATTTAAATTAATACAAATTATCGAATCACTGTAAATGTTCTGAACACGAAATTGATTTATATTTAATATAAAATTATCCAAAGTGTTCTAAAACAATTATGACAATCCTCACTTTTTCTTATAAAATTAAATAAAAATTAAACTTTAAATAGGAAAATATTTTAATTGTTTACATAATATTATGATAGATTCATATGATTGCATAATTATACATGCACTCATTTAAATCCAATTATAAATAACAGTTACCTCATGAATTTCATCAATGAAATTAAATGAAATATTACCTAAAGAAAACAGCATCAACAGCTGCCCGTTCCTTTTTCTCTGTTGCCTAAAATACACCATGGAATGTCATGTCTTATCAATTATTATGTTTTATGCTTAAATACTGGGTTATATGCCCAAACATAATTAGATTGTCAAGTTTAAATCCCCCCCAAAAAGAAGTGACCAAAAGAACTCTTAAAGGGTGATCCCATTCACATTAATATAACAAAAGAAGTTTGATTTTGTGAAAACATCAATACTAAAATTTGATATATATACTGTAAGTCTTAATCCAAGTCCACAAAAAAATTAGCAATTTAAAGTACATCTATTTGACTATAGTCCCTTATCATAAAGCTGAGAAATCATTATTAGTACATCAACAACAACAACAACTTACCCCATGTACGAAAACTTTGACCTCAGATTCTGTTTTCCTAAACAATGAAAACAAAGAAATGCCATCAAGACCTTTCAATCTGAGCTAAAAATAATAAAATGTCATGTACCCTTATTCTGAAACATTGACCAGTAGACAATGATAACAATTATAATCAATAATTCTTATAATAAATTATCATATTATATCACTGCCCTCTAGATACATATAATTGTTATCATGTTAATGGCAAGTTACATTGTGCTGATAGTAGATCTATATACAATGAGAGTGCAAGTAATGCACTGCTTAACTACATTTTAACAACAACCCCTGGACAATTGCATTTAAAACAAGAGCCAGTTGAACTGGGTTATGCTCCCCTAATAGGTTTTGGACACAGAAAAGTATACCTTTTGTAGTTTCAGAGTTATGTCATGGGCAAAGTTCAAAGTGCAATAATTCCAAAATTAGGAAAGGCAGAGTTACCGTTCTTTGCACTGCACTTCTACTCAATGAGATCTAATTACCAATTTATATTCTGGTTGATACCTCTTGTAGTTTCACAGTAATGTCCTGGACAAAGTTCACAGTGTAAAATTGAACTTTTGCAATGAATATATACGCAATGAGATCTATCTACCTACAAAGTTTCATGTTGATATCTCTCATACTTTCAGAGTTATGTTATCTGTATATCTCTGGAGTTATGTCCAGGACATGGTTCTTTTGCACTGCTCATCTACCCAATGAGAAGTATCTACCTACATATCTCTTATAGTGTCTGAGTTATGTCCAGACAAAGTTCAAGGTGTTAAACAAAGGGCAATAACTCCAATTTTAGACAAGACAGAGTTATTGTTCTTGTGCACTGCGCAATCTATCTACCTACGAAGTTTCATGTTGATATCTCTTGTTGTTTCAAAGTTATGTCCTGGCCAAAAAAAAGGGAAGAACGGACGGACATCAGGACAGATGAACAAAGCAGCGACTATACAGGCGAGAATTTGGTATTACTCTTTATATTTATGTATGTCTTTTAAGTAGAAGATTAATAAATAGCTCTTACTAATTATTGTCACATGTTCCGACTAGATTGGCAGATACATTTTTAAAACTATTTTAAATATATAGGAATTTACAACAAAATTGTGACAATATGATATACTGGCATGCGAGCAGTTCCCGTACAAAAATCACAGTTACTGAAACATTATTTTTTATTACGCTCACTCACCAAAATTTGATTGTTACACATCAATATTCAGCTCGTCACACAAATTATGGAAATTCCATAATGTTCTAAACATAGTATAACCCTTACTTATGAGGCCTCATATGGGGTACCGAAATTATCCATTATTTTGTATGAAGAGAAGTAGTTCCCGTACATAAAATCTAACCCATTATAATTATACAATTTTATTTTATCGGACCTATTTTCCATTTACAATTGTTGAACAGACCATTATCTAAGAGATAAATAGATGTAATTCAGGAAATAGAGCGTAGACTAAACGCGGGTATCAATTACCCGGTACCGTTACCCCAACGCATTCACATGCAATAGTATGCTTGAATGCATGATATTTTACGCATCAAAGCCATAAAATTATTATATATAGTAATATTGGTCAACATTCTGATAATTAAACAAGTTTACACCACATTGCCTACTTATTTGTAAACAGGTGGTATTAGTGGAAAACCCTTTAACAAGCCTCACGTGTAAGTATTTTTGCGCATGCGCGCAAGGACGGAATCCCCCAGAGAAAACAAGGTCACGTTTTGACGACGCACAGGTGAAAGTGATTTAAAATGAGACTTTATATACGTACTGCCGAACTGACACTTAGATTTTGTCTCGTTTATGTATCTGCTTGATTTGAAATGAATTTTTGAAGAATGCAAGTAAAAATCAAGCATTTAAATGAAAAATACGGGTACTGCTTCTGTACGGGAACTGCTCGCATGCCAGTAACAATATATTTTAAGGATAACAGGCACCAATTTATAAGAATCAGAATTTTAAAAGTCAAAATCTAGGACATGATTAACTTTAATATCTAAATAAGTATAATTAGCATAGATCTACAAACAAAAAACATTTATAATTTTTACATTCAATTATTTACAAGTTTATTGTTCTCAAATCTTAGAATAACAATGTGAGCAACAGACATGTCCAGACAGTCACTTGCCCTGCTCTTGTCTGCACTAAATTAAAATATTTAAACCAGCAATTAAAATAATGAAGATCCCCTTTATTATAATTTTCATGCTAGGATTTTACAATTAATATTAGTAAGCTATCAAATCAATGTCGGTTAGATTTTATTTGAGATGTCATGCTTTATCTGAAATTGGGTTCATAAATTATAACATTCCACAACACTGGGCCATACCCCACCCGCTCTAACCATCAGACAATCAATTTGTTAACTAATGAATCACATTTACTTACAGCTTCCTTTTAGTAGCATTTGTTTTGTAAACAACATATATGGCAACACCTAGAGCAGTTGTTAAAGCTGCTTTTTGAGGGGTGAGTTTGCTAAGGACCCCCATTTTGTTTGAAGGCAACTTCAGTAGCCTAATTTAAATACGCCTTTACTTTTAAATTACTTTTTCTTATCTAAACATATGACCCCTTAATAGAAATTGATTATAATATTCTGGCGATTTTACAATTCTCGGTTCAATATGAAATATTCATTTTTCAGTTACCAACAACTAAGACTGTGAATAGGTAATATACTCTGTTCCTATGATATCAAGGGTTCTATGATATCAAGGTACTTAAATTTTCTGTGACTGCTAGTAAAAGCAACATATGATGATGCTAATATTTGTAAAACTTGAATACTAGATTCATTTTCATCTGCCAATAAATTTAATTTGGTGAATAATGAATGTATTTGGGGCAAGAAAACTATTTTATAAAACCTTCATATTTGACTACCATTTTCCTTAGTGATTTTTACACAGTCAATTAAAATATATTATAAACACATATACTGACATATAGTCTGTTCATATAGTTTTAATTTTATAGCAAGTTAACTGATGGAAGTTTTTCACAACTTAACTTGAAAATTTTGACCCATCAATCCTTCCATACTTGCTTTTTTGGGGGATTACCTTGATACCGTAGTAACCTCCTCTGAAATGACCCAAAATGGCAGGCATTGAAAATATACTAAATAATTTCATTTTTATTGGTTCTTTTGAAATATTTTTTTGAGAAACAGTTCTGGAAAATACGGAAGAGCATTAGTGCCAGGTGTATGTTTTTTATTAACTCGAAATTTCGAGTTACTAACTCGAAATTTCGACTTATTAACTCGAAATTTCGACTTACTAACTCGAAATTTCGAGTTACTTATCTCGAAATTTCGAGTTACTAACTCGAAATTTCGAGTTACTAACTCGAAATTTCGACTTACTAACTCGAAATTTCGACTTACTAACTCGAAATTTCGACTTACTTAACTCGAAATTTCGACTTATTAACTCGAAATTTCGACTTACTAACTCGAAATTTCGACTTACATTGCACGACTTTCATTGGTTGCCGGTGAAAGCAAGGATTGAATTCAATATACTTTCTTTCGTGTGTAGCTGTTGCACATTGACAGAGCACCTTTAACATTTATTTAACAGAACAATTTTATAGGGTCAAATTGTCCACACATACTGAACATATCCTTCGCTTTTTTGTGGAGGGGGGGGGGGGGGGTAAAATCACACTTTCCACATTTCTGTGTTAACCGGGTGTTTCTTATTCTTAAGCACACATACAACCATCATGTGGAGAAACAACAAGTCCAAAACCCACCCTATTGTAAACTGTGCAATATCATGTGTTAAATAAGTTTTAATTGGCGTGTATACGCCAGTTAGTCTGTCACGTTTCTTTATACTAATAATGTTTTTGTAACATTATTCATTATTAACTAATACTTTGATATTGTGTTGATAAAAGTTGATAAAAGTGATACTTGTTGTTATATATATGTTGGGAATAATATAAAAGCATCCGATTTTACAAGAAATATAGTCAGTCCAACAATTTTGACAAAGGCCTCAGCACGCCCTATTTTGGCCACGCCGCGATACTTTCCTCAGATGTCCCACACGTGAAGTATAGGATCGGTTTTTTACAGGGATGAGAAGAATATGATTAGTGAAAAGATATGTTCGAACAGATTGGATACAATACAACGTCTGAAGAACGCCTGAACGTACAAATTAAAGGAAGCCTTGTTTTTTTAGGTCCGGTGTGTACATGCCATTACTAAGTTTAAGTTAAATTTCAATAGTTTTTGTCCAGGCACCCGTTTCTCCGTCTCCATCGTTCAAAGGCACTGCATACTATATCTTATACCATCTGACTAATAACTTTGGCCATTCTTGTAATGTTAATAAGTCGAAATTTCGAGTTACTAAGTCGAAATTTCGAGATAAGTAACTCGAAATTTCGAGTTAGTAAGTCGAAATTTCGAGTTACTAAGTCGAAATTTCGAGTTAGTAAGTCGAAATTTCGAGTAAGTAAGTCGAAATTTCGAGTTAGTAAGTCGAAATTTCGAGATAAGTAATTCGAAATTTCGAGTAAGTAACTCGAAATTTCGAGATAAGTGAGTCGAAATTTCGAGTTACTAACTCGAAATTTCGAGTTAATAAAAAACATACACCTGGCACTAATGCTCTTCCGTAGGAAAAGGTTCATTTATAAGATGGAAGAAAAATCTTATTCATTTATGATTTTTATATTTAATTTTTTTTCCGATAAACGTAAGTACCTTGATATCATAGAACCCCGGGCTATACTGTACTGTACTGTCATTTGAAATTTTGAAATTACACAAATAACATCATCAAAATCAGGGATCTTTATTACAATAATATAAACCCATAATATGAAAAAGGCAAAGCCTCAAAGCGAGCTCGATGTACTTTAAAATTTAACGTGAAATAGTATGAAATAATCGCTCATTTCTATTTCAAATGCAGTGACGAGTGCTTGTGACGTCACACGTACTGTGTTAAATATGGTTCCGCCCCTGTCGTTAAATGAATAACGAGTTTTGAAAACGTTGATAAAATTTTGTTTGTTTATTTTATTTCACTCTATAATTTTTCAAGCGAAATAAAGATTATTAAAAGTGAAATAAATGTAAAACTTTAAACGTTTGTGACATTAAAATAGAGTACTTGATTTGATTGTTTTGCACGTGCTGTTTGGCGCTACATTGTGACGTCACGTAAACAATACTTTAAACGCCTGTACAGCGTTAATGACTGAATAAAAGATATTGGTGTTCGAATTCATTTTCTTAAACCATTTTCTTTCATTCTAGATAGTTTTCACAACAAAATTCGAAAAAAAAATGTTTTTATTTATCAGATTTTTCAAACAAAATGGCGTCTTCAATTTTCATTTTACATTTTCCGTTTTAAAACTGCCATTCGATATTTTATACACAGCTTCCGTTATTCTGGTTCCCTGTCCAATTTTGGTTTCCATAGACGTGCGCGGGTGACCAGTCTACACATCCGTTTTCAGTCAGAATTCCTCAGTTTTTATCGTTATCTTTAAATTCGAAAAGTTGCGATGTGTCCAATTCGGTTCTTCGGACGAAAGTTTTCAAAACCATCACTTAGCAGGTACTCGCGTTACCGTAAAGCTCGCTTTGCGAGTAGGCCCTTCGGGCCAGCTCGTCGAGCTCGCTATCAAAGTCTAATTAATATGATATATGAATATTAAATTCACCAGCTATATTTTCTTATTTTACTGTTTCAGAAGATGATTGTTAAAGATCCTGTATGTTGTGATCAAAGTGCTAAACCACACTAAATGAAATTATATATACATTGTATGTGCATAATTATGCAAATAAAACAATTTTCAAACATAGACGAATATGTTAAATATGTACTGCAAATATTTGTTCATATTATATGTAATCATAAAAATATTTGCATTCATTTCTTGTTGTAAAATTTGACTTAAAACTTTACAGTACTATATATAGACAATAGATTTTTTATTACCTCCCTTTATTTACATGAAATGTTAAATTCGGTAATATCTTTATAAATAATGCTTTTGGAACCTACAATATTGATAAATCTTAATTTGAGCATCATATAAATTTATGATTTAAAACCATAAAAATGTTGTGTTAAAGGATCTTTAAATAACTATTTTTTCCGACAATTTGATAGAGAAATATTGACTTGACATGTTTAACCTACTGTACTATACAGTACAGTATCTTTACATCTGCGCTTTTCTTTGGAAATTTTTGGTAGGATGGTGAGGAACTTGATAAGGTAAAAAGAAGTGCACTTTACATAAATCATAGGCATAATTATTTTGGGATCGTTTTTTTTAAAGGTAAGAATCTTTTTCTGTTACGTTTTGTAGGAATTATTATATAAGCAAAAGTAAATATAAACAAGTCGTGGGAAAATTGCCGCTATTTACATGTTAATTCTAGTTTTCAAGGAATAAGGAATTTATTTTCATGAATTAATTCTTTGAAAAAAAAGCCTTTTTCTTCAAATATTGTCATTTGAAGACATATTTGAAGCTTTCTTACATGATAATAAAATATCGCCCCCTTTTGAAAAAAAAATGTTATTATGATTTAACATGTTAAAATGGATGGTGACATGATTGTTAGTCGGAATGGGATTTTATTATATTAATATCTTGACCGATTTTTTTAATAGCTTAATAAGGCTGCTGAAGTTTCAATATCTTTAATGATAATTACTTCCGGGTTAAAATGTAGGGTGAACTTAGCGGGAATTTTATATAAATATGTTTTAATGGTATATTTTTTTACTTTTATAATTTATATTTAGGAGGAGGTGTTATTTGATAGAAGCTTTCTTTGATGGTACATTTTTTATACCCGTTGCATTTGTTGTGATGTCTTTGAAAAGTGTCTATAGAACCGGATAATCTTTGTTCGACATATGATCATTTAAGAACAGATCAACATTATTGCGATATTCTAGTCATTTGACAACAAATTGAACCATTTATATGTTAATCTAAGGACCAGGAAATACGATACAAATGTTAGATATTTTGACACGTTTGAAGAAGTGTAAACAGGTAAAAAGGGACCATTTTCCAAACTTAAAAATATGCCCACTTTCATTTTCAGTTTTTGGAAATTGAAGGCAATGTGTATGGGTTATTGAATATATTTATCTCATGAATGTCTATTCCCTTTGTATAAACTCATTAATACAAACAATGATAATATTTATGTTCTAATATATTCATGAACGGGCTAAGCTGACCTATGCCATGTTTAGAAAAGATGACTAGAGCTGAGTTGATTTAAACATGTTAAAGGGACTCCTCCACCAAGTTGTTTTGACACTGACAGGACTTAAAATAAAAAATTTTCGAGGTAAATTCTCAATTTGATGAAGGTCAAAATTTTAGATCAATTGTTCACTTTGCTTTTGCAGAACAACTATATAAATTGTGAAAAATGTCTCAAAATTGAAAAGTGTTTTTCACTCAAAGTGGGCTAAGAATAGCACAAAAATACCATTTTCAATTTCTTTCATAGTAAATTTCTCAATTATTTTTTTGCATAGTTTTCTGTTTTAACTGTTTAAGTGCCCAAGCAGCTCTATGTGAAAAAATTCAAATTTTATGTTTTTAGGGTTTTGAGCCTCAGTGGAGTTCCTTTAAGGAGCAAAATGACATTGATTTGCTTGTAAACAGGATGACTTTATGATAATTAACTTTTAATATTTATTTACTTTCACATTCTGTTATTTTTCATGGATGCATTTATTTTTTATGGATGCATCTTTTTGACATCTTTTCCAAGAATAGTACTTGTATGTAAGGCCCCCACGATTACATGTGTAAACGAATTGGTTCTGATTTTCATTCCTAAACGTTTATAATATTTTTTATCGTTGAAACGAAATGACCACATTGTCTTACAAAATATCTTAATTATTGCCTGTGATCATGAATTTTATCAATTCTAATATATTTATTCCAAAGTAAAAGAAAAAAATAAGGGTATTTACAACTCTCCATACAGCATCATCATGCAATAATCGCTCTAATATATTTTTGGTAAAGTTGATTTTTCTTTGATCTTTCAAAAAAACTAAATGGGATCACAATACAGAAAATGTGTGCTGACTCTCCTGTGATGAGCCCTGAACATTATTTGTACATGTATTAAATAGTTATCATTTGGCAACTCTAATACATGGTATAGTATAGTTTTTAAGCAATCTTGTAAACGTTTACAAAAAATTGTAAACGTGGGAGCCTTACTTGTAACTGATATGGATTATGATAGGTTGTCATGGTAGGGAACAAATATATTAATAGGTTTATTATCCCCGCCGAAAAGGTAGTGGGGGATATAGAATTAGTCTCTGTCTGTTCTTCCGTCCATCCGGGCATATATCGAAAAATATTTGAGATACAAAATGTATCAACATGAAACTTCATAGATGGATAGATCATATTGAGGAGTGCGGTGCACAAGAATGATAACTCTACCCTGCATAATTTTTCAGTTATTGCCCTTTGTTATTTTTTAAACTTAATTTTTGTCCAGAGCATAACTCAAAAAGCCTTTGAGATATCAACATGAAACTTCATAGATGGATAGATATCACTTAGGAGGTATGCAGTGCACAAGAATGATAACTCTACCCTTCATATTTTTTGAGTTATTGCCCTTTGTTATTTTCATACTTTTTGTCTGGAGCTTATCTCAAAAGTGTTAGAGGTATCAACTTGAAACTTCATAGGTGGATAGATCTCATTGCGGAGGAGTGCAGCACATAAGAATGATAACCTACCCTGCATTATTTTTCAGTTATTGCCTTGTTATTTTCAGCCGTCAGTATTCACATAGGTTTCAAATCTGTAATCACTTCACCCATCAGTTTTCATTACCAAAAGAATTATTCTGCTCTTCTAAATATACATTCTTCCCATGAGCAAACACATTCTGTGGGGGGTGGCCATGATTACATGGCTCTTTTACATTATAATCCAATCAGAAGTTTATCAGCTGTTCCTCTATGAATAAATAGTGCAGATTTATACAGTTAAGTGTCTTAAACCAACTCATCTGTGGACAGCTTAGCAACAGTCAACTAGTTATTTAAGCTGAGTCTGTCCAAATGGCCAACATTATTATAGAGGCAAGAGACAATAAAATTATCAAATTTCCCATTGTTATAAAAGAAGTGGGACTAAACCTTGAATATCATTTTATTAGCATTTTCTAAAGTAAAACCAATTAATTTTATCCCAAATAACAAGAAACATAGTTAAAGAAAGCTTTTTTGTTTTGAGATATTGCGGCGGGTATACCATATGAGCGGCGTCAAAACCAACATAGTGGGTTTGCGACCAGCATGGATCCAGACCAGCCTGCGCGGATGCGCAGTCTCGTCTGGATCCATGCTGGTCGCAAACGCATTACGTTGGTTTTGTCATGACATGGCCCATATAGTGTTGAGATTTTTCTGAGATATATTTCCAACAAAACAAGTGATTTTTCTCACTTAATTGGGAAGAGGCCTTAGCCTCTTGATTTGGGGAAAAATTATTGCTAAAGTTGCTAATTTTGGAAGTAAAAATGCAGGTTTAAGTTCAGATTTTTGGGAAAAACTGCATGATTTTAAAGAAAATATTTCAGTGGAGATTTTATAGCAGTGCTGGTCTGTTAGACCTGTCGATAACATTAAAACTCATACAAGCATCATATATTAGTTATGAAGGCCAGAACTACAGCAAATTATTTCATTTATGAAATATAATGATCTAGTGTTCTAGTGTATTTGCGATCCTGAATGTCTAAAATAAAAAACAAAAGTGCCTGTCAAAAACATTTCCACCATACAGAAAAATTTCTTTATTGTGATATATGACATTTGCCCCCTCAGAAAAGAAGTTAACATGGCGATAATGATAACCTTTAGATAAGAATTTAAGATTATAAGGAAAAACAGAGCATCAACCGTTTGTTAGTGTTTGATACTTTAAACAAGGTATAATATGTGAAATTAAGCCAACAAGATTAGTATTGAATTATTGAATAATTAATGAAACCTGCCACTATTACATATGTATTAAAATTCAAATGCAAACTTACACTGTGCCTGACAAAAATAATAGAAATTATTTATAAGGTAGTGAGTTTATGTTTGATTACTTTTATAAAGTTTTTGCAGGTTTAATTATGACTTTAAATAGTTTTATCCCACTATATGGTGTCAGACCTATTGGTAGATGACATTTTTACATGGCTGGCATGGCTTACATGATATATCAGATAAAAAAACTTCAGGGTTATTCAGAATTTCTTGATGTGTTTGTATAAAGGTCATTGCCATTTTTCATATTTGCAGTTTTACAGTTTACTTACATTTGTAACAGTCAATTTAAAAAATGACATATTTATGTAAATCAATAATCTTATTCAGTTAATTAATACTTTAAATCGCAAAATATTTCATCTGTTTAAACTTTTGTATTTGCATTATGTACACATGTAAGTAAAGTGTATATAAACATGTCTATAAGGGCAGTGTAGTTGTTGTTTATGTTGGATCTGTATCAAGTAGAGTTTGACATTTAAATAGTTTATCTAAGCATTTATATTGTATCAATTGTACCTGATCACATATCAGCTGGCCAAGGTTATAGCTTACAGTATTTAATATTTACATTCAAGGTTGAAATGTTATAGTAATTATGATGTTATTGTATGATTATATAACAACAAGTACAAAGTAATTAACTGTATATTAGAATCTGTATTTAGTATCATAATTGACATAATGTGGACAACTAAAATACAGATGTGTAAAAATATAAAATACCTTAAATAATATGGGTCTTCCAGTTGGCATTTTAAGTCTATATATTATTATGACAATACAGGGATAGTAGTTGCTAGAGAAGCCCAGAGTGAGCCAAAGTTGAATTATGTATAGGTTATAGGTTATATACAGAGTTTTAAGAAATTAATTTTCGAGCGAACGAAGTGACTTACAGTTAGCCCCGTCTATTCACACCGAGTGCACTATGTAAATAGGTGGAGTCCATTAAATCGGCTCATTTAACGTATTTAATACATACAGTTGAGTTACAGCACTGTATGGAAAATACTTCGGCAAAATTTAAACAAAATAGAGCGATTTCATTGGTAGACAAACTTTGGCGAACTGTAATGATAGAAAATGTTTGATTGAAAAACAAGATTAAGTATTTTTTTATCAATCACTGTGACACACATTTTATATGTCTCCTTTTATCTGTTCAGATTTGACTTTTTGGCTGCAGTACTTGTATTTATTGCAACCAATTAACCATTAATATATGAAGTGGCTTGTCCTAAACCAAACTTTAAGGATTTCCGTAATATTGTGTGTGTGTGGGGGATGTTTTTATTTTTTTGATTCAGTTTTATTTTGCTAACACTTTGTGACACTTACTTTCTTCATGACATTTCAAGCAACATGCTTTTAAAGAAATATATTAAAAACGCGAGTGAAAAAATTTAAAATATTACAGATGTGTGTATACTATAGAAAACAAGTTAATTGTTGCAACCATTTTCTAACGATTTAATATATTGTCATTACAAAAATCTGCTTAATAGTAAAGAAAAAAGCATGAGTGTGTATTTTGTTGTTTTCCAGATGTTTTATAAAGATTGACCAGCCATGGCAAGCTTGCGATCACGAGACAGTAACTTGGACAGTAACACAAAGATTTTCCTCTTATCAGGACTGGGTGATAATGTTAGGAGAGATCTTGCTAGGAAAATACATTTACTGGGCGGAAAATACTTTGACTTACAGGTGAATAAACATATATTTTTGTCTATATTATATAATTTATATTTTTATATTTCAGTCTCATCAATGATACATTAAATGTGTTTTATTTGCAATTTTTTATGTTTTCTTCATGACTTTCCTCATATTGAAGATGTCAAGCTATGTTACTTTTTCTGAATGACAGTCAATATTTCTCTGACTGTCTAGAAAATAGTAATGATTGTTTTTTGTTTTTTTTTAAATTACTGGTGTGGGTTTTGTCCATCTTTCACCTTAATCAATGGCTCCAAGTCAGTGATGGGTTCAATGAAATAATATACATGTTTGTAAATAAAAATTAAAATAATACATGCAGCCTCATTTACATTGTAAAATGTTGTCAAAATTCCATCCAGAATGTGAAATTAACATAACATGATGTGAAATCTGAAGATTTGATTTATTTTCAAATAATCCATGTTCTAAATATGACAGTATTACCTGTGTGGCAGTAGCAAAAAACATTTAAATATTTGTTTTATTTTATCATTTTAGGTAAGTAGTATGAGATATGAAAATTAAAAACATGTACAATGTACTCTGATTTAAAGTCTAAAGTGGGGGGAAAAAAAGTATGTGCTAGATTACCCATATTCACTTAATGGTGATAGCAGTGTAATGATAAGGGGAAGTAACTATTGCAGAAAGTGTAGTTTTGTGTTACAAAAACTCCTTAGAACTTGTAACACAGTAGGTCATATATATAAAATAGTCTCAATATTTCGACGGCAAGACAGACCGATTTTATAATCTGAATTCATAGATGTCTGTCTTTACAGAAGGGCGGCCATCATCTATATAAAAAAAGCCCTAAAGCGCACAATTTGTTGGGCTAATATATAAAAGAGCAAGCCATGTTCTGCCTTCATTATGTGTTGTATATACATGTATTAGGTATACACAATTAAACGTAACATCTGTCAATGAAAGTCTCAAAAAGAAGGGGAAAAAATGTAATGTGACGATATAGCTGGCTGTTCTGTCCATTATTTTAACAAATGATTGTTGTATTGTTTATAACACATGCTACTTTTATAAACAGTTTACTAATTTACTGTTACAGTATATAAAAAATAAGTGTTAAAGAATTTATTGTATTATAATTAGACATTTTATTTGCATTACTAGTAACGGCTAGTTAGAATTAACATATGTTTAATATTGTTTGACAAAGATTGTTTAGTACTGTTATAAGGGCTCAAATCTTCATTCATATTTTGTAGGATTTCAAGGCAATTTGTACACATGTTGTGTGTGGCAGACTTTCTCGTAGTGAGAAATTTCTCGGAGCATGTGCGACAGGAAAATGGGTGTTACACCCAGACTATGTACAGGACTCGTACATTGCCGGCACTTGGCTGGACGAGGAGCAGTATGAATGGTGTGACAGCCATATAACAAACAAATATCAGGGTAAATCCATCATTATAATTGTTTATATGATTAAAACAGTCAGAAAAGTAAAGAGAGGCTTTCATAAATATTTGTTCTGGTTTCATAGTTTATAATTTCTTCATGTATTTGATAGTTTTACTATTTTGTTCTGTTCTATAGGTTTCTGTTTAGTCTTTGAAATAAATATTATGTCAAAGTACTGGTCGGGGACCATCAACCGGACACTTTTTGAACATTTTTCTATACAGATTTCATAATTTCAAACCTAGAGACCTGAAAATTTGACAAAGTACAGCTAGGTTATTCTCCTAACTAACAAACTAGTTTGTTTATTTCTGACTATATTGACACTTTTATCTGAGGCCTGTCGTTGAGGGTATCAAAATTACCTAAATTGCCCACACTACAGTACCATGTGTCCGGACGGATTTGTACATTACATGATTTAATTCAGACGAAAGCTTGGGTTATTTATTATTTTTATTTTTTACATGATATACAATATATCAGCAGCAAATGCTGAAGTTTTGGATATTCTTTTGTTTACTCTGCAAATGATTATAGGTGGTATATGAGGTCAGGTATTGCACACTTGATGCCCCAACTTTCAGAATCAACATTCTTGAAATAGACACTAATATATTACCGTTTACGGATGTTGAAATAAATTTTATTAATCATATAAGAAACATGCATGTTATAATAAAGTGACTAATAGATCGAAAACCACTGAACAAAGAAAAAACACTAAATTAAGCATTTTCGGGGCCGTCCGGGTTTGATGGTTGTCCGGTTTTGGTGGTCTTAAACCAGTATGTATTAAAATGCAGATAATTGAATAATTAAATAAAATGTGTTATCTCTTGTGTTGAAAACTTATGGTAACGCGGGGGAATAATCTGTTCTGTGCATGCGCGCAAATATTAAGGCACTTAATTCAACGGTTATTACATTATCGTATAATTATAAAAAGGTTGTTTCCAAACATAGTTTATTTTAATTAGTTCAAACAGTTTTACGTTGTTGTTTTATTACAAAGAAATACAACTTTAATGCTATATCTAGAAAAGGGAAATGGGTATCGAGATAGTTCACACTGGTATTGCAGAGTTTGCTTGCAGGCCATGATTATATCTTGAAGAGTAAATCTGTAAAAACTATTATTCTATTCTTTTCTGTTTTGAAAAAAAAAACAGAAAAAAAGAATAGAAAAACCTCAACTGAATATCAAATATGTTAAATGATTTATAAAGAATCAATACGTTCATTGTGTTAATAGTGTTAATAGTGTTTTATTGCTCTTGCACCCCGTATACTGCCCTCTTAGTAACAAACATGGATGTCATGTTTATTTTTAGTGACTGCTTGGTTTTTCCCAGTGTCTTAACTTTGCCATTCATCAGTCGGAATTCCCTTGTTGATATTTAAGGATTAATTTTAATTCATGACTTAAAAATATTATGAAACACTATGTCAGGTAAATTGATTTGCCTGTACGTGATTTTTGCTCTTTTAATGTCCTACTTTAAAGACGCTTTTAATGGTCAAAATGTTATATTTCAAGTTTGGTAAAGTACTAACTTTTACATGAATTATGAACGCAAAATCAACTTGGTAAAAATTTGTTTTGTTTTTTATGGTTTTAAATGATAATTACAGCGATAAAACATCAATTTTGTCAGATGATATGAAGGATCCCAGTACCTATTAACTGGTTATAATTTGTTTTTACCATTAGTTGACATGGCACTAGCCTTTGCAGCCAGACGTTGGAGATTCATGCTAGGCGGGGTATCTGCTGCATTTACCGGTTGGAAAGTGGCTGTCATAGCAGGCGCTAAAAGGTCAAAGGTCATCAAAGGGTAACTATTTTTTTGTTGAAAATATTAAGAGTTTGTGTTATTAAAAGCAAATACATTAGAATTGGTTGTTGTTTTTTTCTGGTTTTCTAAGATGTTTCTGTTTGTTAATACTGACAACCTCTAGATGAACAAGGTACTTTCTTATATGATCTGGTTAACCGTTAGTTTGATTTGTTGCTGAAGACTGGTTGCTATATAATAATTTAATTCTACAATTATTAGTGCCACTCTTAATTAAGTGTTTATGATAAATTAACATAGAAAATGTTTGTATTTATTTATGCAAAATAGCTTAACTATAGTATGATTAAAATTGTTTTTACATACTGATGTTTTTATAAAAATTATTTTTATATTTTGTCACATTTTTATTTGAATATTGACTTGTACTATATCATGAGCTTCAAAGTAGACATGTTTTCCATTGGAAGTGCCAATTTCATCTATTTTAAGCATGTACTGATAAAACAAAAACAGTGATAATGAGAGAAACAGGGTTAATTTGTTAAAGATCATGTTGCAAGACAGATTATTTACAGGGCATTGTCCTAACATTTTCTGGTATTATAATCAAGTTTTAGATGTTGACGTTTTGTTAACGTCTAGATACATAGTTATTTTTACCAGGACATTTCATTGGTTAAATGAAGAAAACTCATGTAGCTTTTTGGTTTTTACTCTAAACAGATTAACTTTGGGCATCGCTTTGAATTTTTTTAGTTTAAAAGAAGTTTTTTTAGGCAAATGTAAATGTAGGTACTGGTAAGTATTTGACGAAAAAAGGAAAAGAAAAAACAATGTTAAAATTTAAAAATATAGAACTGTTTAAAAGGTAGAAAAATAAAAACTGTGAAAAATTGAACTGTGTTTACTTGATTTAAAATTAGAAATAAAAGAAAAAATAAAAATAAAATGAAACTAAATGAACTTGTGATGGAAAAAGGAAATTGCCATAGGTTGCTACATTAAGTGGTCTCAGAAACGGATTCTTGTTCTGGATAATTGTGAAGTAAAATGTATAAAACAGGATTAAATATAAAAAAAATAAAGGAGTAGTGCAGCATATTTAAAAAACAAAAAAAACAACATATATGGATTAATTAGTAACATTCTTCATCATGAAAGTTCTCAGTTACATTTATAAATATTGAAGGGTAAAAAAAAAAATGCTTAACAAATGAACAACAAAGAAAAACATTCAGCATTTTATATAAAAAAGAAGACATAAAAAATAATCAGGCAAATGGATTAGGGATTTTCCTAGATCATATTTCTACAAGATAGTCTGAGTAATAAAAGTAGTTCAGATTTCATGAATAAAGTTTCAGTGTCATCATGAGAGTTGGAACACTGGTTAGGATCAGTTGTTAATTGGGCGTTGAAATTACATGTCATTAACTGGACCAGGCCACTGATAAAATTCTCATTTAAACTGTAATTAACAGAAAATTGTTCTGTGAGAGGAAATGATAATCATTATGTTATTGTTATAAGATAACAGAAAAAAAAAGATAAAAGAGGTTGGTCAAAAAGTATCTTAATGTTGAAAAAAGGGGAAAGAAAGAGTAAAGGCCTCAACAGACGGTAGGATTTTGAAGTACAACACCAATTAAAACTAAGATGTACAGACAAATCATAATGTGTGAAGGCTACTATTTCTTGATTTCGGAAACCTTATGTCTAGATGTAAGGGATAGGACATGTTCTATTTTGAAAATCTTGTACCGATTTTTACAGACCTCCCACAATGACAAGTAACAGATAACCAAATTATCTCCTGATAATGGGTGTAATGAATGAAATTCCAGAACAATTAGGGCTAAAAGGTAAACATAGTAGTAAGATGGGGTAAAAATGATGTTGAAAAACTGTTCAGGAGACCCAAAGTTGTGTTATGTTCGAATCCCAAATTATTCCGAAAATGATTATGTCACGGTATTGAATTGTTCTCTAATTAAGGGAGGGGAGGTAGTTTGTAGGCGGCAGCAGAGCCGCAGTACGGTATTCCGAGGGTCCCAGGTTTGAGTCTCGGTCAGGCTTCACATTAAAAAAATATATATATATATATTTTAAATGAAGGTGTTTCAATCATTACTCATGGCGAAAAAAGTATTTAGTGAGTAAAGTATGTAAAGGATCAATGTAAAGGGATCCTTTTTAGGGGAAACCTCAGATGATTCTTACAGTGTAGAATTACCGTCTGAATGCAAGTGTTGTATAGCTTTGAAAATTATCTCTATAATTAGTGCTGTACAACTAAATCCTACCGTCTGTTGAGGCCTTAACATGAAAATAAAAGGGAGAGTTTTACTTAATTACTTCTATTATTATCTTTATTATTTTGTCTATCAGTCTTGAATCTATACTTTATGCAAAGTAATTGTCCTTTTATTTAATAGACTTTAAATCTAATGTAGGAGACCCTTTAACTTTGGAATCATTTTATTGGAACTATTTTCTATAATTTCAGGAAAGTCACACCATCTAGAGGCTGTTTCTTTATCTTTAATACCTGTTTCCAGGTTTTCATGTGAAATTATCCAAATAAATCAATAGAAATTTCAATAAAAAATGAATTATCAAGAAAAAATGAATGATTACTATTGTTAGTTTTGTCTTGTGGCTGTGTGAAGTTAATTAAAATATTTCCTTCTATTCTATACAGTTTGTTAGTGTCTGGTGGGGCTGATGTGCTACAGTTGAGAATTCCTGTGAGGAACCCTGCTAAAGTTGCTGACACTCTAGGCTATATATTTGTTAGCGAACATAATGCAAAGTCTTTTATCCATCTTATCGACTATGGAGTTTTGTGTATCAAACCAGAGTTTATAGGAGATTTTCTGATAAAAGTAAGTATAGTTGATACATATATTGACTTTATGATACAGGGTATTGCTTCATTAGTTTTGAACTATCACCATCACTAGTTAATTGTGGCAAAATGTCTTCTGGAAATTTTAAGCAATGGAAGCTTTATATGAAATGAAAGAAATGAAAGAAATAGAACTAGTATTGGAATGTGTCAAAATGATCATAGGTGAATGTCGCATGGCCATGACTTACACTATACCCCCGTTCCCCCTCTACAACCCAAAACCCTTTAAACATCATCCAAACATCATAAGTATTGACAAAAATAAATTTTATGAAAAAAAATTTTTTATGACTCTAAAAAATTATAAAGGTATTTTACTCTACTTTCATTTTGCATAGAAATATCGCTAGCATCTCAATTATCAGCGCATATATTCATCAATTTTTCACCAATCTTAACAATCTTGGTGTCAAATCTTAGATAAATAAATACTCTTTAAGAAAACAACACTGGCACCTTCGCTGATTATACGTAGCAAAAAATTTTCAAGCCCAAACTGTCAACAAATGAAACTCGGAAGAGATCTGATTGCACTGTTTCGGTAAAACTCTCACGAGTAAAACACACTAAATTCACAGTGAATGAATATTTCTTTGTATTGCGTATTTAAATATGATAAATTAAATTATTATTTGTAATAATTGTTCAATCAAAGCATCATATGAAATTATAACGCACCTTTTTTCCTATATGTCAAATTCTCAATCCAAAATGAAAGTAAAATGGTGCAGCAGATTGTTTTCAAATGGAGTATTTTCATTGGTCACATGAAAACCTCAGATAAATGAAAAAACTTAAAGGGAAACAAATCTGCTGTGAAAATGATTATACTGTTTTATATTTTGAATTTTGATATTGCAGATATACCATTTTGTTTGCAGTAAAGAAAATCAGAGTCTTATTTATAAGGGTTTAGAAACTACTTTTGTATGACTTAAATAGTAAATACTGTCAAAAAATAAATTACATTGCTGTCCATTTACAAACATGATTCTTCCTTGATTAATTGAGAGAAGATTATGATTTTCATTACAGCATTATTATTACAGACTTTTTATTTAAAACATCTAAGTACATTGAGTGTGAAAAGTAAATCATTTTAAAAATTCAAAGAAAACTTTTATATTCAACTGTAGGATCCCCAGCCAGACCCTATGGACTACCTGGTACAAGTTAACAGTATAGAGGAACCACTAAGTCAAGAGTCTTTCCTGATGTCATCACAGAATCTAGGTACTTTAAGTGACCAAGGTAACTTAAACATTTACCTGCTAAATTTGTGCAATAGATTTACCCACCTTTGAATTCTGGACAGTCCATTGAAAGTAAGAGGAATCTCAATATTGAAATACTGAAATTGAGGGGTGTCTTTGGTCCAGTGGATAAGGTTGTTGACTTTAAACCACTAGCCCCTTGTCACTATGGATTCAAATCTTGCCAGTGTCACCGACAAGACACCAGCGAAAATACAGTCAAACGTGTATTAAGCGACCGCGCAAGGGAAACACCCAAAACGGTCGCTTAATGAAACGGTCTCTTAAGACAGTCAGCATGATAATTATAAAGTCAAAATTTATAAATGACATCTTTCTTATGAAGTGGGAATGTTTTTCAACTTCATTTTTATATAAATGTTGAAAAATTAGTACGCTCCGATAATCTAAATGGATGCAAATGTAAAAATTAACTTTCTGATATTTATTGACAAATTACGTACATGTTTGACATTTTTTCCAAAGTTTTTTAACTTCTCCGTTGTTTTTCCTTGTCTCCAACACGAAAACCCTTTTAGTGAAGATGTTTTCTGTTGTGCATTTTTTTTCATTTGAAATAAACAAACTACATCTAATTGTTACGATTAATTTAATTGCTGATCAAGTTCAAGGTCAATTCAATGCAGTCTAAATGTCAACAAGCGAAGCGTATATACCATCTCAGTAGGGGCGGAGCGTTGCATTGTTTATCCAATATTATTTGATAATACACGTCACGGGTATACTTAACTTCATTTGCATACGCTAAAATGGTTTGGGAAATAAGGTTTTTCACACGTTTATTTGTTGTGTTTTGATTGTTGACACTTGTGACATTACGAAGTGGTATTCTCTAAAAACACAATTACTTGACAGGTAAAAGTGGTCATATAATGAAAAGATTGATCTCAATTAGGTGACTAATTAGCGGTCGCTGGTCGCGTTGAGCAAAAGTCGCTTAATACATTAAAGATATAGAGAGAAAATGATCGGGAGGAATTTAAAGTGGTCGTTTAAGACAAAAGTCGCTTAATACACGTGGTCGCATGGGCAAGTTAGACTGTACAGAAAACATGTTTATCTACAGTGAAAATACAGAAAATATGCTTCATTGCAGTGAAAATATAGAAAATAAAAATACACATTTTATTTCATCAATATTTCTCAATATTTCATTTATAAGTATATAATAAACAAATCATATAAATGTAACTTAGTGGAATTGAGAATGAATTATTATTAGACACCATGACTGAGATATTTATTTTAAATTTTAGACTCACCTATACCCCAGTCACCTTCTTCCTCTAACAGCATGAACACTCCATGCAAAGAAAGGGCAATAACACCTAGTTCATCTACAGAAAAGTTTCAGTCACACACAGCAATGTCTAAAAGGTCAAAGTCAACAAGTAGACCAGTATCAAAACTAGTAGATGACATAACAGATTTGATAGTGATAGAGGAACAGTCAAGTTCATTAAATAAAACAAAACATGTAGGTGATCAAAGTGTTGGTGATCATGATAATGTGGAAGTAATTGATCTGACTGACAGTTCCGAAGACTCTGATGTAAACATTAAAGCAGGCATTACTGAGAAAGATAGCACAAAAAATTCAGTACTAGATGATGACCTCGAAGTGAGGAAATCAAAAAGAAATGTTGTGAAAAAATCTCCAGCTTGGAAAAGTTTAATGCCTAGAAGAAGGACAATGTCAAAGCCAGATGAAATTAAGGAAGAGCCTGTTGAAAATGATAAATCGAAAGACAATGTGCTCAATAAATCAAAAGACAACATGGTCAAAACTTCTACTAGTGCAGCAAGTAGTTCAACAGTAAAACGAAACTTGCTGGACAGCATGGCAGAACAGCCTGTTAGAACTAGTACACCTGCTAAAACACTTACTAAAAGTAAGACACTGTCTAAAACACCAAGTAAGTTACTCTTGTCATTTTAATAATAGTACAATAAATTGTTATAAAAAGTAATAATACATAGAAAAGGTTAGTTGTATAGCTAGTTACAATCACATAATTTCGACTATTATAAATGTAGGCCTTATGATATTTTTTGAAAGTTGGTGAACTATCATTGTATGTATCCCTGTATATGAGGGAGTAAATCATTCATTAAGTTACCTAATGGATTTTATTATCCCCTATCAAAGCCAGAGGATGTAGATTTGGTGTTGTCCATCTGGCATGTCCATCTGTCGTAATATTTATCTAAAAGTATTATAGGTATTAACATTAAAATGTCATTAAAGCTACCTCCAGATGAGTCAAAATATTTCAATAAAATAAAACTTGAGAAAAATGTACTTATATGTAAGGAAATGTAAAAAGTTTTAAGATTCAAGTAATATTTTACACATTATGTGCGATTAATGACTGATTTTTCAGTATTTACAACTATATTTCTACTGCGTTACTAACGCAGTAAAGGCTATTTATGCATATTTTGACCACCTTTTGGTAATTTACGTTGTTTGTAAGTGCAATTGATAATGTGTAAATTGCTTCCTTTTGGTTACTTCACAATATTACACGTTTAAATACATTTTCAAAATTTCCATGAAAATAAGCATAAATCTGGAGGCGTGCTGCTTTAAAGAGTGATATAAGGGCATGGCAAGGAACAGTGCTTCATAGGAGCACAGCATTTGAATATAAGATTTATGCTCTAAGGTACATAGTAATAAGATATCAGTTCAATGAATTTGCTTGTTTTACCTATGTAAGATATGTCATAGAAAAACAGCTACTGTAACCCAATTTATATTCGCGAATACAAATGTTCGCGTTTTGCCGAGGTCGGACATATTCGCGAATATTAATTTCCGCGTTTTCTCGATTTCCGAATAAAAAAATTCGCGGATTGGAAAGTCCGATGGGGCCATAAAATCCACTAGCCGACTATTAATCTTAAATAATTGAGGTCATTATTAGTGTCTAAAATGGGATTAACAATACGCTAGCCTTATATATTGTATTGGTAAGTGAATTGTGATCACAATTCAGCAAAACATTTTCTCTATATTTTTTATTTATATGTGTACATGTACGCATCGTTCGTCTTCATTTCTAAACATGTCGTTAAATGAGTGGGTATCACACTATTATACTTTGTTTTTCTCGACTAATAGTTTTCTTTCGTCCGTTCCCTTCAGACGTGTGAAAAACACAAACTAGACGATAATTGCTCAGAAGCGCGTGTCATAATGATGATTATGTTTGTAACATGTTTAGCTGTTTTTATAAAGTTAATCTATTTCGGGTGTTGATTGACTTATGTCCAAAATGAGTGAATTATACGTTCTTTATAAATATTCGAACACTGTATCAATTCATTATGACTTTAAATGTAAATGAAATAGTGATTGCTATATTGACATAGAGTTCTTTTGATATTTATAAAATAGTAGTAGTTTACTTAGTTTGTATTTTTATTGCTTTATGGCAATATTCATAACAATTCATAACTTCCTAACAGGTGCCCGTAAAATTCGAATATATCCGGTCAAGTAGCTTTGCATGAACAACGTCTAAAATAAAAATTTCTCACCCAATTTATTCGCGAAATCGTGCGGACTTATTCGCGCAAACAAATATTCGCGCTTTGATGCCATCCGCGAATAAAGCGAATATTAATTGGTCGCGAATATTCGTTGGGTTACAGTATTATAAGATAGATTGAATATTTCAGGTATAACACAGTTCTTCAAACAGGTTACTACACAGGATTCTCCTGTAGCATGTAAAAGCTTGAAGTTAGAAACATCTGACGTTCTAAGTCAACCAACATGTGATAAAATTTCTAGTATTAGTTGTGATAAAATTGTAGAAAGGAAAGAGGGATCTGATAGTAAAAATGTTGAATGTTCAAGTGATGTGGTAGAACCTGTAAACCATTCTGTTAGCATAGGATCAAAACAGGTTACCCAGTCTGGAAACAGAGTGACAGATATGCAAGTTAAAGGGAAAGAACTGAAAGAAAATACAAAGAAAGTAGAGTTTAGTAAGAACAAGGAATGCAAGAACAAGGTTGTTAAATCAAGCCGAGAACATAATGTAACCAGAGAGAACCAGTCTGCAAGAAAACAAAAACCAGATGGTAAAGGTGATAGGAAACGGAAATCTACAGATTTGGAAACAGGTATTTGTTATGTTAATTTATCACATAACATTATGCGACTTCATAAAAATGGTATTGCACGGCCTTGCATATATATTTTGGCGTGACTTCATTTACGTTATATAAACATAGCATTAAGACGCGCTAAATGTTAGTGTTATATGGTGTGAATGAAAAATTACCTTTTTTTCACTTTAAACAGTTTTTATTTTTGGCATACGATAAATTGAATATTAAATTTGTGCAAGTTCATAGGCTCACCATAATATAATTATATTCAACTTGTTCAATAAATTCAGTATTGAACTTACTCTTATTCAATATCTTCTATTTATTTGCAATTTTGATTTCAATTATGAAACATTGACTGTGATATATAGAAACTAACAAAAAAAACATTCCCACATACATGTATCAGGACTTTCATTATATAGAAAGAAGCTGGAATCTCTTGAATTCTTTTAAATGGGCAGGTACATGAGTTGAACAATTCCATATATTGGGTTTAGTGACCAGAAAGAAATTAAGTGACTCATAACTTGTTAAAGTAGAGACAAAATTTTGCCTGTAGGAGACATATATACTGGCATGATGTAACTTCATGTGCTCATGTACCCTAAATGTCAATTATTTCCCTAAATCAAGTGCCCAAACCCACATGTTTATGTCACACCACGAAATCACATTTTCATAAGGTTGAAAGACAATAGTAAGTGTCCATTCTGACAAAGAGACGCAACTTTGAGGTGGGGATTTTCTTTGAAAATGTTTGTGAAAGTGGTGGCTCCAAAAGATATAACAGGGGCTGGTAAATTACATAAATTCAGTAATGTATAGACAAACATCCTTGTGAATGGATAGTTATTTATTTAACTTAAATACACTGTGTTTCGGTAGGCAGTGTTATGTCAGTATTCTTAAATAAATATTTGATACAATACATATTCATTCTTAGAAGGCACTACGATTGATGGTCCATCAGAAAAGAAAAGAATAACAAGGTCATCACCAGCAAAGAATAAAGACATTTCATTGGTTGGGAGTCCAGACTCATCGCCTAGTATTCATGGTTTAACTACAATTCTGTTATCTCCATCAAAGAAGAAATCAGTGGTGACTGGGCAACAAACAACATCTGAAAATCCCATAGCAACTTCAGGCATTCAGAGAACATCATCAGATCACAGTGAAAACAAAGGTAAGGGTACAGTAAATTTTGTTCCTTCTTTATCCGTTTGATCACTGAAAGTCTTTTTAATGACATAACAAGAATGATTCTATTAAGGGTAGTTACAGTGTGCTGTAAAGGTAGCAGGTCATTTTTCAAATTGTGATGAATATTGTTGATGAATTGTTCTTCAACAAACAACAAAAAAAAAACAAAAAAAACCCAAACAAAAAAGAAGAAGCAGCCCTATTGAATTAATGGAGCACAATATAAGAAGGTTCTTTATTTATGACGATAATAAAAAAAGCCAGCTACCATTATCCACTATATGCCAAGACAAGTTTACAAGAACAATTCTCATCATTTTGGTTCCAAGACAACTAAAAAATGTTTTTGCTTGTTTTTGCTTGCAATGACATGTATGGTGTGATGTTGAAAACAAGTATGGAGGATAATTCTGGTCACTAGATTATTTAAATGTGTACTATCAATACTTTACAGATAGGAAGTTAGAAAATGGGAGGAAGAGAAAATCTGAAGATGCAGAGCTAGAGTATGTGCTGACTCACATCAAGAGAAAAAAGGTTGGTAGTTTTGTTTGTATTGTTTTTCTGTTTATAAACACTCTGTGATTATATTATTACAATATACAACGATGTGCAACATGTATCTACCATGTAACTTCATGAAATTCCAGCTGATAAAATGTATTCTCTGCCAATAGACGTTATCCGGAACTCGGCAAATGTGGGTTTTTTCCCGGCTAATATGTAGGTACAAACTAACTTTTACCGCTATAGCTTCATGGTTGACTATCCATCACAATGGATAAGTCATCCACTGTTTCGCTTTATCTGTAAAAAGTTTGTTTGTACCTACAGATTAGCTGGGTAAACCCCAAATATTCTTAATTCTGGAGTAAGTCTATTTAATGGGACTCTTAAATAGTTTTGGAAATGTGTCTTAAGAATTATAAAGCAGAATTCTCAACAGGATTGTTGGCTAAAAAGCAGTGTTTTAAACCTTGCTTGCATGTTTATCTATACTATATGTAGCTATTTTAGCTTTTGATATTTTTTTTATGATTGTGTGTAATGATTTTTTTTTTTCAGATGGGCTTCACTGACTGGTGTCCCCCTTCTTTGATAGTGAATTTAAGAGAAACTGAGGTATATATTTAAGGTTATCTTACTGTAATGCTTTCCTGCCAAAACAATTCCTACATCGGCCAGTATCATAAATCATTAATCTTTCATCTTCAGAATGTTATTTTTCACAATCTTTGGTATTCAATAATTTTTAACCATTCATAACAGGAATTTAGTACAAAGGGATAAAGGATGAGTGATTGTAAATAATGTAATGCCCAAGATTTTGAAAATATAACGTTCCGGAAATAACCGATTTGCTACAATATTGACCTATGTTAGATTTTTTTGGTGAGAAAGCATTACAGTAAGACTACCTTAACTATCTGATTGAGAAATGTAAATATTAGTACAATGTTTATTATAAAAAAAATTTTTTTTGAAATATTACAATTTGCTTGTACTATAAACATAAGCTCATGTTTGTGTAGACAATTTACAAAAGCTATAACTGTACAGCAAACATGTTCTCTTTTACCATTTGATATTAGTATGCAATAACTTTTATTAAATTATTATCAGAAAAAAAGTGTATAGTTTTATGTATATAAAATTGAAGTCATTTATAGCACTATATACATAAATGTTCCATGTGTTTGCAAAATTTCAGATATTCGCACATTCGGTGTTTCCAGAATAATTATTCTAATTGTAAAATATGACCCAAAATTGAAAAGCATTGCTATGCTTTTAACTCAAATCCGGCTAAGAATAGTACAAATATATGATTTTAAATTTGTTTCTTGAATTTATTACGCATATGTTTCTGTTTTAAGTGCCCCAGCTGATCTATGTAAGATTTTCAAATTTTATGTTTTTATGCTTTTGGACCTCAGTGGAGTTTCTTTTAATGGTGCAAATGTTATTTAAAGTTCATATGAAACAAAAACATTATGAAATTGAATTCATGAAATATTGTCAGTACTTATATTATGACACTCATATCTTGTGGCATAGAGACAGTACATTTGCACCCATTATATAGCAAATCAAACATGGCCAGACTGTTTCCACAAGTATTGCTTTGTGCTCAGTGTTAGCATTCTATATTCAAAACCATAAACTTTTAATTTATACAGGTCCAAATTCAATGTGCATAAAGAACTAGCACATAATATAAATTGACTAGGGTAATGGTTTAAATTTTTATCTATTCTTTACTTCCTCAGGGGGGTCTGTGACTCAGGGGGGTCTGTGGCAGAGTGGTTAAAGTCCCACTGCTGTGCGATTAAATCCTGCCAGGGTTATTGCATTCTTACATGCGGGAGTATGAAGCTAGATTAGGAAATGTCAGTGGTTCTACTTAATAACATGCTTGTTCCTGAAATAATGCACCAAGGGACACCTAGGGTCTTCATCCACCAGTAAAGCTGAAAAAACTCCCATATGACGTTTAAATGTTGTATAATTCAACAAAAATCCCATTGCTTGTGTAAATGACTTGCCCTGCTTTAAATCAGTAACTGTTCATTGTTAGTGGAAGTGGATTTCAATGTTAAAATAATCTGATTAAGCAGCCAGTAATGATAGGTACTGTTTATACTTTGCAGAGAGTGACTCTATACTTGTAGGTAGGTAGCATAGTTAAATCATTTTAATTGATACTTAATACTTAATATTTTCAATCAGGATGTACCCGACTTGGTGATGATGCCGACTACAACCACAGAAATATTCATGGCCACATTAGAGGATGGTTTTACATTTGAAGCACTAGAATATTTAGAGTCACAGGTCACGTTCAAGTATTATCCCCAGTCAGATAGCATCAGTCAGATAATGAGAAATGTTCTCCTGGTATGTCATTTGGTTACTTTAATGGAAGAGGCATGTACTTTTTGAAGTTAAATCTAATCGTATTTAAAACAAGACAGTTTGACAGTTCAAAGCAGAAGACTTTGTTAATTAAATCACAAAGGTGCTATGTAAAGCATATAACAGTAGATATGTTAGTAAGAATGTGAAAAGTTATCTTTCCTTCATAGAGAGTTTTATAAAAACACATTGTATAATGTTAACTAAGAAAAATTAATGAAATTCATTATTAATGAAAGAAGTCTTTATTCTAGAAAACAGAGGACGAGACTCTTTGTAACCGGTCATACAATATTCTGTTACACATGTTGATGGTAAATCCTCCAGTTACAGTATCATTACAACAGGTATATTTACGTGCTCTGGCAGGATGTAAGATAGAGGAAGATTGTCAGATAGGGGCGGAGTGGAACTTTATCCACCAATGTATAAGGTATGTCTTAATAATTAAAGCAGAAAGTTTTTTTAAATAAAATTTTCTCAACTAAAGCATTTTCTTAGCATATATCAAATGTGATAAAGTACATATACTTTAAATAAATATCGAGCGTTTTTAGTTATCTAACTTTTACATTGTTTACTATATCATGTCTTTGTCCTGCTTTTTGACCCTTCGCCAGCTGGCGGTGACTGAATTTACCCATGCCACTAGTGCAGACCTAGATCAGCCGGATTATTAGCCGTCCAATCATGAACTGCACTGTTTGCTACTCGGTCAGTACTTACTTTGAAATTTTTTTGTAAAATGATGAAAAAGTTTATTTCAGATTTTTAAGAATTAATTAACATTTTTCTTTTTTGGAACTATTCTTTATTAACTGAATGTCTCAGTATCATGTGTTTTAAGATGTGATAAGTTATGGTTAAGAAACTGAAGCTTTAACATACAGTCCTTTGGCTGTAAGCTTAAACGAGCAGTCCTTTGGCTGTAAGCTTAAACGAGCAGTCCTTTGGCTGGAAGCTTAAACGAGAAGTCCTTTGACTTTTAGCTTAAACGAGCAGTCCTTTGGCTGTAAGCTTAAACGAGCAGTCCTTTGACTTTTAGCTTAAACGAGCAGTCCTTTGGCTGTAAGCTTAAACGAGCAGTCCTTTGGCTGTAAGCTTAAACGAGCAGTCCTTTGGCTGTAAGCTTAAATGAGCAGTCCTTTGGCTGTAAGCTTAAACAAGCAGTCCTTTGGCTGGAAGCATAAACGAGCAGTCCTTTGGCTGTAAGCTTAAATGAGCAGTCCTTTGGCTGTAAGCTTAAACGAGCAGTCCTTTGGCTGTAAGCTTAAATGAGCAGTTCTTTGGCTGTAAGCTTAAACGAGCAGTCCTTTGGCTGTAAGCTTAAACGAGCAGTCCTTTGGCTGTAAGCTTAAACAAGCAGTCCTTTGGCTGTAAGCTTAAATATACATTCTTTTAGCTACATGCAGACATTTAAACTAAACTTTCGATTTTGTCAGGTATTAGAACTGTTTTAAATGTAATAATTTGTTTATCTTTTGCAGTGAAATATTAACAAGTGATGATGCTGTAATCAAAAGGAACAACAGATTATTGTTCAAGTTTATTATACAGTTATTACAGTACAATCTTCAACATATCCAGTAAGTTTTTGTTGAAACTGTTACTTAATAGAGAGCTTGTTAGTCCCCTACCAGTTTAACCTTTAGGTTTACCCTCCGTCCGTCTGTCCATCCGTCTGTCCGGACATTCCTCTATCGGTCTGTCAGTCCGCACTCACAGGACAGTAATTATGTGGCTAGAGGGACAATAGGTAACTGTACTTTGTCTTTGATGTCATTCATTCCGTAATGCTTTTATGTGGCTATTTTCTTTTATGTGGCTAAAAAGAACAATAGAGAGAACAATAGAGTAGCCACATTATTACTCTCCTGTTAGAACGTCCGTCAGTCCGTCCGTCCACAAAACTGGATCCTGCGATAACGCAAAAAGTACTAAAAATATTTTTATGAAACTTGGATAGATGGCAGTATGGAGATTATGCATGTGTTTTTCTTTTGTTCCTATGTTGAAAATTCTGGTTGCTATGGCAACAAATAGTCTGAAAATATGGCAAATTTAACACATAAACTGGATCCAGTGATAACTCAAAAAGTACTGAAAATATTTTTATGAAACTTGGTATATGGGTAGATGGCAGTTTGGAGATTATGCACATCTTTTTCTTTTCTTCCTATGTTGAAAATTCTGGTTGCTATGGCAACAAATAGCCTGAATTTCAAGATTTCTGATTTAAATTTTTTTAGCTTTTTCACTATAAGTTCTTTATTTCTTAAGGTGTTTACTTCAAACTTTAAATATAAGTTTCTGGTCATCAACCACATCATATGTGACAAGGTTTACAACTCTAGCACAAAAATTATCAGAATTATCTCCCGTGAACTTAGAATTTTTATGAAAAAAAATGTTGTCTTTTTTAAATAACTTCTTTATTTCCTAATGTATCTACTTCAAACTTCATATATATGTTTCTTATTATCACTCAACATTTTTGAGAAGGTTAAATACTCTAGCAAGACTATTTCCAGAATTATGTCCCCCTTGAACTTAGATTTTTTCCGAGAAATTGGTATTTTTTACTCCAACTTCTTCATTATAGGATTTACTTTAAAATAGCACATCGTAATAATTTGACAAGGTTGTATTAACATAATTTCCTTACTAGGCAGGGAAACTTAACACATTACTGTGATACAGACAAACTTAGAACTCAAAAGATTTAAGTTCATTCATGTCATTCATTCACTGGTAAAATTGAATGACCAATGGCCCATCAGAATGTTGCTGGGGTCCTAACTGGTAGGGGACTTATGGATTGCTTGCAATACTATGATAGTTGCTTGTTCATTTTCATATTGTATTTTACATAGCAAAGGCATTAGAAATGTTATACAGATAACAGCAATATTTTCCAACAGATTTTCTTATTTTCTCTTAGAATGCCAAACATACATGAATCCCTTGCCCTGGTTTGAATTTTAGACTGTCCATTGTTTTTTAGCTCACCTGAGCTTGCTCAGGGTGAGCTTTTAGGATCGGTGAATGTCCGTCGTCCGTCCGTCCGTCGTCCGTCGTACGTCCACAATTGCTTGTGAACACTCTAGTGGTCGCATTTTTGCCTCAATCATCATCAAACTTGGTCAGGATGCTTATCTAGTTGAAAGCTCGGATGAGTTCGAATATGGGTCATCTCGGATGAAAAACTAGGTCACCGGAGCTATAAATAGAAAAACCTTGTTAACACTCTAGCGGTCACATTTTTGCATCAATCATCATCAAACTTGGTCAGGATGCTTATCTAGTTGATAGCTTGGATGAGTTCGAACATGGGTCATCTCGGATGAAAAAGTAGGTCACCGGAGCTAAAAATAGAAAAACCTTGTGAACACTCTAGTGGTCACATTTTTGAACCAATCTTCATCAAACTTGGTCAGATTGCTTGTCTAGTCAATTGCTTGGATGAGTTTGAACATGGGTCATCTCTGATGAAAAACTAGGTCACAGGAGCTAAAAATAGAAAAACCTTGTGAACACTCTAGTGGTCACATTTTTGACCCAATCATCATCAAACTTTGTTAGGATGCTTGTTTAGATAATAGCTCGGATGAGTTCGAATATGGGTCATCTCGGATGAAAAACTAGGTCACCGGAGCTATAAATAGAAAAACCTTGTTAACACTCTAGCGGTCACATTTTTGCATCAATCATCATCAAACTTGGTCAGGATGCTTATCTAGTTGATAGCTTGGATGAGTTCGAACATGGGTCATCTTTGATGTAAAAGTAGGTCACCGGAGCTAAAAATAGAAAAACCTTGTAAACACTCTAGCGGTCACATTTTTCCATCAATCATCATCAAACTTGGTCAAGATGCTTGTCTAGGTGATAGCTCGAATGAGTTTGAACATGGGTCATCTCGGATGAAAAAGTAGGTCACCGGAGCTAGAAATAGAAAAACCTTGTTAACACTCTAGTGGTCACATTTTTGCATCAGTCATCATCAAACTTTGTCAAGATGTTTGTCTAGGTGACAGCTCGGATGATTTTGAACATGGATCATCTCCGATGAAAAAGTAGGTCACCGGAGCTAAAAATAGAAAAACCTTGTTAACACTCTAGCGGTCACATTTTTGTATCAATCATCATCAAACTTCATCAAGATGCTTGTCTAGGTGATAGCTCGGATGAGTTCGAACATGGGTCATCTCGGATGAAAAAGTAGTTCACCAGAGCTAAAAATAGTAAAACCTTGTTAACACTCTAGTGGTCACAATTTTGACTCAATTGTCATTAAACTTGGTCAGGAAACTTGTCTAGGTCATTGCTGGGAATAAATCGAACATGGGACATCTCGGATGAAAAAATAGGTCACAGGAGCTAAAAATAGAAAAATCTTGTTAACACTCTAGTGGCTACTGTTGTGATCCAAATATTCCGTTAATTGGTCTGAAAGTTTGTTTTGATGATTTCTAAGTCAAGATCGAACATGGGTCATCTTGGATGAAAAACTAGGTCACACCGCCCAAATATGGAAAAACCTTGTTAACATTCTAGTGGTCACATTTTCGACTCAATTATCATCAAACTTGGTCAGGATGCTTGTCTAGGTAATTGCTTGGATGAGTTCGAAATCGCATGTGAAACTAGGTCACCGGAGCTAAAAATAGAAAAATCTTGTTAACACTCTAGTTGCTACTGTTTTGATCCAAGTATCCTGGAAATTGGTCTGAAAGTTTGTTTTGATGATTTCTAGGTCAAGTTTGAATATGTGTCACCTGGGTAAAAAACTAGGTCGCACTGCTGAAATATGGATAATCCTTGTTAATACTGTAGTGGCCACATTTTTGACTCACCTGTCATGATGCTTGTCTAGGTAATTGTTTGGATGAGTTTGATAAGTCAGGTGAGCGATCTAGGGCCATCATGGCCCTCTTGTTTTAATGGATCTATCGTATAAGGCAGTTTAAAGTCAATGGGGCTGTCTGTGGCTGAGTGGTGAAGGTCCTTGACTTCAAACCACTTGCCTCTCACTACTGCGGGTTTGATTCTGGTCAGGGACTTTGAATTCTTCAGTTTGAGAATGCTTTCCTGTTGTCAAATGGTATATCAGTGGTTCTACTAAGGTGCCTGTTTTTGCCTGAAAGATGCACCTTAAGTAGTCCTCAACCACTTAAGCTTAAAAGTTGCAACATATGAATGCTTTTGTTTTGTTTTGATTGGGTTTTACGTCACATCGACACAGTATAGGTCATATCACGACGTTCCAGCTTTACTGGTGGAGGAAGACCATTATTTCAGGCACGAACGGGCACCTGAGTAGAACCACCGACGTTCCGTAAGCTAGCTGGATAGCTTGCTCACATGAAAGAATCCAAAGTCCCTGTCGGGATTCGAATCCACAGTGGTGAGGGGCAAGCGGTTTGAAGTCAATGACATTAACCGCCCCAAGTGTGAATACAATGTTAAACCCAAGCAAAAAAAAAAAAAAATGGTCATCTGGCAACAGTTTATAACCTGTTAGTCAAGGCCTGAGTTACTTAGGAATGGACTGTATATGTGTCTATTTCTTCCATGATGAATAACTGGTTTCCAAAAGGAAATATATATTCATCAAGATAGCTAGCTGGCAATTATATGTTATAGTAAAGGCATTTTTACAGTTTTCAGTTCTAATATATTGTAAAGATTTTCAAAGACTCCAACGTAATAAATGCTCTTCTGACTAGAATGTATCTATGTAAATTATTAAATAATTAAGGCCTAACTTTGTATTTGGCTTCCTTCTGTAACTTTAAAATTTCAAAAGATGTCACAATGCTTGTTAAACATTTGTAGAATAACCATTCATATTTTAGAAGTACAGACAGTTCACAAGAAGATCACAATAGGAAGCATATGTTACTACGTATAATCTGGACACCATCGTACCATATTGTGTTCAATAAACGATGTCGTGCTCTGGTTGATGTTATGTCAGATGTGATAATGTCATACCAATCTATACATTGTCAAACAGAGAAAAAATGCCTGGTAAGAATTGATAAATTATTCCGAGTAGTTTAATCATGTACACAATGTTTGGTAACAGAACATCTTGTGAACAATTATTTTTTAAGCATAAACAGAGTGAAATTGCTTGTTATCAGTTAATCTTCATAATAGTGTTACAATTTTCAGTTGTGTGTGATTTGAACTTCCAAGATGTCAGTGCATTACATAGAGGATATTTGTTTGTTTTGCACGTAAGATTAAAATATATTTTACTGAGTGAACACCAGACGCAATATTTTCACGAGTGGGGTAGCCACAAGTGAAAATAGAATAGCTGGTGTTCACAAATGAAATATATTTCAATCTTATATGTAAAACAAATAAATTTTATGTTTATTTTATGCTTTTTAAGTGATTTTAAGTATTTTTACTCATTTTGCCGCATAATGTTGCACATTTGTGATGTCATCACATCATGCCATCACCTCATCAATTTTGAAATATAATTCTGTTAAATTTCTATAATTTTGTTACATTTTTAACATGATGTATAATGACATCAACTTTCTTTTCCTGAAGAAGCAAAATTTATGTATGCTGGCGTTTATTTTTGCCTGTTATTATACCCCCAAAAAACGAAGTTTGGGGGTGGGTATATAGGAGTCACCCGGTGGTCGGTCGGTTGGTCGGTCCAGACGTCCGTTGCATTTTCCTTGTCCGGAGCATAACTTGAAGACTAATGGTTGGAATTCAATATAACTACATACACTGGTCAAGCACATTGAGAGGAAGTGCAGTGCCTAAGAACCATAACTCTATCTTGACTAATTACAGAGTTATTGCCCTTTGTTACTTTTCCTTGTCCGGGGCATAACTTGAAAACTACTGGTTGGAATTCAAAACAACTTCACACAATTGTCAAACACAATAAGGGGAAGTGCAGTGCACAAGAACCATAACTCTATCTAAAGTAATTACAGAGTTATTGCCCTTAGTTACTTTTCCATTGCTTTCTTTGTCCGGACCATAACTTGAAGACTAATTGTTGGAATTCATTATAACTTCATACAATGGTCAAGCACATTAAGAGGAAGTGCAGGATACAAGAACCATAACTCCATCTTGACTTGTTACAGAGTTACTGCCCTTTGTTACTTTTCCCTGTCCAGAGCATGACTTGAAAACTACTGGTTGGAATTCAAAACAACTTCATACAATGGTCAAGCACAATATGGGGAAGTGCAGTGCACAAGAACCATAACTCCATCTTGACTAATTACAGAGTTATTGCCCTTTGTTAACCAGGTTTTCCGAAGAAAAAAACTGGTTATTAGATTGAGGTTATGTCGGCGGGCGGGCGGAATGGGCGGGCGGGCGGACGGGAGGGCGGGCGTAAACAATTTCTTCTGTGCGCAACTCCTCCTACATTTCTCAACGGATTTTGACCAAACTTTCACAGAAGCTTTGTCATCAAGTGCCCTGGCGCATATTGTCGGGGTTTTGCGATTAGATAATATTTGACATAATTATGGCCCTTTGTTTTTTTTCCTTATATAAATATATAGTGAACAATTTCTTCTGTGCGCAACTCCTCCTACATTTCTCAACGGATTTTGACCAAACTTTCACAGAAGCTTTGTCATCAAGTGCCCTGTCACATATTGCCAGGGTTTTGCAATTGGTATATATTTGACCTAATTATGGCCCTTTGTTTTTTTTCCTTATATAGAATATATAGTGAACAATTTCTTCTATGCGCAACTCCTCCTACATTTCTCAACGGATTTTGACCAAACTTTCTTAGAAGCTTTGTTATCAAGTGCCTGGCACATATTGTCAGGGTTTTGTGATTGGATAATATTTGACCGAATTATGGCCCTTTGTATATTTTTTTTCCTTATACAGAATATATAGTGAACAATTTCTACAGTGCGCAACTTCTCCTACATTTCTCAATGGATTTTGACCAAACTTTCACAGAAGCTTTGTCATCAAGTGCCCTGGCGCTCACTAAATTCCCATGTTTCTTCCAAGACATCATTCAAGTATTTTTTTAAAATTGTGAACATACTTTTCTTGATATCGCACAAAACACCACACGCCAATATTGTTGACAAAAGAAAATGACAAGAGACGCAAAAATGCAAAAATTAAGCAAAAATAAAGTACTGTTTACCTTTCTAAAATATTTGGGAAAAAAAGGCGAATAGACAACATAAAATTTCTCAATCATTTTTGTTTGAGGAATATTAAAAGAGCCATAATTCCTCCTAAAAGTTCAATTAAAAACAAATGCCCCTTCTAACAAAGCTTCTGTGAAATATTTTGCTGAAAACCTGGTTGCATCGCATTGCGATGTTCCTTGTTACTTTTCCATTGCTTTTTTTGTCCGGAGCATAACTTGAAGACTAATGGTTGGAATTCAATTTTACTTCACACAATGGTCAAGCACATTGAGAGGAAGTGCTGCTTAGTGCAGTGCACAAGAACCATAACTCCATCTTGACTAATTACAGAGTTATTGCCCTTTGTTACTTTTCCTTGTCCAGAGTATAACTTGAAAACTACTGTTTGGAATTCAATACAACTTCATACAGTTGTCAAGGACATTAAAAGGAGGTGCAGTGCACAGGAGCCATAACTCCATTTTGACAAAATACAAAGTTACTGCCCTTTGATACTTTTCCTTGTCCGGAGCATAACTTAAAACGTACTGGTTGGAATTCAAAACAACTTCATACAATGGTCAAGCACAATAAGAGGAAGTGCAGTGCACAAGAACTATAACTCCATCTTCAGTATTTATAGAGTTATTGCCCTTTATTCCTTTTCCTTGTCTTTCTGGACTTATTACAGAGTAATTCAATAAAACTTCATCAATGGCCAACCACATTGAAAGGAAATGCAACATACAAGAACCACAAATATCTTAAATTGCCCATACAACCATAACTCTATGCAAGGCATTCTGTTATTAGTAACATCCTCATTTCCGAAGCAGTCTTGTGGGGGTATTAATCACACTAGTGATAGTTCTAGTTCCATTTAGTTCATCCCCATTCAGATATAGTCTGGTTACAGTGAAAATTATTTGTAAATTTCACTAGTGCTTTATTAGAATATAATCATCTGATATATTACAGTAAAACACTGGAAAGCATGAAATAATATTGTTGTAACTGCTTTATACTAAAATTTTCAAACCAACATCTCCAAGACCATATATTCATGATTTGAGCATTTATCATAACTTATATTGTAAGTATTGAGCACATTTGCCCAGTGAAAAGTGCTAGTTTACTTAAAGGCCCATTACACCCAAGAAATGTTGTTTTTATAATTCATAAACTTTTTAGCTCACCTGAGCATATGCTCAGGGTGATCTATTAGGATCACTCTTCGTCCGTCGTCTGTTGTCCGTCGTACGTCGTCAGTTCACACTTTTAAAACAACATCTCCTCTGAAACCATACGGAAGATCATAATGAAACTTCACAGGGATGTTCCTTGTGTGAAGCCTTAACAAAGTTGTTCAAAGATTCCATTCCATGCAGAACTCTGGTTGCCATGGCAACCAAAAGAAAAAACTTTAGATATCTTCTTCTAAAAAACTCAAAGAGCTAGAGCTTAGATATTTGGCATGAAACATCTTCTAGTGAGTGTCTACCAAATTTGTTCAAAATAAAAGCCCTGGGGTCAAAATTGGCCCCGCCCAGGGGGTCATTGATTTTCCCTATATGTATATAGTAAAAACTTAAAAATCTTCTTTTAAAGAACCCAAAGAGCTAGAGCTAAGATATTTAGCATGAAACATCTTCTAATGGGTGTCTACAAAGTTTGTTCAAATAAAAGCCCTGGGGTCAAAATTGGCCCCGCCCCAGGGGGTCATTGATTGTCCTATATGCTGATAGTAAAATCTTAAAAATCTTCTTTTAAAGAACCCAAAGAGCTAGAGCTAAAATATTTAGCATGAAACATGTTCTAATGGATGTCTACCAAGTTTGTTCAAATAAGAGCCCTTGGGTCAAAATTGGCCCCGCCCCAGGGGTCATTGATTTTCCCTATATGGTTATAGTAAAGACTTAAAAATCTTCTTTTAAAGAACCCAAAGAGCTAGAGCTAAGATATTTAGGATGAAACATGTTCTAATGGATGTCTACCAAGTTTGTTCAAATGAGAGCCCTTGGGTCAAAATTGGCCCCGCCCCAGGGGACATTGATTTTCTTTATATGTGTATAGCAAAAACTTAAAAATCTTCTTCGAAAAAACCCGAATAGCTAGAGTTTAGATATTAAGCATGAAACATCTTCTAGTAAGTGTCTACAAAGATATTGTTCAAATAAAAGCCCTGGGGTCAAAACTGGCCCTGCCCCAGGGGTGTTATTGTTTTTAAATATATGTGTAAAGAAAAAACTTAAAAAATCTTCTTTTAAAAAACCCAATGAGCTAGACCTTAGATGTTTAGCATGAAACATGTTCTAATGGGTGTCTACCAAGTTTGTTCAAATAAAAGCCCTGGGGTTTAAACTGGCCCCGCTCCGTGGGGCCTATATACAGGTGAGCGACTTTAGGGCCATTATGGCCCTCTTGTTATTTTTAGCATCCTATTACTGTTTTTAAATCTTTATGCATCGACAAATTATACAAACTATCCTTCACTTCTGTTGCTTTTTGGCATTTAGTAGTGATTCAGTATTATGAATGAAAGCCAAAATACAGCTTTGTTTACATTTTGCTACTTTTATGACAAATAATTTCACATTCACATTCCTTTTTTAAAGACAGAAATATTTTTATGTTTTGAGACATAATGTGCCTTTAATCTGACATTATCTTTCTTCAACACAGTTAGAGATGTTAGATGATGTATTATGGATGATTGCCATGGTAACCGATTGCTGTAGAGTCCATGAATGTGGAAATCTAGATCCCATACAAGCATCGCATGCAGATAAAACATCTGTCTTTGTTCATGAAATTTCCAGCAAACTGAAAGGTAATAAATCAAACATTTATACTTAGTCATCTTTTGCAAAAAAAAAAAAAACATACAAGTATGAACACAGGTGTACAGTTCAGTTGCAATCTAAGTGTTCATACAGACCTTCATAATGTGAGCCATGCCATGACAAAACCAACATAATGGGTTTACGACCAGCATGGATCTAAACCAGCCTGTGCATCCGCACAGTCTGATCAGGATCCATGCTGTTCCCTTACCAACCCTATTACAAGTAGAGAAACTGATAGCAAACAGCATGGATCCTGATCAGACTGCGCGGGTGTACAGGCTGGTCTGGATCCATGCTGGTTGCAAATGCACTATGTTGGTTTTGTCGTGACGTGGCTCATGTATAATTGATCAGCTGATTATGCTTACAGGAGATATACATTGGTGTGGTTCATTATTTCAAACCTAACTGGCTTTTCTGGATTACTAACAAGTAATTACTAATTTCTCCGCAAGTGAGTAACTACTTAGTCTGTATAGCCGATAATTTCTAAAATCAGAAGTTGGAGACAAATAGCCATTAGACTCAATATCAGAGTTCAATTGTTCTTGCATATCAGACTGGTGAGGTCAACAGTTTTACCCATGGTGGAAGTTTCATCTGGCATCGGGGCTGTCGCTTACTATACAGTGGCATGCTTAGGATGTTGAATTCCACTGTTATGATTGAAGTTGTAATTTCATACACTATTGTAAGAAAAAAGTTATGGGCAAAATGACATAAATTTCCATGGAAAATTGTTTTATTAAGGTAAAGAATTAAAAATATGATGCCAGGAATATGTTAGAATATGCAAGAAAAAATATCTGACATATGGTTGCGGTTTGGATCGGAATATCCCCTTGGGACAGATATTCCGATCTGAACCGCAACATATGACACATATATTATTATTACAGAGAAATTACACTTCCCCTGAGGAAAGAGTCAGTGACCCCTGGATAACGGGAACAGTTTCATTTTGATCTAAACAGCCCATAAAAAGTTTGATTGTGTTAAAATGTTGTCTTTTTGTATTCTTTTATTATTCTTAATCAAATTTTCTCTCCACAGTTGCGAATGTCAGTGACCGTTTTCTACTGGACGCAATAATGCAAGGTTTGCAGTTACCATGGTTACGGGTAGGGGTGTGTCAACAACTTCTCAACATGTATGATGACTATCTCCTAATGGAGGAGAACTGTAATGATACCAAATCTCTGACATTTCAACATATTGTAAGTATTGTTCATGATGAAACCATCTTGCTATATCAAATTGACAAAATGAATCAAATACTAAACAAAATTTTGTTAATTTAGATCAATATTGAAATGTAAAACATGCACTGATCATATAAAGTGAAATAATAAAGATGAAACTCCATCATGGAAAGGAATAAATATAAGTGTTATGCTTGTTTTCAAATCCATTTATGAGCCGCGTCACGACAAAACCAACATAGTGCATTTGCGACCAGCATGGATCCAGACCAGCCTGCGCATCTGCACAGTCAGATCAGGATCCATGCTTCGCTTTCCAACTCTATTACAAGTAGAGAAACTAATAGCGAACAGCATGGATCCTGATCAGACTGCGTGGATGCGCAGGCTGGTCTGGATCCATGCTGGTCGCAAACGCACTATATTGGTTTTGTCATGATGCGGCTCATATATTGTGATGTAAAATGATACATGCTTGTAAATTTTCTAAATATAATATGTTTACATCAAAAGTGACATTATGCCTATTCAAGAGCAAATGGTGAAATTAAGATAACTTTTTATGTCATCTTATTTGTTTTCAAATTGATATTAAACATGATCTAACTTAGACAAAGTTTATATCAATAACCCCTTTGACCCAGATAGATATCTATAGATATCCTTCGGAAAATATCTGTGCTGTTCAATTTATATAAAGAGTGGGACAGTTTTTTCATATTCAGACAGCCTTTTTATATTTTACCCTAAACATTTGTGATTATCAGTTATTGTTCATTTGGCATTCAAATAGTCAATCTTTTTTGTGGAATATACAGCTAATTTATCCCAGCTTTACATTAAAAAAACGAGTATAATGCATAGATCTTTGACCTGTCTAATTCTAATCTGATAGATTAGTGGATACACTAAAAATTTCACCACAACATATTCCTTAACAATAGAGCACACGTCTATGTTTGTGGCTAAATTTATTGCTATTCAAATAAAAGATTAGAGATCTATCAATGTCACTTCAAGCTTGCCATATAGTGTCTGACATAATGCATAGATAACCATGTAATTCATCCTAAAAGTAGTAAGGGTAGTATGACTCAGTGCTAAAACAGCAAGGGTGTGTCTTCAAGTCAAGTCTAAGTCATCTGAGAATATAGATTACCACCAACACAAGTTTTAAAAGTTCTATACTGTTGGCTGACTAACTATAATATTGTATCTTGATAATTGATAATGGACAGTTCCATAAATGGAAGTTGGTCAAGTTCATATAAAAAATCAGAAGGTCATGGTATATACACTTATACAGCATTTAATAATACTGCACGTTTGTAACGTCACTTTTCATTGAATAAATATGATATTTATATAGGCTATATACACAGCTACTGTCAATTTATGAAGAAATCAAACTTTTTCCTCTTAAAAAAAGTTGCTTGCTATATCATAGATTTGTTATAAATACTTTTGACAGGTTATATGGCCATATATAAACTGTTGTTTGCAATATAACACTCGCCTAGTGGCTTGCGTCATATTTCCAAACAACCATTTATATAGGGCCATATAACCTGTCAAAAATCTTTATAACTAATAATATAAACACTTATTGAAAGAGTTTAACAATTTATACCAATATCTTTCTATTTTAGAAGAAATTTTCATATATAAATACCTTCTGTCAAACACTGTTATAACATACATGTAATTTACACTTATTGTATTGCAGGTGACACATTATTTTTACCTATTGCCGGAGTTTGATATGCCTAGAACCCCAGGATGTCGGTCACCTGCAGTGCAAAGGTATTTGAAATTTTGCTCACTAAATGAAACTTGAATAATTACTTTTAAGAATCAATAAAAACTAGTTATTTAAACTTCTAACATCATGAAAAGAAGCAAATAACCTGTAAAAAAAACTGCCAATTAACACGGATTAGGGACTACATGATTGTGAGATGTGTGAATAGAATTAATTAATTTTTTCAATTTCTGTTATTTAGAATATTATGAAGTTACATGTATGATTATTTAGCACAGTTAATATTATATTGAAGAAAGGTTTTTGTTATTCATGACTCGAGCTGAACTGCTGTACACACATGTCTTTTTTGATTTTATTCCAATTCTTTTCACAATTGTTGATTTTTTAGCATGTTTATTAAGGTATTACCACCCTAATGGGCACTATAAGGAACTAAAAAATTGACATCATAGGTCAGATATATACCTTAAAGTACACCTGTATGCAAAATTTAAACAAAGTTTACCGTACGGAAATCAAGTTATGGCCACTTTTCTGAACTCAAGCTAGGTGTTATGAGGGCCCTTTTTTGAAATGAGGAACTTTTAAATAATCTGCAATAACATTTTAATGAAAAATGTTTCCCATTATTTTTTGGTAAGGAACAAATAGTACCATTCAGCTAACATTTATGAAATCTGTATAAAAATGTTACCCTACCCTACCCATTTTTACCACATGTATGACCATTTTCCTACTTAGGGAGCCTAATTTAAAAAATCCTTAAAATTTACCCAAACGAGTGCCTGTTTCCAAAGTTTCCCTAAATTTTTAAAGAAGTATATTGGTTGATCTTGTAAAATATGAAATACTTTTACGGTCCAGTTTTGATTTTATTACACTTTGAAAATATCAGGTACCATATTTATTACTAGATTTAGCATAATTTAGTTACCTATATAAATTAAAAAATCAAAATTAAACACTTTTTTCTTTCTAAATTGGACATGAGAGATACATAAGTAATGTTAAAAGAAAAAAAGGAAAGAAAAAAAAAGTTGACCCTTCTGGGGATTGAACCCATGACCCTCATTTTCAATGTAGTTAACAGTAGTTCTAGCCTATTTGAATACTCTTCAAAGCGGAGGTAATGCATTAGGATGGTAATACCTTAAGGATATAATTTATTATTATCATGCTCTAATTTGATATTTGAAAATACTGATAATTGCTTTATAGTTTCTTTTTGAATATAAAATATACATCTTTTGAGTACACAGAAGATATGTTATGATTTAAAAGACAAAATTAAATTGACCTGCAATAGGGAATATGCAGTTTCCCAAACAGTTTGCACATTTTCTTACACAAATAAGTCATATTCAGCAAGAATTGTCTAGAATTCAATCAATAATATTTTTGAAGTAAAAAAAATAAAAATATTTTATCCAATGATAGTCATAGTATAGGGAGGCATTTACTTTGTTGTCTTTTACAGAACAAAAGAAATGAATGTAAATCAATCTCCAGTTACTGTAAGACATTGTTTGCGTGAGAATACAGATATGAACAAGAGGAATGTTGGTAGGACTACACTGAAGGCAATGAAGAAAAATCATAAAGGAGAAACTCCGCTTCATGTTGCTTGTATCAAAAATGATGCTGCCACTGTAAAAAACCTTCTTAAAATTCCTGGTATATTGATGTTTTCATTATTCTTATATTGTATTATATACATGTGTTCCATGTCATACCGTTACTTAAAATATTGAAATTAAAAGGTATTTACTTATATTTAGCATGTCTATTCAAAGAATAGGAAGAGCTCACCCAGGTGTAGGTGAAGCCGTCACACTTGGTTTACTTGTTGCGTTTAAGTTGATGTCTCCAAAAATATTGAAGGGAATGGGTAGAAAAACTTCACACACTTATTTTAGAGCATAATAAGAGGTCACTTTCCAAGACCTATAAGTCTAACATTGGTTTTGACTGAATTATGGCCCTTTTTGAACTTATAAAATTCTACATTATCAAAGCTCTTGTTTTACTGTCAAGCACTTAAAATAGTTGAGCATGCAGCTACTGACAGCTCTTGTTTAGTAAAATTGTTGTGGCCTTTTTATACATTACTCAATTTTTACTAAAACTGTAGTAACAGTAGTTGCTTTACCATGCTTCTATTCATCTGTGTCTGACTGTTTGTTTATTCAATTGTACTAGTAAATGTTTTGTTTCTGCTTTACTTGTAGGTTAGGTATTCTTACTCTAGTTTTATTTTATAACTAAGATGTTATTGTAATAATCTATTTCTTAAATTTTTTCTCAATGAAATTATTGTATATTTATGAAGGTATAAATGTAAATGCAACTGACAATGTTGGATGGACACCCCTACATGAGGCCAGTAACCATGGCCACACAGAATGTGTGCTGGAGCTTCTGAAGTTTATACCATCAAAGACAATGGATGTTTTCTTTACAAAAGGTAATAATACTTGATGTGTATTAGAAAGTAAATTTGAACTTTGTAAAATCATATTAATTGTTTTATTTTGCTAAGCAAGTTCTCTTTACACAACTTCTATGTTGTTGCTTGACACTATAAATGTTTTAAGGGTGACTGACTATGAACTATCTATATTCTGTAGCATAGCTTTTCACTGACTTATTAACCAGGTTTTCAATTTTGAAAATCCTGGTTATTAGATTGGGGTATGGCGGGCGGATGGGCGGATGGGGCGGGCGGGCGTCAAACGAAATTGTGTCCGCTCTGTAACTCTTCAACCCTTTGAAGAATTTTGATGAAACTTCAGACAAATGTTTACCACATCAAGATGACGTGCAGAACGCATGTTCCGCATGGCTGGCTCCAAGGTCAAGGTCACAGTGACATTAACATTGAAAATCCTGTCCGCTCTGTAACTCTTCAACCTTTGAAGAATTTTGATGAAACTTCAGACAAATGTTTACCACATCAAGATGACGTGCAGAACGCATGTTCCGCATGGCTGGCTCCAAGGTCAAGGTCACAGTGACATTAACATTGAAAATCCTGTTTACATGATTTTAACTTGATTTGGCAGTCAAAGGTCATATCATCTTTGGAGGTAATTTAAAAAAGATATGATATATTATTTCATGTCTACTTTGTAACTTGTTTTTCATTATACAGAATTATCAATATAATTATAGTGAACAAATTCTTCTGTGCTGAACTCGTCCTACATTTCTCAACGGATTTTGTTCAAACTTTCACAGAAGCTTTGTCATCAAGCACCCTGGCACATATTGTCGGGGTTTTGTGATTGGATAGTTTTTGACCTAATTATGGCCCTTTGTTTTTTTCCTTATACATAATATTATAGTGAACACTTCTTCAGTGGCAATTCCTCCTACATTATTCATGTTTTACATTGCACATAGTTACATTGTTTGTTGCTTGTATTTGTATTTCAAATACAACATATTTATCTACAATGGTGATAATTGAAAACCTGGTTTCATGGCATTGCCATGTTTCTTGTTCCTCTTTTTATAGATAGAAAATGCCAGTATGTGCCTATATCACAAAATAAATGATTTGTGCTGAGAACAAAAGTTTTGATGTCTTGCAGTAATTTTTAACTGAGTTTTGGCATTTTTTGGTTTTCAAGATGTTATCTGGTGTTTGCTCTGATCATGACTGAAGTAATTAAACATTTGCCCTAATTTTTTGTAAACAGGTAGCACAGAATGTAGAAGGGTAGATTTGTTAGCAGTAAATGGTGAAGGAATAACTCCACTTCACGATGCTGTATTGAACAATCAACCTGAGGTCTGCCGTATCTTGTTACAACACGGAGGCTCCAAGCTTCTAGAGGCTCGAACCTGCCTTGGCTACACACCAATTGATCTCGCTGAAACAGATGAGATGATCAGTCTCTTGTCTTCCTTTTCTACAGTACGAAGAAAACATAGTGATAATCTCTCAATGTTAGGATCTCAAGGTATAATGATATATATATTTATGGTCCTGCCATAATGCTTAAGTCTTGCTTAATGTCTTAGACATTAAGCGAATAAAAAATGTTAAAAGTGATTCATAATGTTTATGGGACACGTAAAATGTACACTGATATGGAATGACTTGACTTGTTACAAAATTCAGATTTTCTTTTATAATGATATTTTCTTGCTAGAAAATTATCAAAATTGCAAAATCACTGTTTCGAGGCTATATTATGTCATATATGAGGTATATATTACATGTTTAGTCTTTTTATTAAACTAGATGAATTTAAGTGATAAGATACAAGGGTGTGTCAATCATGTATTCACTTTACCAGGGCTCATGCTGTTGGTCTCTGTGGTCGCCATTTGTGATAACTTTATAAGATTGGCGATTATTTTCGCATTTTGGCTACAGAAACTGGCATTATTATTTTAATTACAACAGTGTTAATATAAGTCTTTACTTCACAAACATGATCATTTATCATGGAAAGACAGGAATGTAAGATGCTTTTTATTACATTGATTGGTTTTAACGATATTCTTGTTTACCATTGTTATTATGTAAATTTCAGAATCCAATAGTTCTGTAGAGGACAATACATCAATAGTACCAAGTGATATTCTATATCAGGAAGTAATGTATAAAGATGGAGAACGTTTATATTATGCCAACGTTAAGTCCACCACCTTTTACATACACCTGGTAACATTATTCATTCAAAATTACATCTCCCTAAGAAACTTACACATGATATGTCAGTGCTTGAAAGATAAGAAGTTATTGCAGGATATTAGTGAACAAAACGATCATTGTGATACAAGCAGCCAGAAAGAGAATCATGACAGTGTTAGTGTAGATGATAGCCCAAATTGCCAAAATACCCAGAAACTTACAAGTTTAAACGTACAAACAATCAGTTCTGTGTATCATCAACTAGAGAATAGCCAGTTAGGGTTGTCAAGTAAAAGAACCCCAGCAAGGAGTAGACTAGCAGAGTATCATGTGGATAAAGAGGAAGTTGATTATATAAGAAAAGATTTGAAAATAATAAGGAAATTCCCCCAGTATTTGAACTTGTTTAGGAATCATTTACTTAAGTTGTGTCGTTCAGAGGACTCGAAAATGGTGAAAGAAGAACTACAAGAGTTGTTATATATCACGGAAGGTCTGTTTTAGTGATTATAAAGGATATCAGGGGTGTAAGTTAAATTGTCCAGCAGTTGTAACTAATGTCGCCAAATGACATAAACTGTGTTGGGGTGACGTAAAACCCAATCAAACAAACAAAAAAGCAGTTGTAAGAACTTGACCAGTAAGATTTTACATTTTAGTCATTCATTCAACTTGAATCTGCCGAATGTTTAAAATGGATTTGTCCAACTTCAATTTTGGAACTGTCCATTATAATTTTTAGGGATATAAAGATGATAATATAAAATTGGTCAGCCAACAGTATAGAGACTGGTCAGACTTCACTGATGTGCAGGCTGGCCTGACTTTATTCTGGTGGCAAAGACACTTAGTTCCAGCAGTGGGAGGGTTATCAAATGTTAAAAGAACAAAAAATAATTAGCAAACACATACTTTCTTCGTGTGTTCTAAATTTTGCTTAATTTAAATCTTAAACACGCATCAAGTGACATTAAAATGATACATTGAGGACATTAATTACTTTGACTATAGAATGTTAAACTAAGGACATTTTCTTTTTCGCTTTAAAGAAAGTATGTATTGCATCTGGAGCCTTTAAAAAAGTATATTTATATATCTTACATGCCCATTTGATAAGTTTGGAAAATTACACACCTCCCAATAATGATACAAGAGTTTACTGTTGTACCTAAAAATTTATATTCAGTAAATAATATCTTTTTAAACTATAAGTGCCCATAATCTGTAGTATAGATTGTGATCATGCCTGATTATAAAGATGTATGTCTGAATATAGACCTTTTTACACTAGGATATTTCCTGAGATTTGGAAGTACAAGTATCATTTCCACATGCATATTCTGCATAGGGCAAAAAGCTATATTGAAAGTGTAAATTTTATCAGTATTATATGGTATAGTGCTTTGTATACAAGTATATTTTTTTAGCATACATGCATATTTGATAAATAGGGAAAATTTTCCCTAATAAACTTAAAGGATGAAATTTTATTATTTGTGAGGATTAACTAAAAGTTTAGAAGCAAGTATTTTGATAATAAAAGATGCACTAGATATCAGTAATTAATTTGAACCTTCTAAATTTATGGGCCATATTAAAATGGAAGACACTCATGCATTCGATTATGACATAAAAACAAGCAAAAAAAAAAATTAAACCATCAATATTGTAAGTTTACACTTTTGATATTGAAACCTCCATGACTACAAGTGTGTGTGTGTTGAGTTTATTTACCCTCGCCACCGGTTAAAAACCATATGGGCGAGCATATGCTTCATTTATTAAAGGGAAAACACTTTATTTAGTTAATATCTGCATATGTGACTAGTGAGTACAATATTTCCTGCCCCAACAATGCAAAATAATTGCACTGAATGGGGCTGGAAAACGGTGGGATTACATCCCACACTAAGATTAAAAAACTGTATTTAAAATTTAAACTTAAATTAAAAAGGGGGGAAGACGCTTATACGCGGACGTCTTCTATATAGGGAACAAAAAAAACCACTAATAATTATGTTTAATGATAGCTTCGTTTATTGCAAATCATATTTATAATGTTAAAACAAATATTAAAAGGGGGAAGACGCTTATACGCGTACGCCTTCTATAACAGACCAACACAGTTAGATTTGTATATCTTAGTTTTTTATAAACTTTATTTAGCACATGAGAAGGTTTATAAGTATAAACCTTAGCAACACGCCCGAGAACATAGTTTTTTACAAATGGCCATCATTTAATAATTTACTTTTCGTAGGGAGAACAGTGCAGAAACGATTTTGACAGATAGCGCCGAACCACGTTTAGTAGGTAAATTTTGATTGGCCGAAAAATGGTGTGATTTGTATGGCTAATTAGGGATAAGATATGATTGGTTGATAGTAAACAGATTTCATTGGCGCATTTACTATCCGATTTTGGAGCTTAGCTCGAAGAATTTTGTGGTCTAGACCACGTGGTCTCTGTATTGACATTTCTGCACCGTCTCCCATATAATGCTAAAAATAGTAACAACGGTGTCTGTTGGAGACCAACCACGACACCGCTGTTTAAATATTTAAATACAAGGAGGGGAATAGTACTGATACAATTGGTACATGATCTTATAAGAATAACAATGATATTCAGTAATTATATTGTTATTCTAGACTCTCTATAGACCTATACAAAAAGAATATAGAGAGATAGAAAAATTAAACCCTAAATTGGCTATTAATAACATGCTTGGTTACCTACAATGTGATGAGTACTGCCTTTTAGAGAAGAAAAAAGCTGCCTCATACTTGTTCTACTCAATGAATTAACGTATGCTCCATTTTTGTCATTGAGTAGATCACAGTATAAACTGTTTTATAAAATATTTGTTTATATGGGTACAATCTGATATGGAGTCTTTGCTAACATTAAGGTTGTCTTTAAGAAAAAAAGAACAGCATTGTAGTCCATAGGGACTTGTTATGCTAGTTTTGAAATAGAATAGGACATCCTTAATGTGATGAAGTCCTCTTATTAACATATAAAAGAAGACTTCATACTTGATTGAGCCCTATATAGCCTTTGCTCCATATTATTGAATAGGGCTCAATTTTAACATATAGTATGTTATAGATTGTACCCTATATAAGAATGAATAAAAATTAAGAAGGTATATGATATATTATATATTTACAAACAGACCAGCTGTTTATTATTTACAAGGGATAAAAATATAGATAAGAGGTATAAAATGGAGTCTTTATGTAACATTGTAGGTATCATGTAGCCACAACCCAATTTTGATTGATCATGTTCCAGGGACAATAAAAATAGGTGATAGTGTACAGTCAGTATTTAAGAAATATGTATTAAAATTTATTAAAAATGTAAATAAATAAGCAATATATAGTTGTCTCACCGTTTAACGGCCACTTTTTAGGACCACTTTTAAAATTTAATTACATGTAATAAAAGAAACAATAGATTATTTACAATAAAAAGTGTCTGACCTGTACACTATTACAACTTTTAAAAAATTTATATTTAATGGAGCTCATAGCTATTATCACAAGAATAGAACAAAATAAAACAATAAAGTAATGATGGCAACACCCATTGGCAGGTAATTGAAAAATTTATACACCTATATGGATATACCATATTCTACATTAATAAAACTGGCTCTCTTGGAGCCAAATGATAATTAGTTAAAAATAGAACAGTACCAATTAAAGCTATTCATGGAGGAAATATGTACCCAAGGAAGGACATACCACAAATTACCTTAAAATAGTACCATTAAAATAGGTATTAAACTAATACCAAATTACCAACATACTTATGTGTATTTATACTATATGGAAACAGTTGAATATTTAATTAGGACAGCATTAGGTCAAGTTTCCCTGAGGTACGGCCTGTCCACACGCTCAGTTCAGCCCGCCCCATATCTGTCCCTATCAAAATCTAATTGAAATATTTTATTTTACATTTAAATTCTACTCTGGCACCCAGGTTGGTAAAAGATGTAAACAGATTTCAGTATTTTCATGTACAATGTTGGTTTCCCCTCTGACAGGTTATATTTTTTATGTTTCTATGTATATATAATTTCATTTATTACAGTAATTGGGGACACTTTGCCATTTATTTCTTTAAAATTCATTTGTATTACATTTCATATGTTCCTTAATAGTTGAACTAAGTATGATTATAGAGTAAAACCAATAATAACCCAAAAATTCAAGTATTGGGAGGACAACTCCTACTTGTACCAGAAATTTACCTTTTCTAGCTATAATTCTTATTTTCCTCCTATCCTATTCTCAAATATTATCTTAAACTTGTTAAAGTTACATATTTATATCCTATATAGATCATATTATAACCATTTGATCTTATTATGGCCATTATTAATTATATCAAGCAGCAAATTGAGAAAATATACTTCATTAATCCAAGTTTGAGTTGCTTCCCTTGTACTATTATCTAAAATTTAGTGATTTAAGTATTAAGTTTATGTGTCATAGGTAATTGGCCATATCTTCTTTAAAATTTAATGGATTTTGATGGAATTTTCTTTATTATCTCATTAAAAGATTGCTCTTAATTATTATAGTGATGTGGCATTTGTAAATAAAGAACTTTACTTTTTGGGGGAGTTTAAGTTGGTGAAATTTTATTGTTTATTGTTAAATTGACTATTTACCACATATTAAATATGCTGTATAGGGTAACAACCATAACTTGTTTAATAAACCACATAAAATAATGAAAATTCTTTTAATTAGACACTTGATGGTGTTAGTTAATTATAATTAATTAATAGTTTGAATATTTCAATTGTATTTGGGTTTAATTTTTGGTTTTACTGGGTCATATTATGTCAATAAATAGAGATTTCACTGATTATCCTAAATATCTCTATTATGAGTAATATACTGTCATAGATGCTAATTAAGCATTTTTTTTTTTTTTTCTAAACTAGCTTATAATCAAGTTTAAATCTAATGGTTTGAGTTACCAATTAGCCATTAGTAGAAATTGGATACTTATTTAATATATTTGATGTTATCAAAACTATAAATTCATAACAAAGACCGGTATCGGGGGACTGAGTATGCAAACTGGGTCCCATTAACACCTAATAATAAATTAAATTGATTTATACAAATAATGCAGTCTTTATATTATTGTCAGAGGGGATGGAAGGTGGGATTTTACATTAAAGGCCAATCATGACTTCATATGTGAATATGACTGCTGGGATCAAGGTCACAGTTGTATTTGAATAAAAATTAACATTAAAGGCCCATCACTACTATAATTAGTGATATGGGTTATTATTTGTTTAAATTTTGTCTGTTAGACAACAGTTAAGAATGAATAACTCTAAAGCTTTAAAAATATGTACTGAATATTTCTTTGGTGGGTTTAGAATATTTTGTGTGCTATATCCCAAACCTACAGCACCAAGTGCCGACCGCAGTTCATATCTATGGTCCCTGAACTGGTCGCACTCATGCAATAGGTGGGATATATTATATCTCACTCCACATTGGGCACAATTGGGGCTCATTTTCTTGATATATTGACCAGAATCCCCTGGTAATAGGGTTGTGCCCAACCTCAGTCTTGTTATGGCCCTATCTATTTTTAAAATATTTGAATATTGAACTGGGCGACTGAGCCCCACTGAGCTATTTATATGTTTCCTCTGATCCTGGCATGAATTGGACTCAGTTTGCCACAAATGAACTATATATTTTTTTATTTTGGAATATATCTCAGTGGGGGAGAGTGAGATTGATTCAGTGACATTGTTGAGGTTTAAGCCCATTTTGGCCGCCCTGTCTGCCTGTTCATTGCCTGAGATCCCTATATGTGCTGGACACCAAACTATGGTAACCTGTTTTCCTACATTTAGGACTTTATTATATAATAGAATTATTTCATTTAATAAATCTGGTCTCGACTGACTGTTGTTGGATTTCAGTGAGATCAGTGAAGAAAGTGAATCCGAGAAAATGACAGCTTTTGTTATATCACTGTCCTGAATCCAGCACATAGCATTTCTAATAGCAAGGAGCTCGGCGGTATAGATGGATGTATTATTAGTTAACCTATCAATTTTTTCATATTGTATGGAAGGTATTACTACAGCCGAGGCAACCCTGCCAGAGTCCGGGTCTTTTGATCCATCTGTATAAATATGTGTTTGACCTATATATTTGTTAATTAATATTTTTGTTTCTGTATTTGCGAGATGCGGCAAATCAGATTTGTTCACTTTTTCTTGTAACGTGATGTCGACCTCAGGCAAGGTTAGGGTCCACGGCGGAACCTCCATGGGCCGCTTCTCAACAATGTTTGAATCCTTAATACCACAGTCCTCCGCTAGGTCCTGCGTTGCAGCACCAAAGGGGAGGACTGGGTCTTTAAACCTATTTAGTGTATAGTGGCCTTTTCCCAGCAGTCCACGGACCGGGTTGTCTGCCGCAGAGGCTCGAACCCGGGTATAATATTTTAATGTTTGTGATTTCCTCCTTATTGATAGAGGTACTATACCGGCCTCCACCTCCAGGTCCCTTGCCTGGTGTGGGGTGAAGGGCCCCCAGGGCCAATCTGAGGGCAGTGTTTTGTACGGTATCGAGTTTATTTAAATGTGTTTTCTTAGCACAAGAATAGATCTGAGCACCATAATCTATCTTTGAACGTATTAAGGATTTATATAGGAGTAATAGGCTATTCTTATCAGTCCCAAAATCAGTGCCTTTTAACATCCTCATGACATTTAAATCCTTTTTACATCTGTTGACCAAATCATTGATATGCGGCCCGAATGTTAATTTGTCATCTAAAAGTAAACCTAGAAATCGGACCGTTTTAACAAATTTAATGGGTGTACCACCTAAAGATACGTTCAAATTGTGCTTTTTTTGATTACCAAATACAATACCCACAGTTTTAGTTTCAGATATTTTAAAGCCCCATTTTTGTGCCCATCCCCATAGTGAGTCCATGCCAGCTTGTGCATCCTTTGGCTAGCTTAACAAATTGGACCCAGATTTCCAGGTGCTGGAATCATCAGCAAACTGGCTAATGACCATACCAGATCCTGAGAGAGATTCTGGTAAGCCGTTAATAATAATAGAGAATAATAACGGCGAGAGGATCGAGCCCTGGGGTGTACCACGCTCCACTGGCTCTGTATCAGACATTGAACCCTCAACTCGAACCGATATTTTTCCTGCCCTCTAGAAAAGACCTTAAATACTGGAAGCAGGCACCTGTCACACCATGTTCTTTTAACTTGTATAAATACCGAAGTGCCATGTAAGATCAAAAGCTGCTGTCAGGTCTAAAAAGATAGCTAGCACTGATCGTGATCTGTTTTTTGCTAGGATCACGTCGTGTTGCAGTCGAGCAAGCTGGTCTAAAGTGCTCCTACCCTTTCTGAATCCAGACTGAAAGGGGTTAATAATGTTTTTTGATTCCAGCAGATATTCTAAACGGGCCTTAACCATTCCCTCAAGCAATTTCCCTGAGTGAGATGTAAGGCTAATAGGTCTATAAGATTTTGGTTCTGTTTTGTCTTTGCCATTTTTGTATATAGGTATGACACATGCCTCCTTCCAAGCATTGGGGTAAATCCCCTCAACCACACCTTATTGTACAACCTGAGCCAGATGTCCAGCACCCCCCTTGGCAGGTGCTTGAACATCTGGTAGGTTATTCCATCCTTTCCCGCGGCGGAATCACGCCTTTTATTCAAACATGACCAAAATTCCGTGATAGTAAGAGGTAAATTTAAAGGCGTGTCATTTTCCCCCGGCTCATATATATTTTTGTTTTGTGACTCAAACTCTGCCTGGTATCTTAAGGTGTCTGGTAACATGTTTGAGTCACTGGAGACCTGTTTGTAGTGCTTTACTAGAAATTGAGCCTTTTCAAAGGGAGTTTTAGCATAATTTTGATTTAATTTTAATAATGGTACAGGATTTGTAGCAGAGCCTTTAATTCTTTTAATTTTCTGCCAAAACATTTTTGCACTACATTTCTGAGTGGACACTGACTCACAAAACTCTGACCAGTTTTTTCTTTTTAGCCTGTAATATAGTATGTTTACAGTTGGCTTCTGCTACTTCATAAGTTGTTAAATTTCCAGGGCTTGGATTTTTTTTTAAAGTGTTTATAGCTTTTTTTCTTTCCTGTACCGCTTTTTGACAATTTTCATTCCACCACGGGACAGACTTGTGCCCACCTGCCCTGGGGGTGACGGTCGGTATAGCCAGTCCAGCCATGTCCATTATTTTACCTGTTAAATTTTCTAAAAATATATTGATGTCATTACTGTAGACTTCCTCATATGTAATGTCCTGACATAATGTATGAAAAGTAGACCAATCTGCCTTTTCATAATTAAATTTTTTTTTGATTGGGTAAATTTTGGTTCTCATTGATTTTTGCATTTAGTGATATAATTAAAGGGAAGTGGTCAGATCCCATTGTATCATTTATTACACCCCAAGCCAATGAAGCCGAAATTTTTGGGGGGCTAAGGTAAGGTCTATACATGACAATGAACCATGAGCCTTATTTAACCTAGTTGGTGAGCCATCATTTAAGAGCACTAAACCCGTGTTTTCGACCCATGACCAAATTTCCTTTCCCTATAATTTGTTCTTGATGACCCCCATACTTGGTGATGAGCATTAAAGTCTCCAGTTATCACACAATTAAGTAGATTGTTATCTTGAGTAATGATATCATTTATTTTACTCAGTGATAACTGGTCTGCACCCCTTGAATATATATTAACCAGGACTAAAAGGGGCACCTGTTAAATGTATTTTGATTGCCTGTATTTCAAAAGCCACTTCCCCTACTGAATTAATGGGGTTGTCCACAGCAATGACCTCATAGTTAATTGAATTTTTTATAAAAATAGCTAACCCTCCTGCTATATTTTGACTACCAACGGCACTCTTATTAAAGTGTTTATACTGTAACCCAACGAATATTCGCGACCAATTAATATTCGCTTTATTCGCGGATGGCATCAAAGCGCGAATATTTGTTTGCGCGAATAAGTCCGCACGATTTCGCGAATAAATTGGGTGAGAAATTTTTATTTTAGACGTTGTTCATGCAAAGCTACTTGACCGGATATATTCGAATTTTACGGGCACCTGTTAGGAAGTTATGAATTGTTATGAATATTGCCATAAAGCAATAAAAACACAAACTAAGTAAACTACTACTATTTTATAAATATCAAAAGAACTCTATGTCAATATAGCAATCACTATTTCATTTACATTTAAAGTCATAATGAATTGATACAGTGTTCGAATATTTATAAAGAACGTATAATTCACTCATTTTGGACATAAGTCAATCAACACCCGAAATAGATTAACTTTATAAAAAACATCTAAACATGTTACAAACATAATCATCATTATGACACGCGCTTCTGAGCAATTATCGTCTAGTTTGTGTTTTTCACACGTCTGAAGGGAACGGACGAAAGAAAACTATTAGTCGAGAAAAACAAAGTATAATAGTGTGATACCCACTCATTTAACGACATGTTTAGAAATGAAGACGAACGATGCGTACATGTACACATATAAATAAAAAATATAGAGAAAATGTTTTGCTGAATTGTGATCACAATTCACTTACCAATACAATATATAAGGCTAGCGTATTGTTAATCCCATTTTAGACACTAATAATGACCTCAATTATTTAAGATTAATAGTCGGCTAGTGGATTTTATGGCCCCATCGGACTTTCCAATCCGCGAATTTTTTTATTCGGAAATCGAGAAAACGCGGAAATTAATATTCGCGAATATGTCCGACCTCGGCAAAACGCGAACATTTGTATTCGCGAATATAAATTGGGTTACAGTATTCAGGGGTGTATCCAGGAAGTGATCTTTCTTTATTTGAGTTCATTTTAGTTTCCTGGATACATAAAATATCAATATGAGGGTTATTATCAATGAAGTGTTTTATTTCTGTATGTGTTTGACTTGTAAACCCCTGAATATTATGAGAAAAGATATTTAAAGATCTAGACATGACTGGGCCGGTTGAGAAAACTTCTTGTTGTGGGGAGACTTTATAAAATTACTTATAGAAGATCTCCCCTTCTTGAGTTTACCTGGGGTGCCAGGGACCTTATACCCCCCTCCTAACATGTTAGCCCCCCGGGATGTCAAGGCCCTGTGGGTTTTTGTTTTTAGATCCACAGTCCCATCATTGGCTATTTTTTCGGGCTCGGACTTGAAACCAAATTTGTTTAACAGGACGTTTTTTATAAAAATGTCCTGTCGGTTATGGGCTGGTCTGCTTTTATTTTTGATTATGCTGATAATCAAACTTACAAGATCTTCTAAGCAGACCGATTTGGTTTCTGCAGATCTATTATTGTCTTTTTTTAACATATATAGATCTGAAATGTACATGTTTTTGATTGGCCGGTGACGTTTGGGCTGACTTATTGGCCAATGACGGAACCATAGTTATGCTCTTAACCGGTGTGTCAGGGATAGACATTAGCCCGGAAAGAGACAGATTTTTTGTATCCCTCGGGGGTCGGGTCCCTCGAGGGACTATTTAAATACGAGGTATGCATGGAGACCATGGAGTCCTCGTCGGTGACATCAAAGTCCCCGCAGTCACTCACGGTCCGATCCTTAGAACCGTCCGTGGTGATGGGTGACCCTTCTGCCACCGGCGGTGACCCCCTGGTCTCCCTGTTGTTGGGAGTGGATGAGGAGGGGGTTCTTCAATAGTACCCCCACTCCCACTCTTATCAATTTTACCAATTTTACCAATATGCGGTTGAAGGTTCGAATCCCTATCAGGAGTCCTCACCCTGCCACACTCTTATTGAGCAAACATCCCTGCTCGCCATTAACAGGCGAGCATGGGGTGTGGGCAGGAGGCGAGTCCCTGGGGGGGAGGCCACGATCATCTTCCTCCTTGATCATGGCCTCCTCCTCCTTCAGTATAAGCTGGGCCTTAGTCCAGCCCACTTTCCTGGCCCGGGCAATAGCTGTAATTGCTGTGGCGCGGAAATAGGCGACACAGCCCGTGTATGCCGCGCTATGTCCTTCGCCACAGTTTATACATTTAATAGCCTTAGACCCACAGGTCCTTGTATTGTGAGCCCCGGCACACCTACCGCACCTAGTGCTACCCCTGCAGGACTTGGCCATATGACCAAAGCCCTGGCAGAGATAGCACCTGGTGGGAGGCCTAACATATGTTTCAGTTTTATATTTGATCGTTAGGTCATCCTCTCTCAGGTACACATCAAGGGGGCACGCACCTGCGAATGTAAGTTTGATTGCCGTAGACGGCTTCCTCTTCTTGTTGGGAAGCCTATCCACAGCAACAAGGGACGCCCCCTTGGACCTGTCAAACTCCAGCCTATGCTGGAGTGCTGACAGGTCCTCCTCCATGGATATGCCGTGGATGACAACATCATATGTTGTCTCCCCCGGCATATTTGTGACTACACATAATATATTGTTCAACTTAAATTTCCCTGTTTTTATACTAATAACCAGTGCTTCATGAGAAGCAAACTCTAGCAGAAGATTACCTGATGCCAAGGGTGTTGCCTTCTTAATATTTTTGATCTTGCTATTGAGTTCCTTGGCCAGGGTCCTTATTGGTAGCGCTGTAATTTTCCTACTTAACCCTTTCAGGACCCCTATGTTCTCTGCCGTGTTGCAAGATATCTCATGGTTCTTGCGAGGGTCCAAAGCACAACCAACGACCCTCGAAAGGTCCATGTGATGTCTAGATGGCCCTTGACGGGCCACCTTGACTGGCATTTTTGCCTATTACTGCGGTTATATTATATTATTATATTATCAATATATTTATATTTACTGGATTTAAAAATCTATTTATAAATTAAAACTATAATTATAAACATATACTATGTATATGATATACTTTCTTATTATGATATACAGCTGATTGTTATATATATACACACACAAAAAAAAACAGAGTGGCTCACTAGTCAGGTAAATAAACCAAACACACCAAATGGTCAATATGACCTTGCATATAATTTTGTATGTCAACCAAAAGATCCAAAAATCAAAATGTCTAGAATAATAAATAATGGTTGACCTATTAATCAATGATCAAATATGCTAAATGAGTTAAATACAGAATATTTAACT